CCCACCCTAGAAAAAGACCCTTCCGTTATACATTAAACAACTTCATTATTAACAAGATTCATGACTGGGGCCATGGCTCCCCGTAGGAAAAATCTCTAGCTACGCCAATGTACACGACATATTAACATGTACTCACACTACCATGAAACACATTACACAAACTATGCATGGGAGGGTGTTTACTGTCAAATAATTATTAAAAAATGGCCTTTGATAATAAAACCACAATAAAGTTCCTTTGTGGTTGAATTTCGATCTTTGGGCGAACGTTAATATCGATTTATCTGCTCAGCAGAATAGATCTCATTATCTAGATAATACGTTATTGTTGAAGATTTCGATAGACGGCCTAATGAAAAATTAATATATTGATAAAAACACTAATTAACCTTCATTAACCTTAAAATTGGAATATGAAACTAATAATTCTGACTGATTATGAAAAATGGTCATAACGTTATTATAGATATAAGTTTATGGATGCTTTTTATTAACGCGCAAATTATGGGATTTTCAGAGCAATATACAACAAAGCGGTACTCTATTGATTGGTATGAAATTTTAAGGTATAATATAACATGGAAAAATTTTGTTTGTCCATTTTTTAAATTAGATTGGGGAAATGCATTAAGCACTACCCCTGCCTCCTAGCAAGCGACAGTGTGTAGGACTCTCCTTCATGAACCCACCCCGTGGCTAGCCGCGCGGTGGGTTCACTATAAAACCCCTACGGTGTACCCTCCCCTAGGGACGAGATCCGGTAATCCGTGACCTAGTCACTAGGACGCTCACCTCTCTTTCAGGACCTAAATAGTCCCCTCACGGCTGGAGAGGCCACCCTGTCCATACTTGGGATATAGGTCTCCCTTATGGATGGAAAGAATAAGCTATGGGCCTACAACGCGGACCGAGTGCAGTTTAACGCTTTTAATTAAGACTATCTATCAATGTCATGATCTTTAGATACTGCATACTTCAGATAATGCGAAACTGCATCTGCAAGTTTTTATGTATTTGAGTGATACACGGTCAGTTGCATATACGTCCCTTAAGGTTGAATGACGTCTTTAAGCTCTAATGAATGGCATATTTATATGGGTAATGTCACTTTAAACTAATGAAAAATTTAAAGGACGTTTGTGCAAATAACTGTATGCATAACGATTATTTATTTAAAACTGGGTAAATAAAATTCTTTGACTTATAAAACATATATGCTATTTTTATCTAATTTTGCACAGTCCTTTACTTCTTATAATTTAGTAATGTGCTATATTTTCAAGAGAAAATAGGTTTATTGGAGAAAATCGCTATTTAGCGATTGGGTCTCCTGCTACGTTGTACGTCTATTGCATTGCTTCTAAATTATAATTTAAAACTATTACTAATTGAATCACGTAAAAATAGGAGATGGAAATGGCACGAGACTGAGATGTTGGGCGCACCCGAGAAAAGTATGTATAACATTTGGGTATAGACAAAACGTTGTCGAGTTCCTCATGTCATTCGTGCATTCTATCAAAGTATATTAATCTGTCATCATCGTACAGGATGCCAATTAAGGCCAACTGTTCATCGAATGCCAGTTAATCTACATTTACATCTTAATGGATTAATAATAACAAGGACACACGATGTCATTCGCTTATGCCTGTTTTATTGTTTATTAGATGTTCCTACAGATCTTGTTTTGCACTATTTCGCAAAAACAAGTACGTTATATGTTTGACAGTACGTTATAGGGACAATGTGGTTTTATGGGAACAAAATTTTTGTTTTTACTATTTTCCTCGTATTTTTTATGTTTTTTCTATCTGTAAGAACAAGAAAAATATCAGTCAAATCGGTTTAGCCGATTTCGACTTTTGCGTTTAGTTTTATCAGATAGATGTATCGAATTCGCAAAATTCGTGTTTTCACTTGTTTTTCCCAAATTCTCTACTTCTATGGTGAGGCAGTTCGTTTTCTATTGCAGTTTCACTGCTGTAAGGTATCGCTCCGTACTTTGTTGTGATAAAATACGTGTTTGTCTTACATTTTAATAATGGGTTCAAGACGAATTGAGACTACTTGTGCTATTTTGAGTTCTTATAAAGAACTTGATGATCGCCAGTTACGTGACGTGATAAGTGTCGTTATCAAATTCATTTAGTTTACTAAAAATGAACTGAAACAAAAGAATGGGAAAGATTTAATTCAGAAGTTTTTTTTAATAGTTTTTGAAAAACACAGTGCAATTTGGACCAAAGCCTCGATTCTCACCGTTTCCAATGTACGAGTTATCCAATTGCTGAAATCATATTTCGACAAGTACCTGTCATTGATAAGATATCCCAAAAATAAAAGAAATTATAGTTACGAAAGTAAAGTGAAGTGTTTTTTAGAATCGTCGAACAAGCTCTTCGATATTGCTGCTTGTAAGTGCACTTCATTTGACATTTGTTCCAGCATAAAACCAAAGAAAGTTCCTATTTCTGAAAGAGACTTTTACTGGACCAAAGAAGTGATAGAAAAATGGCAATAAGTGGTATAGACACAAAAGAACCGACAAGACTGTTGAAGAAACATCAGAGACAATGTTTTCCAAGATCTGCTGCTGCGGTCGCTTCGGTGGTTTTAGCTGACGTAGGATTGGTATCTTCCAAAGATCTAAGCCTTGTTATTGATAAGAATAAAATTCATAGAGCCGTTTCTAAAGCACGGACTAGCAAAAAGTATCTACTTTGAACGAAAGGACAAAACACTCATAAACGATAAAATAGGCGATCGGTACCACCGCAGAGAAGCCTTGCAAAAGCACATTTCTCACAGAGCCGGGATCTATTTATTTGGGGCATACGATGCCAAGTCCTAGCACTGCCAAAGGGATAGCCGATTCTATCATATCTTTATTTATTTAACACTTTATTGCACAAAAAAAGTAAAAATAAATACATTGCAAGGAACAAAAAAACAAATTAATTACAGTTGTGCAATGGGCGGCCTTATCGCTGAACAGCGATTTCTTCCAGGCAACCTTTTGATCGATACTGGTGGCAGGTGATTGTGGGTCGTGCACAAAGTTAGGGAAAACATAAAATAAAATGAAAAAAAAGCAAAGAATAATAATATATACATATACATAAAAATAATACTAATAATAAAATAAGTATACATGGGTAAAATACGAAGTAGCCAACATGAGCAGAAGATACCGCAAACTACAAGAAGGAAGGATTAAGATTTTAGATTTATAATTAGACAGAAAATGCGTTTTTACTCTAGATTTAACTGTGAGCGTCTGATATCTTCGGGCAAAGAATTCCACAATCGAGTCGCGTGTAACGTAAACGATTGACTGTAGAATTTTGAACGGTTTTGAGGAACCGAGAGGCGAAGACTGTCTGATGAACGAAGAGGTAGGTCATGAGTGGACGATAAAAACTTGAAACGTTGTTTTAGATAAAAGGGGCATTTTGGATTGAACAACACTGAGTAAAGAAGGGACAGGATATGTAAATCTCTACGTTGCCGAATAGAGAGCCATTGGAGTTGTTGGCGAAATTCGGAGACATGATCGTATTTACGGAGCCCGAAAATAAATCGGATGGCAAGGTTTTGGAGGCGCTCCAGTTTACCAAAAAGATCAAAAGTAAGATCAGGATAGCACGCATCGGCGTAATCAAGGACAGGCAAAAGAAGGGATTGCGCTATAGATATTTTGGTAGCAGTGGGTAAAAAGTTCCGTAAACGCCTAAGGGACCCGGCTGTAGCAAACATCTTTCTGCTGACTTCGGCAATCTGTGGACGCCATGAGAGCGTTTGGTCAAATAAAACTCCAAGGTTACGCACTATATTTGAAAAAGGAATTGGAGTACCCTCAAAGATCACCGATTGCAACTGACTCCACTTTATCCTATCCACGAAAGAGGCACTACCTATGATGATAGTTTGAGTTTTATCGGTGTTCACTTTTAAACCGAAAGATTTACTCCAGGTAGCAATACGTTCTAAATCGGTGCTTATAGTAAGGATTGCATTATTTATGAGAAATACACATATCTTTGTGAGAAAGTCAATGATTGAACTTGGAAGGCTACGAACACAGGTTGGAAGGGAGGTGACATTCAATTATTTTCACTATTTTTATTTTCACACACAGCTCATTATGTGCAGTGGCTGGCAAAGTACCCGAATTATCTGATAATATTATGAAGGAACTAAGTACGGATCAAAAGTAAATCTACGAAATGTATAATGCTGTGATGACTAGTTTCTGTTCCCCGGAGCTAGGGAACTGCAGACCTGGGAAGATGGCGCATTCGAGATGGCTCACTACTGCCAATCGCATACTTAAATTTTATCGCATACCTAGATTTTAGCTGTAGCGTCCATGACGCTTTCATGTACGCTACAGCTCGGGATAGTTTAATTAGGAACGAATTAATATCACACGCGGAAATGCCTAATTTTGGGCAAAAAAGCCAGTTCCGTTTTTTAAAAAAGCCAATCGTTACTTGTCTTTCAACTATTTTAAACCTTGCTTTGACTCATTATTGTGCCCATAAATTTAATAAAAACCATTTAAACTTTATTTTTGATTGATTTGTAATTTATGTTAGGAACCCCTAAAAAAGGCAAATCTGAAAAATTTCAAGGACCGGCCTTGAGCGGCCCCAATATGACAAATATCTAATTAAATTTTAAGATAATCGTAGTATAAGTGTCAGCACTCAACTTTTGACAGCTTCTTGCATAACGGTATCTAGAAATAATTTTTTTCCCATACATGGACGGGCTTCCTTATGGATGGTTAAGAAGGATAGGCCTTAAACCTCCACTCTGGCCCAATACAGATTGAAGGGTCAAACAGCTTAAAATACCTTTCGAAGCACGGAGTAGCTCGACATAATAATTTTTCTTTACCCATCCCGTGACCGATTCTTGCGAAAGTGACTTAACAACAACGAGCTACTCCTACTTATATACTGAATAAACAATATTGATTTAGAATAACTCACCTGTTCCTGTGTGAGTATAACTTGTTCCCCTGGTTTTATCGGTCTAGGGCTGGCTTCTGGTGTCTCCACTGGCGAGAACCAGTTCACCGTGGAATCTCCATAAGTGGACTGTGGCACCCTATGTGATATCAGTGGCGTACGCTCTGTTGCACCATGGTGCACTGTTAAGGAAGTAAACCGATAAATATAAAGTATTAACGCCTATCGACACCTACTTATTAAAAACTCGAATGCTAGAAAACCAATTGTAATTCTCTGATTGGGTAGTAGGAATGTAGAACAGGGCTTTTTTGGTGCTATTTTGTGAATAGTTACTCAAAACAGTGGGCATTAGTAGCCGGCACTACTTTCCATGTATGGTAAGTTTCAACTAATATGGCGCATTGTAAATCTGCGTTTGCGCAGAGCTGTTATACTAATTCCAACGATGATAAAATTATTTGTGTCTAGTATCAATTACATAAGGTGTAAAATAATTGGTAGAAACTGATTTGTCTTTACACAGTAATTATCTTTTTTACAGTACAGGACATATCGAAGACTTCTATATAGTTTATCTAAATATAACTCAAAGCTGACTGACTGACATAGTGATCTATCAACGCACAACCCAAACCACTGGACGGATCGGGCTAAAATTTGGCATGCAGGTAGATGTTATGACGTAGGCATCCGCTAAGAAAGGATTTTGATCAATTCTACCCCCAAGGGGATAAAATAGGGGATGAAACTTTATATCAGGTATTTAACACGATATAATTAATAAATATTCGTTAGAAATGCTGCTCAAAGTAACTTTACCACGCGGACGAAGTCGCGGGCAAAAGCTAGTATTAATATATAAATAACTGGTCAAAGTGTATGATGATGCTGAGCTTCCATACAAACTTTGATCCCTTATTTTAACTTTTCAACCCTCATTTTCATACTTATATAAAAGATCAAATTTACCTCCGTATCAAACATAACATCGGTTCAGAAGCAAACCAGTAACATATGCCTAAGGCGTGAAAATGTACCAGACAATATTACTTATATTTATGATAGACTTATATTTATATATATTGTAATGTATAGTCAGAGGTAACTAGTATACAAAAGGCAAAATTTCTCCAGTCAACCTTAAGCACTTATCACGTGACAGTTACACACTTTGTATAATTGCAAACCGTTGGCGTAGCTTCCGACTTTCACAAGTGCTATGTAACAGCCTAAACTGAATAAATGTCTTATCAAAACTAAGAGTCTAGAGAAGAAAAACTTGAGAATGAGTCTTGTTTTAAGCAGATATTTTTACCAAATAAACAAGAAATTGAATGCAGTGGGAACTGTCAATTCTCGTCTATTAGCTAAAATATTTGCTTAAGCTATAATTTTTTTAAAGTAATTACTTCTCTCCATTATACATTCAATTTAACATACATTGCTGTGGTCTTTGTATTAACAGTGATGTGGTGTCGACTGTACCTAATGGACACATAACCAATAAAAACAACACCTATAGAGTCGATTATTTGCCTCGCTTGCATCTCCTGGGGCAGGACCCTGAAGTCCAGGAACCACGCCTCGCCCCATGAGAGAGTGAATGACGTCACTATTAGGAACACCTGGTACACTGGCTGCGATGCCGCCGGCCACTAAACAAAAGAAATTAAATCTTAACACTATTCATATAAGCGTCATATTGGCAATGATATTAGTAGGCCTGTCATCATTTTCTGTTTCCTAGGTTCTTTACTTTAAACTTTTTATGTATTTAAATTAAAGACAATTGACTTATTACCGATAATTTAAATATTTATATTTTTATACATATTTTACTTGGTTTTTGTATATTTTACTTATAGTTTCTTTATTATTATCATTATAATAAAATATATAAGCTTATTTATGTAATTCGAACCTATGAATACACTGACATCAGTGGGCCTAGTGTTAAGAAAATTGTAAATATTTATAGCAGTTTATGGCAAAGTGGATAAGCGCCGCGGCCACGATAGTTGTTGTTAAGCAACTTTTGCAAAGGTAGGTCACGGGATGGATGACCAAAAAATTGGTGGCGGAGCGGACGTAAAAGGGCTGATGATGATGAATATTTATTGTGCATTCAAAAGCACGTCAGCTTATATAAAACTGTCATATTTTTCCACTTGATTTTAAACCTCAATTTGAGAGGCGAATCAAAACCAATCACGGAAATTTGGCAGATTGTGGTAACCTCACGTGCAGCCGTGTGTACAATGGATCATTATAGACCGCAGCAAATAATTTTCATGCGCAGCATCCATTTAATCCTCCTCGCAAACTTCAACATTTATAACATTAATAAATATCAGTAGCAGGACAGGCCCGTCCATATAGGCAAACTAGGCAACTGCCTAGGGCGCTCCTATTCGAGGGGCATAGCATGGCAAATAGATAATTATGTTTGATCTAAATATTTGAACCTTAAAAATATGGCTTTTGCTCTTAGAACATAAGTCCACGCCCGCGGTATTTAAAAGTACAAAATTTTTAGACCAAATGTACCCAAGGAGTTTTTAATTGATATAATCACATTCTTTCATCCTAGGGCACCGTTCAAGTATTTTGCTTAGGGCGCCAAGTACTAGTATTTTACCTAGGGCGCCAACTTCCAATATTTTGCCTAGAACCCAAGTTTCATTGAGCCTGTGCTGAGCATTAGATAACACATTTGAATACTCACATCAAATACAAATACTTTTCCTATTAAAAAGGCACACGTTCCCGCTGTTGAGATCTAGAAAAAAAAAATTATACCTTTTGAACTGTTTGTTTTATCATAAACATTATATACATATAAATTTACATGTTTATGATAATACACATAAATTATATATAAATTTTGTCAAAATTGATATTGGTTTAGTAATAATGTTTAAATAAATATCGTTATTGCTCTTAAGAGCTGATAAGTTAATTGCGTCCATTCTTCATATCAGGCAAAAACGTTTTGCAGGACAATTCTGCTAATTCTGCTTTACGTAATAATCGCATATCAATAGAATACCAACTGCTTTATTATAACCATTGTGCTATTCCAATATTTCGTACCTGAAAGTACCTGAATTCCAATATTATTATAGCAATTTATTCGTCAAACATCAATGGTGACAAATCTATAATATAAAAATGAATCGCAAAATGTGTTGGTAAGCGCATAACTCAACAACGCCTCGACCAATTTGGCCAAATCTTTTTTTAAAATGTTCGTTGAAGTTCAAGGATGGTTTTTACGGCGAGAAAAATTAGAATTATTGCTGGAAAAACCCTAAAAATTGCCCTTTTCTTTTTCCCATACAAATGATTTGTAACTAAAACGTAGTCAATTTGAGCTTTATTGCTATGGTATAAAGTTCATATTAAATTACAAGCACTCACTGTTGTCTAAGCAATGTAGGTGTGTTCCTAACGTCAAAGATCATATCTATCAAAACAATGTGCGTGTGTGCGTTGGAGCACAGAATACATAGTTGGAGGAGTTTAATGTCGCGTTCCGAAGCTCGCGTTTCTTTTGTATTAGTTTCGGCACGCGAGATAAAATGCATCAGAATTTTTTTAAATACGTAGGCAAAAAAACTGCCACATTACAAATCTTTTTGACAGGACGAAGTCTGTCGGGTCAGCTAGTATATAATATAATAATATTGGACTTTGGCATTGGCAGAACTGGCCTGCTGAATGGGAGGTCGGTAAGAACGTTAACTATTCAAAAGTACTTTCAATGATCTTATTATAATTTTATAGCAAAAGAATCGTCCAGCGTATTAGAAAACATAGTTCCCTTTGCTGTGTATTTGTGCGGTGCTTTGCGATTGGAAATCGATTATTTCTAACGCATAAGTTACTATCCTACCTACTCATTCAATACAAGGATACAAAAATTAACCCATCATAAAAGAATAGGTACATGAATAAATAGTACATTCATAAAATCTATCACATACTCACAGCAATAACACTCCAATTGTTTATATACAATAAGGCATAAAACAATAATAATACAATAAATCGGCAAACTGCTACCATCACTACGTCGAACAGCGAAGTCTTGACGTCGTAATGAACTATTTCTCTGTCAAAGATCTGTTTCAAAGTCTCGCCTCTCATCTGGAAAGATATACAAAACAATATGTTAATATTAAGTTTCATGACGAATTTGAGTAGAGTTTCAGTTGATTTTCTAGAAGACTAGGTGTTTCACAGCATAAATTATAGTCTGTGTCACCCGTACACCCGTACGATGTAGCTTCCCATAAGTTAAAACATATTTTGAAATCGGTCCAGTACTTTCGGAGCCTATTGAATGCAAACAATCAATTATATTTTCTTTATAATATTATTATCATCATCATCATCGTCATCACCAGCCCCTTTACGTCCCCACTGCAGAGGCTCAGGTTAAGGAGGATGGGCCATGACCCTCCACGCTGGCCCAATGCGGATCGGAGGATATTAACGACTGCAAATGCCTTCCGAAGCACGGAGTAGCTCGAGATAATAATTTTTGCTCACCCATCCCGTGACCGACCCTTGCGAAAGTTGCTTAACGACTACGATCGCGGGCCGTGGCGCTTATCCACTACGCCACCGAGCTACTCCAAATTATAGATTATAGATACTATTATAAATATTATTATTATTACTATACAATAAATATTATTATAGATACTATTATTCCTTTTGTTCCCGCTAACACTCCCAAGTTACAAAAAAAGTTTTTTTTTTATTGGAAAGTTAAAAAAATTCATACAGCTGTGTTTAAATATGTAGCCCTGCCTGAATTTTCGTCGCATTTACGACCTAATAACCCATTGGCAAAACCATAGTTGGCCATAGCTGTATTAGGCCATATACTGAGAAGTACTAAAAAAAATTAATAACTCACCATTACACATATCAGCCACATTAAACTCGTGAACAATAAATCGAAGGTAACAAACAGACAGAAGAATCGTCTCACAGTGGACATCTTCCCTTGTGGCCTGTGACCTGCCACCAGATCTTCTGAATACAGGTTCACAGAATGAGACTGTGAGTGAGCTGAAAAATAAAACATAACAAAGGGTCTTTATTAATCTGTTATTTAGGCAACCAGCAAAAGAATAGAATTATTTTTATGAAACCCCATCTCCTAACTTCAGGCCAGTATACACGCGACGATAGACATACCATTCAGCGCATAGTCTGTCCATGCGCTGAATTAATAAAATTACCGAGGGAATAGGTTAGTTGACAATTTTTATTCTATAATCATATAGAACATTAATATTTCAGAAATATTGTAGACGTAGCAGCATGTCTGCAATCAATAGTTTCGGAGATACAGTGCTATGCTTGTGAAACTGCTGCTAATCGACACTAAGTGACGTCAAAAAGTGCTACGGTAGCGAAAAACGTTTGGGTGTCTGTCCATCTTTGTAATATTTTGACTAGCTGAACACAACACTGATTGAACATTAGTAAAATTACACTGACGCTCAGCCAACTAGTTAAATGTCCTAGTTAAAGTCACTTCCCTAAGATAGATATATAAACACTCCGTTGCTTATTAATATTATTATAATTATTAATATTAAGTTAACTATATTGGTTCTAATGCTAGGTTCTTATCGCTGAAAGTTATCTCTTCCAGACAAACTTTGATTTGTTTAATATTAGGGGTTAAAGTATGAAATTGCCGTTTTATTGTAATAGGTTCCTTGAATTGACATAGAATCTGCATAGTTTGAGGTTTTCGAAAGAAACTTTTTTCACATGGTTTCTATGATGTTCTTCTTTTAAAAAATGTGAAGCATTTCAATAGCGACTTTCAATTGTTTTTTTTATTCAACTTAGACAAGTGACGCGGCAGAAACAGTCCACAATATCAATATTGCGTTTGGAGAGGGTCTGCTAATGAACGCACCGTGCGATTTTGATTTAAACGCTTTCGTGATGGAAACTTCGATTTGAAGAACGGGCCACGAACGGGCCATGGTAGAAACCGATCCTAGTTAAAGTATCCAGGAATTAGCAATATGATTTAACGTTACCTTACCCACAATATTGATTCATTTGCGTCAGATCAATAAAATAAAAAGATACGAAAAATGGGTGCTTCATGATTTGACTGATCTGCAGTAAGAAACGCGTGTTAAAACTTGTGTTGCCTTGTTGAATCGGTACAGAAATGAAGGAATATTGTATCGAATTGTGACATGTGATGAAAAGTGGATTCTTTATAATAACCGTAAAAGAAAATTGCAATGGCTGACCCCAGGTCAAACACCATAACGATGTCCTAAAGCAAAACATACCAATAAAAAGGTAATGGTAACTGTTTAATAGTATCAGCATGGTGTTATTGTCTATAGTTTTCTCCGATCTGGTCAAGCAATAACGGCAGATGTCTATTGTGCCCAACTTCGAACAATGTTGGCAAAACTAGAAGTAAAACAGCCCCGACTCATGAATCGATCTTCACCATTATTGCTCCATGACAACGCGAGACCTCATACAGCACGAGAAACCGTTTTAACCCTTCTGAAACTGCAGTTAGAAACCATTCGACATCCTCGATATTCGCCAGACCTTATTCCAATGGACTACCATTTTTGCCTTATTTGGACAATTATCTATGAGACAAGAAGTTTTCTTCCCAGGAGGCAGTACAAAATGCTTTCACACAGCTTGTGCAGTCAAGATCCTCAGAGTTCTATTGCAAAGGCATAAACAACCTTCCTATTAGATGGCAGCAATGTATAGATAATAATGGTAACAATTTCATACTTTAACCTGACTTAAGACTGGAACTAGAGTGCCAAGGTGAAATTAAATATATGTAAAATAAACCAATTGTTAATATAGATTTGATTCTAAACACACTTACAAAAATATAGTTAAACAATTTATTTTAATAGCTTTATTTCAATTAATTTGAATCGCTCATATGCAACTTATTTAATATTTCATAATCAATAAATTCACACAAACCAAAACAACATCTGTTGACGCCATCTTGTAAACAAAACGAAAGTAGCGCCGCAGCGATCGGTGGAGAAATACATACTGATTCAAACCGCTAATTTATATATAACATGTTTATTCTGTATTATGATCAGTTAAGATTGACACTTTGACTCACTTATCTATTTGTGACATTTTATACAGTAGATGCATGCAATTATGGTTAGCTATTCATTACAAAATTAATTACAAGAAGTGATATATAATTAATTGATATATCCTTCCATGATATCAAAGCTATAAAGTATTTATGAGAATTTCTCATTCATATATATGAATTACCAAGTTTTAACTTTTAATTTACAATTATACCTAATTAGGTATAATTGCGTAATACTAAACTTTAATACTAAAGTAATACTCACATAATGTATATGGATTTGTAATACTACCCACCAGTGACTCGGCTGCTAATCGAATATTAGGGTCCGTCATAGTGGTTGGTTCTGTAACAAATATTTCATGTATAGTTCTGTGTTATGTTCCATGCTCAAATTAACGACACATTGGTTTCATAATGTCTCTATTTTGCTTAGGTGGGCTTACAGCATAACTACTTGATGATTTTGAATTGCAGGATAATTTTTACATTTGGAGCCCTTATATAATAGACCTTTCTATATTGATTCCTGCAAACCAGCCAGTTACGTTAAGCATAATCCAGGCTTCCTGCTCTGACATCAATTAAATGTTTAGATTAATAACATACTAGACCTGCCAGTCTAGGTTACATGGTACTTTATTTTACTTCTGATTATCATAACACAGGGTGATTGCTAATTATTTTGAGATTTCAATATAGTATGTGAGTCGTCTAATATATTGCGTTCAGCCTTTTTTTTTATATCATAATTCATAATTATGAAGATGATTATTTTTTTGGATAACTATCATGATAAATATTTTATTATCTATAGTTACTGGCAACAATTTATAATACAGAAAAGCTTCATAATTGAATTAAATTTTATTTTTGATTTAAAAAATTAAATATTATATAAACAAAACAAACATTAAAAAAAACAGTAAAATCACATTGAATGTTTTTTTATATTTGTAGGTCTATCCTAATCAATTTTCTTTCTCAGAATAACCATATTTGTCAATTGTTTAAAGATTATTCCCCTTTAATAACAACTTCATGCTGTATTTTATAATTATCATGATAATTTTTGTGTCAATTATAAATGATAATTATCACTTGAAATCTTGCTTTATATTTGAAGGTTACAAATTTAGGGGTTTTTGCTTCAAATAAAATATCAGAAGTAGCTTATAGCCTTTTTACTATTTAAACCTGAAGCACAACACTAGAACCAGAGACAATATTAAAAAGTTCCCTGTCCCAACACAAGTTGGCAAGCGATCACTATGATCCTGAAGATCATTAAATATCACCACATGGCAAAACAGCAAGTCATTTCCTAAAATGACACTAGACTTTTATGCTAAAATCTAATTGTAATACTCATTACTTCAACAGGAAAAAAAAACTTTAATAGTTATATAATATAAATAAATAATAATTACCTTATTCATTAGTAGTCAGGGTAAAAGAGATTATGTAGATAGTGTTTTATAAATTTGGAATACACAATATGCTATTTAGAGACAAATATTTAAGAATGAGTTAGTACAATATCAAAATTTATAGTGTCACATAAATTACCAAAATGTAAAGAGATGAATCATAGCTTAGTAAAATAGTCATAACAAAAACACTTCAATTTCTGTGAATGTCTTTTGATAGTAAGAATCATAGTGAATTTCTTTATAGAATACATTTATTATAAAAATAGAATTTATAATTCAATCTTGAATCTATAAGGTCTACAATTTGTATTTGTAAAACCCACTTAAGTAATATTTAAAAATTGTTTTCTTGCATAAGTCATATTTTTTTATAATGAAATACACTAAGGAGAACAAAGAATTACATCTCACCTTGTTTATCGCAAATAGAAGTAAGAACATCCGAACTTTACACTTAACCACTAAACTAGGATAAGAACTTACTAGGACGCATTTCGATTAACCCACAAATAGCAATTACTATCAAACAATGCAAGTCGTTAGAATGTTATCAAATGCCATGCAATAAACTTTTCTGCGATTACAACGAAACAATGAACAAAAACAAAACTGACGAAAAGAACCCTATTTTGACACTTTGATTTACCATTGACGTTTCATTACAAGCAGTTGCAATACATTACAGCATAACTTTTTTACTCATACGCACTTTTGCATTACTAAAACATAATGATAGCTGTCATTAATAATTCTACAACTTTAACATATAATTCATTACACATCCATTAATTAATGAACTTTTTTTCGTGTCAAGGAACGTAACCTCTTGTGCTTCTTCTTCTTGACGGCGGGTTGTTTCCGCAACTCAACACCAAGAGCCTATTTTGCGTACAACAGTGGTGACCTTAGTCCAGCCATTACAGTTCTTCCAAGAAGGATTGTAGTCACTTGTTGTCTTTACATGCGTCCAATAGTGTCCCTGGGCTGCCCATGTGCCCAGTGAGTTGTCTCGTCACACCTTTGCAGTGCAGCAGAACGTGAACGCTCGTCTCCTCTTCCTCCAGGCAAGTTATGCACAGTGGACTGTAAGAGATGCCTAGATTATAAAGGTATTTATTAAAATGTCCATCTCGTGAGTGTATCCACAATGATGATCTATTCTTCGTTATGTCTTCGTTGGTAACGTTCGCGTATCCAGCCTCTCAATGAAATTGGTACTAACGGTTTCGGTCCGTAGATTGCGGTGTCCGAGACCCTTCTGGCCAAGCAGTCGCCCGCATCATTGCTTCTGGATCTATTGTATGTGGCTACTTTTAACTTTGACAGCGCAGCTCAGTATAGCTTCGGCAGCCTTGATGATACCCTTGCACTCCGCTTGGAAGACTGTATTGTGGGTCCCCAGTACTACTGCGACACTCAGGTTTGGGCCTCAGGGAATGCCTCTGCTTCCGTTCCTGCCTTGGTTTTTGAGCCATCGGTAAAAACTCTTAGCTCTTTATACAGACTTTTGTCTAGAACATCCTCATAGATTAGTATTTTATATTTTTTGTCAAATACTGTTTGAGAATAAGGTCATTTCTTGCTGTGAAGAACGAGTACTCAGCATCGATGCCTTTTAATATGTCCATGTTTGGTTTATTGTGGCATTTCCTAAACTTCAGCGCCTGTAGTCGTGTAGCCGCACATGCTGCGTCTTGTCGTATATATAGATGTAAAGGTCTTACGTTCAGAATTGTCTCTAGTGCCGACGTGTGAGTGGTTCTCATACTACCAGATATTGCACGACAGGCTCGGCTCTTTAAAATCTTTTCAGTTGGTCCATTGTTGTTACCTATATTGCTTTGGTCCACCATACTATCCCCGCGTAACTAATGATGGATAAGTAGCGACTGATACGTAAGGACATCTAACACATCGCATTAACATCGCACTACAACAATCGATAGGCTTGCTCTCGTGTCGGATTCGCTTTTGTAACGAGATTTTGCTTTCTTGTCAATGTCGTCACACGTCTCAATGGCTCCATTAAATAACTCTCTTACCTTTTTCTTAAGCCGTGCCAGCATAGGCCCGGCTTAAAAAAAGGTAAGAGAGTTATAATAATATAAGGAAGTCAGGTCAGATAGATTGATTCCAAGTAGGAGCTTTCTGAGTTGACGGTTGCTGTAAGGATATTCCTTTCAAAAGAAAACATCAAATATTGAAAGGAATTTCCTCAATTAATATAAATATAAAAAAATATCTTTTTAAACTATCACGCGACCTACGGGATGAAAATAACTTTGTTGTTTATTATTTTATGTTGTTATTACTATTGTAGCACAAAGTTTCGAAATGTTAATAAACATACTAAAATACCTACATTGCCTACTTATCATTTCGAATGCGGTATATCTTGTCTTTGTATAATTATATTAGTATTAAAAATTTATTATGAAAATTTAAGCCGACCCACTTGCGTAATAGTTTTGTATGTTTGCTTCCTGTATCGGATCGTACGGACCATTAACATCCAGTTGCGAATAAGCAGTGTGTTATTACATTTTTTTAACAGTTTTGTATCTGTATTGTTTACAGATCATAACAAGGAGTATTTATAGTGTTAAATAAAATCACCACTACAATATTTATTTTGTTTTATTATTAATCTTATCCTACCAATAAACGGTATTCTCGATGGATTGACAATTAATAAGGTCAGCCACTTCTGTTCAGCCGCATTGTAGAACGTTGCGTTCAACTATTCGAAAGTTTACCCGTAAATTTAATGGCGCCATTCAATTAAAGGGCTAGCCACCCAGTTGCTCGGCTGATTACACCACTTGGTTGCGACATACATATTTCTGGATTTATTTAGTTACTAGCTGACCTCATAATAAAAAACCATATAAATATTGAAAAAATATTGCGTAAACTGACCACTACACGACCATAATTATTGATTGTCAACTGAACGATTGACAGCTAAGAACAGTTTGTATGGGAAAATCAAATTGTCGTTTTTAGTATTATACTCGCAATTTTGTCATATTTTCTCATCGTTTAAACCACGTTTAAACCGTCCCAGGACTTCCACGAATATTTCAAGACTAAAATTTGTCAAATCGGTTCAGCTGTTCTCGAGTTTTAACGAGACTAACGAACGGAAATTCATTTTTATTTAATTTAACAGCCAGTCGTATAAAATATAGAACTAATGACAATCTTAATGGACTTATTTCCACCGTTTCCACTATTCGCAAACCATTTTTTGATAACGCAGGAGAAATCAACCATAGGGCTTTCCAAACATCCCCGAGTGTGTATCGACTTATGAATTCAGCATAATTGTAAAATAAAGAAAGAAACATTTAGGAACGAAAAAAAGAAAAGGTAAATTAGTATGTAATTATAAGTAAGTTTAATATTCCGACTTTTGTTCATTTTACGTTTTCGTTAGAAGTGTTGGTTAATTACAAAAGAAATTAAACAATGCATTATAAAATAATAATTTTATATTATATTTCAATAATTTATTTTCTTAAATCCATACATATCTTCCATTCGACATAGAATCATTTATTTTTAGTTCAGACATGCAGTTATTACAAAATATTTATACTCGTATGTTCAAAACATGGATGTGCTGAGTAGGTATAAATTGTTTAACCCATGTCCAACTAATCGAATATTAAGTTGTTGACAGTTAATATAATATATTATATGTAGAAGTTACTCGGATTTATCAAACCGACAAACTTATCGAGCACGAAAGTATTTAACCTATATCCTGGTGATCGAGTACACAGTACAAATATATACGGTAAAACATTTTAATAATAGATAACATAAAATTTTTACTAGCAGCAGCCAATTATAACACAATCCTTAAGTTTATTTCCATTCAGATACTCGATAATCCAAGACTGATAACTCACGGAGCGATATTAGCCCGCAGACGCTGCGGTGGCGAGAGAGTAGTTTCATATAAAACTCAAAAGACGACAGATTTTTTGCGGTTCCCCAGCCGCCGCGTCTGCGCAAAAAGACAGTTGCACCAGTTGCGGTTACGTTAGACTTAGCGGCACCTAAACCGCAACTAAAGCGCAGAGTATGCGGGCTATGTGGGCTATATAAATCGTGTCGTCAAAATTGCAAATGTGTATTACCTAGAATTCTAAGCGAATGTCACATTCACAAGTTCGTTTCGTAAGTTACCAGAATATAAGTTAACATGTAGGAAACATCATTTTAAAAACAGCATTCTTTCAGTATAAACTATCACATTTAATATTTAATTAATAACAAAACATTTATTCTCATTTTGGTCCCTAGAGCTATATGACATTACAAACTATTTTGTTCATAATAAAGAATCCGTTTTCTGTGAACAATACAGTATTAGTATTGGTCACTCACTAATCGAAAGGTACGTGTACAATTAACAGCAAATCAGGTTATTTATAACTGCTGAATTTTACAAATCCATTTTCAACTTTAATACAATGACGATGGAGTTCCAAATCGAGTCCGGAATCAATACATTTGGTATTAATCTTATGAGCTACAAATCTATTAAGTAGGTACAACAAATACAAAGTCAAATAAGTCAGGTAATCTAAATCTATAAAGAACTGATTTTGAAATTTGTAATTTTATGGAAACCTAAAAGAGTAATTAATTGAACTTCGCAAAACGTTCATTTGGAATTTCAATTGAGTTGAAGCTAACTACCTCGAAATTGTTGAACCAAAATAGCGATTTCCCGCGCAGATTCTTCTTCTTCTGCGGTATTCTGCGTTGCTATGATTATGCACTGTGTCTCGATCGAGGATCATACCTGTACTCTAGGGTCTCAACTACAGAACACGGCAAAAGCTCTCAACTCTTATCTCTGGTCTTATTCTCGCAACTCGATCGAGATCCAAATATTTGCTACTGTGCGGTCGCAATTTTGGTCCAACTTATGTGCTGCAATACGTTACGCGGTATGTACAACTCAATTAAAATCAGAACTATAAACTTCTAAATCAACGTAGAGTTGAAATTTCGCGATACGAATATTATCTAACGCAGATATTGATTATATTGCTTATTTTTATCAAATCATATTTTGCAATAGATAATTGTCAAAATATCGGCGTTTAATATTTATCAATTCAAATACTTCGTTACAATTGAAATGTTCAGTCAAACAAGTACATACTATTATTCATTGGGGAATTGTAAAACGATCGACTAAAAAAGAACTTAGCGACTGATGATGGCATACTGTTTTAATAACTTGAGTGTTATGAATTTGAGTAAGCGGAAAATTAACTTAACCAACGACGAATTCCAAAACGAGCTTACAAACTTTAGATATTACAATTCTGTCCGTGCGACTACATTACTAAGTGAGCGACTAGATATACAGAGAGAGCAACTATAATATTAAGATAGATTAGATTTTTTTCCAACTGAAGTTTTTTCCAACGAACTACTAAAAAGTTCACTTTAAGCAAAGTTTTGTCTGCTGCATTATTAATGCATTGGTTACTGTTGGTTTTTATTTTGATATGATTTCTAAATGAAATAGCATCTAATCCTACCAAAAAAGTATATTTAATTTGCAACGAACTTTCGAAAGATTTAAACTGCACTGATAGCTTATTATAATTATTTTTATATGAGCTCATAATACTATGTTCATTGTTGTATTTTTCAAAATGATTTTTGTATTTGAAACACTTTATATAAGATAATATGCCGCGCAGTATAAAAAAAAAAAATTGCCAAATATTGATAACAATGCAGGACGTAACGTTGGCGCTCAAACAAATATTAGGTCGTTCAAATATTAAGAAGCATCTCATTGTGTATTTTAAGTAACTCAAATTAATGTTTGTAAGTTGCTGTTCTGTTGATTTCTCATCTTCCGCAGTCAGTCGCTCACTTAGTAATACTATGTCATAAATTAATTATATTTGACACTTAAAACTTTAATTTACAGTCACTCGTTTTAATACTACCCTTATTCATTTCACATGAAATGTTTTATGTAATAGAATAGAAAATATAACATAAATAAATTGAAGTCCGATTTGACATCTGAATTATCATGTGTAATATTTAAACATCATATTAACGATACCTCCTGTTTTCCTGTTCTTATTATAAAAACCATGAGTTGTTTTTACTTTTTCTATGTTCATTCTAGAGCTGATCACTGTAGCATGCTAGACATTAGTGTGATATAAGAGTACGGAGCGACGGAAAACAGAAAAAGATTTTGGTGAAAGTCTCTGTGGATTTTATCCAAAATATCGAATTGGCCCTTTGAGCCGGGTTCTTAATACCACGTGGTGGTACCGACTCTATTGTCCGGCGGGTCTCTTGCGCAACAATACGAAGCGAGTACTCCGAGTGTAGCAAGACCTAAGCAAAGTATACTGACAGCGCATACTGCACCGGAAGTGATGTCGTTAAGAGCAGTTCCAGGCTGTGGTTGAATTGTCAATAACAGTAGTAGGCCGAATGCACTTAGCAGCGAGAACGATGACAAAACTATATAACCTGTAAATAAAAAAAGGAGATCTCAATATGGCCGCTGGAAAAAATAACCGTATGAACCCGCATATGAGAAGCGTGCGGTAACGAAATTCTAATAAAACAGCCAATTAATAGAAACAAATCGCTATATTTCATGCGGGCAACATATTTAGTTGTTTAAAAATAATATGCTGGCCGTTGATGTGGAGACATAAATATAAATATTTAATAGTTTTAAAACGTTTTTCGACATAATACGTAGGTATATTTAAAAAAAAAACAACTGTACAAATATTGTAAATATATCTGTTGTTTCAATAGCATTATCGGGATTCTAACCCGTGAGGGTAAGATAGCAAGGTAACTTACCGGAGACATAATTTCTATTAGGTAACAGATGCTGCCTTCTAGATCTAAAACCCAACAGTCCAAGAAGAAAGCACGTGAAACCGGCGAGGACTCCAAAATCAAGGTAGTAACGTCGTCCAAGCTGAAATTATATGAAAATAGCTAGGTAACAACGTTATTTATATATATATATATATATATATACTTGTTTAAAGATGACTAATACAGCGAACCCCCGGTGATCCGACAAACGTTTTGCAGGGCAGTGTCGGACCATCGAATTTGTCGGATTATAGAGTACTGCCTAAGACCCCCTATAGTTCGGATTTTTTTGCAAAGGAGTACCTTGTAATTCGACAAATTACAGATCAGTGATAAGAATCTATATGTTATAAGTGCTCTGAAGTACAGATCATACTTCATTATGTATATCGAATTTAGTAGGTAAATTAAACAACATAATATAGAAGTTACTAAAATAATTTGAAATTATGAATTAAAATTGAATCAATCAATTTATGAAGCATGAAAATATTCTTGAATTTTTTTTTATATCATAAATTGTAGATCGCCCTACGCCGTATTCACTTGGCAAACTACTGAAAGATTCATTTAGATTTAAGCGATCTAAAATATCAGATTTTTCTTTAATTGTCAGAGTTTTGTGCTTTCGCTTGTGGGTTTGTGACGACATTACTAGGTACGTATAGGTACGTAATACATAATGAATAAACAGTAGGTAAACAATGAACGCACGCACGCAAGGCGGCGGACCACTATCACCTGTAGTCAAATTCATACTAAGCAATCCGAATCAAAACAAAACCTACGCGTCGAGCGCAATAATGGGGGCGCGCACAAGTTGTGACCTGTTCAATCATGCATTACGTATCTACCTAAAAATATTCGGACATGTCGGATTACAGGGGGCGCCGGATTAGACAGGGGCCGGATTACCCGGGGTCCACTGTATATCCAAAAAGTTTCTATTGAAGTGGTGTATGATTACATTTTCTTTACCTACTACAGAAATAGCTAGAGAGAAACCCAATCGAGTGGAGCTTTATACTTATAGCTATGCAATACTTTTGTCGAAATTATAAAAAAAAACGTACTAATATTATAAACGAGAAAGTTTGTGTGTTTGGATGTTTGTTGCTTTTTCGCGCAAAAACTATTTATCCCACTAAATTGTTCACTATAGGCCACGCAGACGAAGCCACTGACTGAAAGCTAGTATAGAAATAAGCTCACAGTTTTTGAACTTTCAAAAGATAATCAAAAGAATTCAGTCAATTAACTTAGATACTGTTACTATAAGTTTGAACATCTATGTTGTGACCCCGCAGAGCTTGACGTCGAGTTCTAGGCTGATTTTATGCGCATAGGGTAAATGATAGAAGGGGGGTGAGCGTCCCGGCGACTCGGTCACGGCATCCCGGGTCTCATCCCCAGGGGAGGGTACACCGTAGGGGTTTTTGTGGGTAGGCCTTCGGGAGCCCACAGCGCGGCTAGCCTCGGGGTGGGCTCACGAAGGAAAGTCCCACACACCCCCTGTCGCTTGCCGGGCGGCAGGGTAGTGCCTAATGCATTTCCTCGACGTTAAAAAAAAAGGGTAAATGATAGAAAGAACGCAGAATACTCACAGTGTACATCATGTTGAAACTGAGGCCGGTAGTGAGCGCGCCGCAGAGTGTGAGCATGAGCGCGGCGATAGTGAGCGGTGCGGCGTTGCTTGGTTTAAGTGTCGTAAACGATTTGTATGTAGTCTCTGAATATTCCGAAGGCTCTGGTGGGGGAGCCACTCTGAAAGTTAATAATATTTGATAAAAATGAAACTACACCTTATATAGAATGTAACCTATACATGAATTACAGGACGTATATCTTACAAAAAAAAAATAGAAACGTCTTCAAACTTTAAAAATAGTGATAAAACTGATAAATAATACTTATCTCAAAAGCGGCTTATTTAAGAAAATGCTCTTAAAGTCGAGCGGAGGGAGGTCTTCTATAAGTTATAAATTAAATAATAGGCGCTCGACTTCAATGGCATTTTCTTGAATAAGTTGCTTGTGAGATAAGTAGGTATAGTTTATCACTTTTTAACCGACTTCAAAACCGAAAAGAAGGTTATATATGTTTTTTATGTTTGTTCATCGATATCCTCGTCAATTGTTGACCGATTTTCAAAAGATCGAGGTGGTCACATTTAAATTTTATCTAAATCAAATAAATAGTTTTCCTTTTATAACAGAACAAAATACGCAATCCAACAGAAATCACCTAACTATTAAGATAACATGCCTATTTCTGCTAAAAACAAAAGATTGCGTATTTAGAATTCATTCAAAATCTCTTGTATAGGTACTCTGGTATACTTTATTCTTTGATGTATATTTTTTAAAGAAAGTCATAGATAGTAGGTATCAATGAGTAAAGTATATATAGGGGTAGGTATGTTCATCGATTTCTTTTAGAATTGTGAACCAATTTCTATCAAACTAGCTGTTTCCCCGCGACTTCGCCTGCGTAAATTATTGCCTATGTCCGCCACGTATTATGTAGCTTCCCGTAGATTAAAGACTTTTATTAATCGGACCAATTATAAATCCTATTCTAAGATTTCCCTATGTTAAATAAATTAAATTAGATAGATATTTAACATTTAATATCACCAAAAGAATAAAAAAAATAGAACCAGCTTAAAACTTAAAAAAGTGGTAAATAATACTTGAGATATGTATTATTTAGGCGACTTATTAAAGAAAATGAAAGAAAATAAGATTTATAAAAGTCGTTCTAAGCTAAATAATACGATTTGGACATAGGCTATAATTTACTCAGTCGAAATCGCGAGTAAACGGCAAGTTTGATAATTTTTTTTTACAATTCAACAAGAAATCGATTGAAATAGCTACTTTCATACAAAATTTACATACTCCTTGAACGTAGAAAATCCTTCTTTCGGATTCTGAATAAATTCCAAATACGAAATCTTTTGTTTTTAGCTGAAATACAAGAAATATACCTACTTAAAAACGTACATCGCTGCCGAACACATAACCTCCTCATTTTGAAGTCGGTTTACAAACAAATATTACCTACCTCCACACACAGCTACAATGCTTCATATTCAATTCTGATTCAAAATTATTCATTCAGTCTAGAATATTTACAAGCACTTGTGAAATTCGAAACTCTTATTCCATTGGTTAACTCAGCAAGGACTGGTTTTTTTTTCCATGTTTTATTTCATACAGAGATGTTGCATCCAAAATAAATTATTAGAACATGAAGTGACTTAAAATAACAAAAAAAAAATCGACAATCGTTTCACAAATACACACTTCAAACAAAGTCATTGATAATAAATAATTCATTAATATATACGCATTATAAAAGGAATTAGACAAGTATAAGTAGATCTAGTTCAGATGCATCTTCACTAGCAGCCCCCGTTCACGAGCATTATGCTTAGAGTCAATCATCGCTTTGCACAACCATATTTTATGGAGCTTAACGACACGACCTTCAAACGTTAAAAATTAAAAATAGTATAAAAATATGGGATACATGACCAAAATTCTCACATCGTTCACATCTCAGTGCCCCTGGCACTAGTAATTGAGAAATTAAGCAAAAAACATAATGCACTTAATAAAAATTTACCCTTGCGTCCCTGATAGGACATATTTAATAAGCTATTCCTCAGCAAAACTGTTAGAAAATAAACATTTCATCCATGAACCTACCTGGGCATTATAACAGCTGTTGTTTTATCCTTTTGGTCTTTGCCTCGCCTCTCGTAGTCTCTCCGACTTTCTCTACTGGTTTCTCTTCTACTCATATCTAAACTCCTATCTCTACTCTTCTCTCTAAAACTCGTTACAAAAACATCTTGCTGTTCCAATTCCGGTATACCATAATTTAACTTTTGTTGAGCTTTAGGCGAAATTGGAGAAGTTGTTATGCTGCCTCTTGACATTGTAAGATTCGCACAAGATTTTGATGGTGTCACGCCTTGTGTTGGAGTACTCGAGACCATTTTTTTAGGAGTTACATATCTGTGGGGGCTGTCCATAGATTTGTTTGGTGTAACGTGAACGGAAGGCTGGCTCGCATAACTCTTTAACTTCCTCGGCGTGGACAATAGCTCGTGCAGTTTCTGCGTTGCTATCAGATTTTTCCTGCTCATGACTGGTGATGTGAAAGTAACGTTTCCTTTTTTCACCGGCTCCTCATCATCTGACGGCACTATTGCGTATCTGAGTGTTCTACCATTCACGGTCTTCACGATTTCAGCCGGTATTTCCTTCATTTCATTATCGTCCGGTCCGTCTACATTATATTCTTCTACGTCTTCTGCTTTCGCTTCTATTATCCTCTTCTTCGTAGGCGAGTAATCCATTAAATCGTCATAATCGTCTCTGATTACTTCATATCTATGTTTAAGTCTGCTGTCTTCTAAGCCATCGTCACTTTCAGCATTCCTCTCGTACTTTGATCGCCGCTGCTGTTTAAATTGTGCCATTTCTAGATCCTCACTCCTTGTTCTACTTCGAATTGAAGTTCTAGATGTTTTGTATACTAGTGATGATTGTCTTTGGAAACTTCTGTTCATAAACTTAGCTGGCTTCGGTGGTAGCTCTGGGGGTTCGTCCCTTAATCTTCCAGCAGGCGACATCCTTAAAGGATTATCGGATATATCAGTCCTTAATATCCTATTAGCAAGGTCCATTTTGCGTGGAGAATTTGCTCCAAGAGGCGGCATCCTTTTCCTGTCCGGTGTAAGGACTTTTGTAATGCATTGCTTCTGAAACACTTCGCTTTGTGCGCAAAATGCTGGATTTGAGTAATATTTGTATATTATTTTAGGAGATTCCATTATAAGCGTATATTTTCCCCGTCTTGTAAATGTGCATTAGACCATGTCGTCGAAGCAAGGGTGCTTTTTGAGCGTGACCAAGTCACTTGTTCACTTACACTAACTTAACGGATGCACTTAGATTTGAACATAGTAACACTAAAACTACTTTCTTATTACTTCACTATAGTTTTGTATTATTTTATTTCAAGTAAAGTACAGGCGTGTCGTCCTTCCAACGATTATCCGTCAACTGCCGCGGAATTTTCGAAAAACCATGGGGTCGAATAATGGCGCGCGCGCACCCTAACAAACGGCACGCGCTAATATCAACATTTAACAGGGAAAATTAACCTTTATTCCTTTGTGTTAAAGTAGTTTTTATCTGTTATAGAATAGGTAAGTTTTTTTTATTTAAAGGTGTCAAGAATTCGACATTAACGTAGGTTGGTTTAAGGTTGAAAATTGAGATTATTGTCATTTGTTATGCAATTATTGAATGAAGCGAACGGAAGAACTATTTTATGGAGGGCGAAATTTTTACTCAGAAATAAGTAAGTACCAGTTGTAATATCTACTTTCTTGCATTACCTACATACTTACACTATATTCACTTAAGAAGAAGATTTTATTAACTAGTTATACTTAGCTGTCATGGTTATAAATAGGTATTTTTAAATGTCCAAAAATAAAACAAACAAAGTTAATAACATTTTTATATATTTTTTTAATATAAGGGTAAAATATTCTAAGACTAAAATATTTTTGATAATCGTTTTGAGATTCAGAAACAAAATAAGTAGAACGATAATAATATTCAGTGAAACATCAAGTACCTATATTTATAGAATCATACGTTTTAGAAGAATTAGTTTTATTGACAAACATTCATATTCATACATTTATGATAATGTTAGGCGCTGTTCTAACAAATTATTTGAATTTAAATAAAAATAATGATATTTGCCACTTTTAAGTGATTACTAGCTAGTTTTCCAGTTTCGCATGCGTCTCACCTGCTATAGGCTATCTCGCTTTCGCAGTTATATCAAGAGGGTGGCGCGTGCTCAGCGTAACGGTCGCGCGCAGCTGCATCTACAGCTGCGGCCAGGGTTCGATAACATGTTGACACTTTTATGCAAAGGTTGGGGCATTTAGGAAAAGTTATATCGAAGAAACCAACGTGTGCTACATAGTGCTACTACGTAACTGAATTATTAACTCCCACCACTTTGCACGCGTAAACTCCTGTACGTGAAAGAATTTTTAAAAGCGTTTTATAGGTTCGGAGCCTAATTAAAGCAAAAAAACGGTAATTTATTTTCTCTTCATTTGTTCATAGTTAAATGATTAGTTTTAGCAATACATACTATAAACAAAATATCTTTTTAGTTTCTCTATGTAAAAAAACCGATTAACCAGATTTTCAAGTTATATTTGTGATAAAAACCTAATAAAAGGGTTTATACGTGTAATTCTCGTACGTAGATTTATAATAAAATTTGGTTTATTTAAATAAAATTAGTTTATATTTGTAATATAAAGAAACATTTATTTCGTCGTTAGTTTTTTTTTACTGGTTTCGTGTTCACATAAGACTAAGGTGTTGATTGACTTTTAATTATGAATTACCATCAAAACAATAATATTGGACACATTCACGATACAAAAAAGGTTATTAAAATAATTATTTTTAAAATACACTTTACTTATTAATATCTTTGCTATCGTAATCTTTCACCAGTTCCAAATTTAAGAGTCTTATCTGAGAAGAGCTGGCGAGACATAAAATTCGGATGTTTTGTAATTTCGAAAGCCTCGCATTTGGAGCTGTCTGTCTTTTCGGTGAAAGATTTCACTAACTAATAGGTTTTTCTGTGCATTACATTGAAAGTTCTTTAGTTTGTCAAAATGATTTGACTACTGATAAAGGCGGATTTAAACATAATATCAGGTTATCAAAATAGATACTCATTTCAAAATCTAAATACTCAGCGTAAAATGATTTAAGTTGGCCTTCCCTGCCGCTTCCAGTCGTCAACCGATTATCAATAGGATGCCGAACCGACCATAGATTGAAAAAAAACTTTATTTTTAATCAAGAAGTTTCTATATAATAACGGCCTTGAACTTATTTTTTTAAACGATAAAATAAGGTTTTTTGCGCAGTAAATAGATAGGTTTATTTATAGTCTTAAAAATAGTTTTAATGTTTGTGTGTTTGTATATAGGTATTTAATGTTTGTAGGCAAATCCTACTGATATTATAAATGTAAAAGTTTCTTTGTTTGGTTTGTCTGTCAATCACGATGAAACTGCTGATCGGATTTTGATGAAATTTGGTATACAGATAGGGTATTAGCTGACTTAGATAATAGGATACTTTTTATCCTACTAAACATTTCCCTAGGGACCATGCGGGCGAAGCCGCTGGCGGAAGCTAGTTGATAATGAAATAGTTGAGTGGACTAAAAATTTTGATTTGACTCTGTTGAAGTTTTTAATAAAAATAAAAGTTCCTATTGAATGAGTAATTTTTTCTACATGAATTATAAGATTTTTACATTTTAACCTTAGATTAAATAAAATAACTTGAATCGAAGTTTTACATCAACCAAATATTTCTAATCATACTATGTACTAAAAATATTTGTTTTAAATATGATATTTCAGTTAATAAATTAATTTATATAATAATTGACGTCCTTCTTTAAACTTTATATATTGAAATTAATAACAAAATCGACTTGAATAATCATATACTTATCGCGGGTAGAATTATAAAAGTAATTATTTTTAGAAATTTTGCGAAATACCCACTCTCTCTGATGTAAGTTAATCAAAAATGAAAAAGGCAATAAATACATATATTCTTCAACCTACCTTTAGGTATAACTGAAAAAAATATCTCGTTAAATACACCGCTAGTTGCGAACATCCAAAATTGTATGTAACTAGTGATCGAATCGCGAATCGCTATTCGAAAATCATGACTCCACCTGTCAAGAAGAACAAAACGCGTTCATCACGTGCCGGCCTCCAGTTTCCCGTGGGTAGGATCCACAAGATACTCAAGAAAGGGAACTATGCGGTCCGGATTGGCGGTGGGGCGCCTATATATCTTGCAGCAGCGTTGGAATATTTGGCAGCTGAAATCCTTGAATTAGCAGCCGACGCCGCTAAAGAACACAAAAAGAGTAGAGTCGTCCCAAGGCACATACTCTTTGCGATACGGAACGACGAAGAGCTGAACAGGATGCTGACGGGAGTTACAATATCGCAAGGAGGTGTTATTCCTTCTATACAACCGCAGTTGCTGCCTAAGAAGACTACGAAGAGCAGCGGATGAATTGGTGCTGAATTCGAATTGATGAAGGCCGAATAAATGGCCCGATTGACAAAGCCCCTTTAGGGGCTGCATTATTTCTTGTTTCTAAAACAGAGTTGTGGTTCACCTATCTGCCTACCTCCTATACGGTAGATTGTTAAAAATGGAGTTTCCATTGTATTTTATTTAGCAATCTTTGCTTTTCATTCTCTTAATACGTTGGAAATTAAATTAAATAGTTGAATAGTTTTCTTCTAAAGACGAACTGGCTTAAAATATTGTAGACTAGCGAGACTCCAAAAAAAATTATTTTTCAAAAAATAAAACCGTCACAATTTTAAACAGTGATAAATATTTATTTTAAAAGCGACTTTTTCAAGAAGCTGCTATTGAACGCGGGCGGAGATTTTTTTAGTAGGTTATTATTAATTAAGTGATAAATGATAATCCTCTTTTCGGATTTTGTATAAATCTTTTGTTCGCAATCTTTTGTTTCTTCGCTGATATAAATATGTCATCTAATATTAAGGTGAAATATTTCGATGAAAAGCATATATTTTGTCTTGTTATACACTGTAACGATTTCGATAAAATTGAAATAGGACCATCTCGGACCATTAAGCTGTAGAATAAAAAAATATATTTGAAAATCGATCAATAAATTCGAGTAATAATCGGTGAATATACGTAAAAAAATAAAACACAACAAAACGCATGAGAGTGTTTTACGGAAAATATATTAAACTAGGTAGGTAGGTTCATATTTATAATATAGAAGAAAAGAAAAGATCGAGTATTTTGCATTTCTATAAAGTTTACATCAAATATCTATTGTCAGTAAAAATAATGAAATACTTTGAATAAATAAAATCGCATAAAAAATGTGAATAACGTACTAGTTTAAGATGATTTTTATTTTTCATTCTTTGAAATTTTATTGTATTTATTTTCATTACATTTTCTATTTTTAAGTACTACTGATACGTGATTACCTACATAACAAGAACATTGATATTCATGCGTATAACGCGCCACATTGGAAATTCAATTAAAGTCATTTGCATTATATTGTTATTTTAAAATACTGGATTGCGGAAAGTCGTGGGTTTGAGTCCCTTCTTAGAGTACCAAAGGCTGGTGGATTTTTTAAACATTTTTCACTATGAATATTTATGTATTTGTTCTTCTATCTTGTTTAATTCAAATTATAGTTGAAAACATGGTTTCTGCTGCTAATCCGGCGAATGCCCTGTACTCGTGGATCGAAGCGAGCCAAGGGATAAAATAGTATTATATAGTTAGCCATTTTTAGACGTATAACTCTATCCATTGAAATATTTATTGCAGCCCTAAAAAGGGCTTTGTCAAACTTTGCTTGCGCTGCGTCACTTTGAAATGGGCCTGTCTACGCCCGCTCGCCCCTCACTCGTCTCGCCAACTGTATGTCTTTAGGCATAATGGTGACCCTCTTCGCGTGAATAGCACATAGATTCGTATCTTCAAACAAACCAACCAAATAAGCTTCACTTGCTTCCTGTAACGCCATCACGGCCGAGCTCTGGAACCTCAAATCAGTTTTGAAATCTTGAGCTATTTCCCGGACGAGACGTTGGAACGGCAGTTTTCTTATTAGTAATTCAGTACTCTTCTGGTATCTTCTTATTTCGCGAAGTGCCACAGTACCGGGGCGGTACCTGTGAGGTTTCTTAACACCTCCTGTTGCCGGAGCACTTTTCCTTGCGGCCTTTGTGGCAAGTTGCTTCCTCGGCGCTTTTCCACCAGTAGACTTGCGAGCGGTCTGTTTTGTGCGAGCCATTTCGACGTTGTGTAGATTTTGGTGTATACAGCAGCTTATATACTTATGATATGCCCCTCCATTTCTCTTGTAGTTTTCTTTTATTATGTGTGGGTAGATAATCTTAAAATTATCGTACTACCCACATAAATATAAATACCCTACCTATTAGGAGTAGCGACACTACGAAGTAAGTAGGTATTCAACGTATGTGCGAGTTTCCCTTCGATAAATAAATTACATAATGTATGTGCGAGTTTTCCTTTAATAAATAAATTACATAATGTTGTTTAAAACTACGTTATGTGTGTCTTGTAGTTTGGTATCTACAGGTACTTTTTATTACATGTCGTCTCATTTACAAACAATTACAAAAACTAAACGTAACTTCAAAATCATAATGTAACCGATTTATTAGTTGTTCATCATGAAAAAGACGTACTGTTATTATGAAATATAAACATTTGCGGTCCTCAAAAGGACCTTGTCAGTCTTGCAAACGAATAAACAATAAAATTAATCAACAATATTTATTTCAATATATGTATTATCAACCGCCGAAACCATATATCGTCCGTCCTTGTCGTTTCAAAGCGTAAACTACATCCATAGCGGTGACAGTTTTCCTCTTCGCGTGCTCAGTGTACGTTACAGCATCTCGTATGACATTTTCGAGGAAAACCTTCAAAACGCCTCTGGTCTCTTCGTAGATCAAGCCGGATATTCTTTTAACACCACCTCTTCTAGCCAATCTCCTGATGGCTGGCTTCGTGATCCCTTGAATGTTATCACGGAGGACTTTCCTGTGTCGCTTGGCACCTCCTTTTCCGAGACCTTTCCCGCCTTTTCCACGGCCTGTCATTTTGTAGCTTTTTTCACTCGAAGGATGGACGGCAAATGACGAGCGGTGATTAAGCCGGTTCTTTTTATTGAAAGTCGGATATTTCGTTGGTGGGTAGACGCATACAGCTTTTTACTTCTACCTTTCGTTAACAGTGAATGAAATGAATATGTTTGTAATAATATTTTTTATACTTACAAACGAATATATTTTTGAATTGTGGTTGAATTTTTAATTATATTAGAATTCACTTCCAAAGTTTGGAATTCACACCGATATTTTGTAATATTGATGGTGGAGATACACTAGGTCATTACCTACCAAAAGACGGATGTAATGTAACATTATTTTCATGTGAATTTTAATAAAATTATGGACAATGAATTATTAGTAGCCAATGTCCTGAAGCTAAGAATTTTTTTGCTCAAATGGCGCATAAACCCAACAGATTGGCCCTGTCTACAAAAAATAGGGATAGACAATAAAGAACTGCGCCGCAAAAATCGTTTTTAATTAATTTCTCGCAAACTATTCCGATTATTGTAAAAGTTGGCTACCGACTCGCAAATTTATTACTTTTCCCAATAAAAAGGGCTATATAATTGAAAAAAAAAAGTGAATTTTAGTTGTTTAGGTGTGATTTCTTTTTTTCAATTGAAAATAAATTCGAATTTTCGCTGTAAAATAACCTTTTCGAAACCAATTAAAAGTAAGTGATTTTGGGTGTATGCGTCTTCTTTATAGTTAAACTATCTTTAGGAAATAAAATCAAATTTCTGAATAAAACAATTACTACTAGGATTACACTTTTCAACTTTAACGATATGAGGCTTTGTATTTATGGGATTTTAGTTTTAAGAGTTCCGTTCCGTTAGGGAAAAACTGAAAACCTATTATACTCAGACTTCGCTGTCTGTCTGTCTGTCACCAGGCTGTATCACAAACATTATTTATATTGCTTGCTTTTCCTCGATATTGATAACGACAACAGGTAGACGCTTGAAATATTTACAGAATATGTATTTTTATAGTAACTTTAGATATAAATAAATAAATTAAGTTTATACAAATATTTAAAAGTGCTCCCATAGAACTAACGTGATTATTTTGCTCGTTTCCGATACGGAACTAGGGTTGCCAGATGGTCGGGATTCGTCTGGATTGTCCCGACATTTCGTATGATGTCTAGGGTCCCGAAAAAAACAAATATGTCCCGACGAAAATTGTTAGATTCTGAAAAATCCAATTCCAAGTATAAAAAAATAAAATAGCACACATATCATAACAAATATTATAAGTAAGTGTATTAGCTGTTTAAATGTTTTACTATTATTATGTGATCTTATAAATTGACGAAAAAGTAGATACTTGTTATTATTAAAAAAAAATACTTAAAGGTGAATTTTTATTAGTATTTTTTGTCCCGAGTGTGATCCCAAAATCCCGACTTTTTCAAATTTTGTTCAGATATTTTAGTCTCGCTATCTGGCATCCCCATACGGAACCCGTCGTACGCGAGTCCGACTCACACTTGGCCGGTTTTAAATTACTTAATAAGATACATTATATGTGTATTTAAAGCACTAGGTCTTCGGTGTCGCATCTTAACATTAAGAAAAGAGTCACATCCAAGATTTTATATTATCGAGAACCTACCCACAAATTAACACCGAATGGCGACTTCTGATTGACTAATAGTATGGATAGACACGCTTCTAGTTGCGAAACCTTGAAAATACACAATACACCAACAGAACACATAAATAAATTTACTGTAAGCCGAAATTTTCAATACAAAAATAATATTCTAACAACGAGAACGAAGATGGCGCCCGCAAAAGTTCCAAAGAAACCAGTGAAGTCAATGGAGAAACCTATAGAAAAGCCGATATCCAAATCGAACAAACGGATAAAGAAGAAGAACTACCAATCCTTCTCGATCTACATATATAAACTCCTTCGGACCGTGACGCAAGATTCCAACTTGGGTATTTCAAGAAAGAGCATGCTGATCATGAACAATTTCGTCAATGACATGCTCGAGAAAATCGCAGTTGAAGCAAGTAGACTTGTCGTCCACGGAAAGAAGACCACAATGGGTAGTCAAGAAATACAATCGGCCGTTCGACTTCTGTTGCCAGGGGAATTAGCGAAGCACGCCACCATAGAAGGCATCAAAGCCATTAATTTATACCACACAAGTCAAAATAGGGATATGAAAAAAACTTAACGTCTACTTTTGAAATAATAATATTGTTTTTTATATTGCCGAATATTGTACAGATTTGTTGATTTTGATATTTAAGATTAACGAGGCCCTTTTCAGGGCTGAAAATTTTCATATTTCATTAGGACAGACGTCTAACCTTATTTAAATGCAAAATAACTAAAATAAAAGTATTTTATTTAGAAAACTCTTTGGAGCGTTTTTTATATTTGCAAAGATGTAATTTAAAGATGCGTGTGCCAGTCACTAGAGAGCGCTGCAAAAATATTAACCCCACTCTACGTGTAGCGGAGGTAAATTTGAAACCTGTTAACACAAGTCTCACGGCATTATCAAACTGTACGAGCATTCTTCGTGGTGTATACCTTGTTCATGACAATATGGAATTGGATATCCTCTGAGGTGAAGTCCTCAAAATACAGTAGTGTGAATCTGTGGGAACTCAAAATAGTAGGACCCTGTAACTTAAGAACTCACAAACTTACAGTGGCCAAATAATATAACTATATATAATTTTGCAAAAGTACAGAGGGTCGTATTGCTAAAATAAATTTTAAAATATTCTATAATATTTATAAAATTCATAAAACCAATTATATCTAGTACTGCTAATGGTTAAATATAGTTAATAAAAGCTTACTTAATGTGAAGAAGTAACTCTTCTGTCTTCTCATAAGACAATGGGAGAAGCCATTGTGAAAGCGTATTTTTGAGCAGTCTGGTATTTATAATTGTAACGGAAAGGACCCAGGAATGGTAGGAATCTATGGCTAAAGGATTTACGAAAAAGTCGACATATGTCTATTACGGAATTTGGCAACATCGGGATCAAATGGTAACTTAAGAGTGTTGGTGCAACAATGTATACAAAATTAATAATTTCCGTACGAACAAAACTTCGCAGAATGAATAGAGGGCATCAGTGGGAAATAGAGATGATTTGAAGGTAGCTTAAGTATAGCACGTTGGGCAAGTATAATGATACTAGATTTAGGAGTATTTCAACAATTAGTAATTTTAAAATCTTTAGTAAATGAAGATAATTTAATATTTTAAAAAGGTATTATTTTATTAAAGTACTTTGCAAATACTTAATTTGTAAATACATATTTTATTTATAAAATACACAAATCAAAATTATTTTGTATGTACAGCATTTCAAATAAAAATCGGATATGTATTTGACTTTTGCATTTTAATACTGTTCGTACCTATATTCAACATCTATCAGGCAATATATCAGAATATAAAAATCTGACAAATTTCTTCAGTTGATTTTAAACTTTATTGCGTTTAGTGTAGAATCGAGAATCGATTGCCAAATTGGACGTCTTATAGTAACTTGATAAGCAACTGTGTGTACAAGCTCTGTTAGGTTTTGTATTAAGTAAATAAGTTAGTATTAAAAAAGTATAATGCGAGAGATATATTTTCAACTATCTTAGCTAAATCACATCACATAAACGTTTTTTTTTCAGTGGATCTTGTATTACAATCTTATTTTTACCCGACTGCGCGACGCAAAGGAGGGTGTTTATCAGTCTATGTATGTTTGTTTCTATGTGGCGTTCTAGAGACCAAATGCGTAGGCCGATTTTGATGATTCTTACGTCAATCGATTCGTCTTAACCTTGCGAGTGTCACTAAAGACATGACAGTACTCAAAATTCACCACAGCGACAACCAGACGCCATATTGTCTAAATGAAATAAATAAAAATCGATGAACTATGTCAAGTGGGGTGTCGTTAAATGGGTATTTTAAAATCATCTTTAGGTTCCTTTTATCATTTTTCATTTTAAATAATAGTTTAGGATATATAACGATTTAAAGTTGTTTAACAAAACATTCTCGCTAATTTTCTTACTTATTGATTAAAGATTTTATTTGGAGTATAAACGATATACAAACAAAAAAAAACAGTTAAAAAAGCACGAAGAACAAATATTTTTGGTAAAGAAATAAATCATATGTAGTTTTGAATCGAGTTAGATAATCATCAGTAGTTTAGACCACTGCAAGTTACTTAATAATCCCCACGATAATAACTCTCTCAATGAAATAACTTGATTGCGAAATTTACCATCTTATAACGAAGTCAACGAATCGTAACTAAAAAGTATGAAATAAAAATAAATAATTTAAAGTAAAACAAAAATCCCGACTGCGTAAATAATCAATCAAATTTTACCAATCAAATCTTGGCAAGGGGTCCCGACTATGAGTCGTTCTGTTCTGTATTACTTAACAGGATTCTAGACTACTGGGCTTGTTTCTTTCTTTTTAGTTTTTATTTAAGTTAATTCTTTCATGTATTCATTTTTTAAATTCGTTTTTACGCAGTCGGGATTTTTGTTTTTCTTTGAATTATTTATTTTGTTATAGTAATATTATAATGAGGAAAGATTTGATTGTTCGTTTGTTTGCATGTTAGGCTCCCAAATTACTGGACCGATTTTAAAAATCCTTTCACCTACGGGTAGCTACTTACATCATATGCGTTTGACATAGGCTAAAATAAATCTATGAATACTAATTTTATAAACAGGTAAAGTTTCTAACTTTGTTTGTTTGTATGGGGTTATCTTCGGAAATACTGATCTGATCTTGAAAATTCTAACATTTGTGCTTACTTCCTACAATATACGCGGTTGACAAAGTCTATAATTTACGGGGGTCAAATAACGAAGAACAGCTAATTCATAATAAAAGAACTTCATAGATTATTAATTTATTTTTTACGTCAATACACTCCAATATTATTTAATATATGCGTGAGTATGATCTGATGCACGTCTCTAAACACTGTGCGGACATTATCTGTGTCCGTGGCAGTGGTGAAGTGGAAGTAGCACTCGCGGGGTCTAGTCGCTTCTAACACCACGAACCGTTCAGGGCTCGATATTTGTTTGTTGCGGGCTCGATTTTTAGTCGTTATGTCCTGAAAAAAGTTTTTACTTTATTTTCTTAATTTATTCACATGTGTTTGAGGTTCGATGGCGCATTGGTCATAGGATGGGTGACTATTTATTATTTCGAGCTCCTCCATGCCAATTCGCACTGGTCCCGGCCCGTTCTTCCGATTTGATTTATTCGATTCCATTGATAGGGAAAGTTTCTGCCCCAGCCGCACAGTGTTTCCATTTGGGAAAAAGGTGGACATAACAAAACTTCTAGTTATGGATTAATTTAGTATGATATATTTTTTTTTAATTCTAACAAATAAGTTATTATCATTTGTCGACTTATATTTTTCGATGAAAGAATTCACAAGATTACGGGCGGTCATTTGCGAGTGCGTGAAATTTTTGAATCGGAGATCTGAGATAGGTTTTTGACTGAGACTGACTGGCTGAGATAGATAATAAGTTCCTTACAACACTAGGCAGCAATTATAACGTATTCTATGAAAATAAACTCAGATTTACGCTTGAATAATTTCGTGCGGCCGCAAGTCACAGCATGTTATTTGTTTTTTTTAATTCAAGACGCCTAACTCTGCTATAGTATATTGTCAAATTTCCAATAAATTCAATCAATGCGCAAGAAAAAGATATAACATGTTTTTTCCATACAAGAAAGTCTTATGGATTCTCTTCTCGAAAAATATAAGGTTAAAGTTATAGTTATTAGGTTTATAAAATCTATAAACTTTTGTACCTGTGTCCACCTTTTTCCCAAATGGAACACTGTGAGCTGTGGCAATAATACGCTGATGATATATAAACTCTTTAATTTTGACATAACTGTAGTATGGGAAAGGTCTACTTAAATAGTCCTCCAATTATTTATAAAAAAATTTAAAAAGTATTTTTTCCGAACGTATAGCAGTTGGAATGTAATACGTAGTACCTGCCCGCTAAAGGAAAGTTGTTCTTTAGAGAAGAAACTTTATTTTTTCGCAAAGAAATCTAACTTACGTATTAATAGACTTAATTAATTATTCATAATACTTTCGTTCGTAATTCGTATTGAAGAAAAATAGTACATACCACAAACATACTCTTGATAAACATTTTGGTCCTAGTGTACTCGTCACCGGTACCTTGGAACTGATTATACTGGGGGAAGTATGGGGCAATACTGCGGCCTTGCGATATCTTCTGTTCAAGAAGATCTTGCTTATTTAAGAACACTATTAGGCCCGCTGAAATTAGAAACCTGATGGAAAAAAAACACTGTTAAAACAAAACAACCGTTTCATTCGTTTATATTTCATAGCATTTAACTAAGACTCCGCTGTCCGTCCGCCTGTCTATCCATCTGGTACCATGACCAGGCTGTATCTTATCAACCGTGAGAGATAGACATTTGAAATTGTCACAGATGATGTATATCTGTGGCTGCTATAACAATATTTGTATGATTGTTTTGCGTATGCAAGTTTAGTGTGATTTTTTATGTTTTTCATAGATAATCCGACTCGGACTTGACCTCGTTTTTTTATGAATTAAAATAACGAGGTCAAGTCCTGATCTACCAATTCCGACGATGACGAATGTATGATCAAAATGTATAGATATATACTTATACAAAGTGTAAAATACAAAGTATTATATGGCCATCTCACTCGCACACACAGCGAGGCTCAGGCGCGTGGATATTGGTAGATCGCCCGATGGCGTGATACTTGAATCTGTCTGATTGCTTAACATTTATTGGTGCCACATACTGTACACAGTGATGTTTTGAGGTTTATACGGGTCATGATTAACACCTTATATAAAACATCAAGTAGTATTAGTAACACTACCAACCACCATATATATTTAAATCCAAAGGCAATAATAATCCTAGCTAGATGTTTTTATGATATAAATAACCTGTACCTAAACATTGATACGAGGGTCAAACTGAAAGTTCTTAGAAAATCAAAAACTGATTACATTAGCCAGTTATTAGTTTTATTATATCTTTTCAAAATATTGTCCATTCACGTCAATACACCGCTGCATGCGATGGAACCACTGGGAAAAGCACTTTGCCCACTCGTCCTTAGGGGTCTCTTCAATGGCATCGCGATACGCAGCCACTGCTTCTTCAGCATTCATAAACCGCTTTCCTTTAAGTTTTTCTTTAATTTTTGGAAATAAATAAAAATCACAAGGCGCGAGGTCGGGGCTATACGGCGGGTGACCCAGTAATTCAACGTTTGATGTCGCCAAATAGTCGATCGTTCGCTTGGCGGTGTGCGACGAGGCGTTGTCGTGGTGAAGGAGGATCCTACTGCGAGGTCGTTTCTCTCGAACTTTTTCCAAGACAAGTGGCAAACAATTGGTAGTGTACCATTCTGCAGAAACTGTTTTTTGATCCTCTAACACAATTGTTGCAAAATGACCTATCCTTCCAAAGAACGAGGCCACCATTTTTTTTCCCGCACTTCGATCTCTCTTCACTTTAGTTGGCAACTCCTCGAAAGGAAACACCCACTGAGCAGATTGTCTTTTGGTTTTAGGATCATAACAGTAAATCCAGCTTTCGTCACCTGTTAGTATGTCGAACACAGCATTTGAGTCACCTCCGTTAAATCTTTCAATCATTTTACGACACCAATCCACACGATGGAGTTTTTGAGCCTCAGTCAAATTATGAGGTATCCACCGGGCGCAAAGCTTCCTGACCGCTAAATGTTCGTGGAGGATTTTGTGCACTTGACTCATACCGATGCCTAAGCTTGTCCGAATCTGTTGATAGGTCACTCTTTTGTCAGTCTCTATCATACGCCGCACAACACAGATGTTATCTTCAGTCGTCGCCGTAGAAGGCCGTCCCTCACGTAAATCATCAGTGAGATTAGTGCGACCACGTTTAAACTCATTAAACCAGTTGTAAACAGTCGCACGAGATGGGGCTTCATCGTGAAAGGCCAATCGTAGTCTATCATAACTTTCTTGTTGACTTAAATGACATCGAAAGTCATAAAAAATCATTGCACGAAAATTTTCTCGTGTTAAATTCATGATGACGTGACACAGACAATTTTCAATTTGCCGCCAAATCGTAAAACAAATGACAAATGAATGAAATATATACTCAGTAATATTGGCAAAGAGTTATATTTTCAAATTTTAGAATTATTTTTTTATTATATTGTTTATAAGTGGCCAGTTCTAAGAACTTTCAGTTTGACCCTCGTATTATCTTTTTAAAATTAAATATTGATATAAGATTTACGGGTAGTTGCACAAACTTCCATTACGTTTTAATGGCGCCTTTAAGTTCAAATGAACGTCGATTTTGGATAGGGAATGTCGCTTTAAACTAATTTCAATTTTGACGTTTGTGCAACGCTGTTACGTTTTATATACAAAAATAATCGGAAACACCAATAAAAATTTTTTTTAATAGAAAAATATATTATACCTGCTTAGCCAGACATCTTCAAAAAGCTCTATAGCTTCCTGCAGCCTGTTCTGTGTATTCTCCTCCCTTAACCTTTGGTCAAAATCACTGCAGGCCACGAGGAACCATATCGCATTGATACCTTCGAATACCTGATAAAATCAAAACATTTGACTATACCGACATGAAATAAAACTGCAAAACATCTTATGGTGGTTAAATAAAATTTCAAAACATATTCAGGGCTAAAATATGATATAACGATTAACTACTAATTTCAAAAATACAATTTATTTCCATCACTCCATTAGTGCTTCTAGCATAGGCTGCCTAGATACTAAGCGGGACATTAGCAGTATACGAAAAATAAACCACATTTTTTCCCATTTACATTTGTTACTTTGATTTTCTTAACAGATCAGCCTAAAATTACCTCTATAATAAAGATTTCAATTAAAACACAAACTATTACATTTTTCAGATTTCTTCACTTTTGGATATAATATATTGGATTATACTTTCCACCGTGTACATGTGTGTGACGGGTTCGATGCTTGGGCGAATTAATGAACGGCTGACTAACCTTGAGAATTGATTTATTTTATGATAAATATGTAAAGGGTAAAGAAAAAAGCCGTAACAAACCAAAAATGAATATAACAGTTCGTATGTTTAACTAAATATAAAATTTTTACCAAATAAAACTAATACATAGTCCCCTTTTTTGTGTGTACCTTGATACGTAAACTTGGACGATACTTCAAGATATAATTTTATTTTAAATAATATATAATTTCTATTTTAATCATAATAACTTCTTATAATATTTTATATTTAAATTTATACGATTTACAATAACATGTTCAGAACAGAAGATTTTTTTTTACGAACTGACATTCATAAAGAGCGTTTGGAGACAAAATCAAATAACGAAAGGTGAATAACAAAAAGAAATGATGTTGAATATCAAAGACAAATGTTTGCAAGCTGTAACCTAGGACGAAATAAACGGTGGCACGGCACACCGTTACACGTGTAGTCGATTACGTTCTTTAGTCCACTGTGCAGCTACTAAAAAAAAATATTCTTTCTACATTGGCGTTATGAACTGGGATGGCGTACATATATTGGCACTGGCATCAGTCAGTCAGTCCAGTAGGCAGGTAGTATCAGTACACGATGTTTTGAAATACCGGGACATTTTCTAGATTAATTGGGACGAGCGGGACAGAAGTTTTAAATCGGCGACATGTCCCGGTGTACTGAGACAAATGGCAACCCTACTCTAGCAACTATCTATTAATGTTGACGTACCTGTATCCACTTTTTCCTCTCTCCTCTCTGTCCACCAACATCGAACATCCAGAAATCTTGGATTCCGCCATGCATCGACTTTGGCACCTTGGTAATTACAAAATGAAATATCAAATTAAAGATTCTGATAAGTTGCTGAATCGATGTCAATAAAGTCCCGAGTAAATAAGTACCTATATAATTCGTAAGTATCTACAACATTTTACACGGAAATGCTACAATCGTTCTGAAATGGAGTAGTCTTTTGGGCGAATTGGACATATCAATAAATAGTAATGTAAGCCATATTTCCTTGGTCGTTAACTTTACCTTGACTTTAAACTCGATTTTCTGTATTCCAGTGGTCTTCTGACGACACCTGAGTATATCAGCATCGGTTGGTACGTAATCTGCCTTCTCAACGAGATCCACTCTATCTAGAAAACTGAACAAATATGTTTACATAAAAAAACCTCATTTAAAAAACAAAATTTTCCCGGGTGTCACTTAGACGAAAACATACTGCGTTGTATTTTAGACCTTATGGTTATTGAAATAAAAACATTACAAATATTAATAGTACATTCGGTTATCGTCGGAATTGGTGATTCTTCTCTTGCACATACGCAGATTTATCTTGCGCCATATTAGTTGGAATTGAGTAATCAAAAATATATCGTTTGAGCTCCTCAGCTTCAAAAAGTATATGAAATCATTAGTCCCGGCTACATCTAATACATTAAAACAAACACATCTGAACCCGCATTGTATATTATCTGTTCTTCCTTTGCTGTTATGTCGGTTTACCGTATACAAAGTCGATGTTGAATAACAAATAAGACGTATTACTGCAGCAACCAGATGCTATGCACTAGTGCTACCCTCAGTTCTTTTTGTAAAAATTTCTTATTTTTTTTGATGACGGTACCAATTGATGTACCTATGACGTCGTTTAGGATGTCGATGGCCAATTCGAAACAAAATACTACACTAGTGAATGTACTTTTAATACTCACTACTCAGCACTATCAATAAGTTGGTACTCGTGAGATCTTTTGAAGCATTCTCTCACTCCAGAATCTTTCCACAATTGTCTGACGATATCGAAATAAGACTGAAACAATTTATTATAAAACAATACACATAAAATAAAAAGTAACGATGGCCTGATATGACGGTAGACAGTAAATTTCGTGAAGCGAATAAGATGCAGTAGATAGACACAACTTTCCTTTTTTTCTATTTCAGAGTGTACACGTTGCTAAAGAGTTGTCATCTGTCCATACGGATTGCAGAGACTCCACTTTCGGATGAGTTAGTAGATAGCACTATTTCGAGTTCCTTCGTGTTTCGGAAGGCACGTTAAATCGTCGGTGTGCAGTAGTTATCACGAACTATCCGAACTGGCCCCGGGTGGTAAGTTTTAACCACTCTCCCTTTTCAATTCGATTCCATCAATGGGAAAGGACAGTGCTGAAGCAATGGCGACTTTAATAGGCTGGCGATGATGGAAGGAGCTCAATTGCGCAGGGGTTAGCGCGCTCAGTCTGCGATACGGTTTTTAGCAACTTTTGCAATGGCCGCTCATAGAATAAGTGACCAGTAATTTATTAGAGACACCTCAAGCTATTGGTCCTGGCTACATCTGCACTAGTAAAAAGCCCCCAAACGGCCTATTGATTTTATTCTATTCCATCCATAGAGAAGGCCTGAACATATTCAGACGCTTGCAATGATGACGACAATGATGATGTAATTTTGAATTCTTTCACACTTTGAAAGGCACGTTAAGCCGTTGGGCCCAGCTCGGTCGATAGCCCACAGGAAAAACACTGGCTCCAGCAATGTGCTGCTGATTATGAGGTGTAATGAAGTAATACATACGTCGTTATACTCCGGGGGGCCCGCGAGACCACAACGTAGTATGTAACTCTGTGCTTGTACGTTCTTAGGGTTCTGCAGAGCAATGCCCAGTGGTCCCATATTGGTGACAATATCGAATATTGATTCGTGGATATTATGTCTTATGTACTTAACTTTTTCAAGGCGTTCGCTGAAATAGTCAATAAGTGTAAAAAAACAATTTATTAGTAACGGTAAGAGTATTTACGTGAAGAGCAAAATCACAGTAAAAACCCTTCCAACTCTTTTGAATATACTTGTTCCACTTTATTATTTAGGGTAGGACGAGGCATATTTATTTTTTAGAGGTTTTTGTTATGAGACCACAACACCCAGACCCGAGAGAATATAGTTCAGTTCATATAGTAATATAGTTCATAAAAAGTTAATTTTCTACATTGACACGACCGGGAATCAAACCCGGGACCCGAGAATAAATATACTTACGTTGCAGAGAATCCTTGTACGTGTAATATTTTCATCTGTTTGATTATTGTAGTTTTACCACTTTCTCCAGTTCCAAGTAAAAGTAGTTTTATCGCCTGTAGCAAAGACATTATACAGTACCAACATCAGGGTCTAATTCAATTCGGGGGGTATAAATGATTATAAATAGAAACACATGCCAACTTTATGTAAATTTAATATAATTTATTTAATCTGGGTTATTACAATTACAAGCACTTGTGAAAGTAGAAAACTATTCAATCGATTCGCAAAAACCTACGACGGGTAACATTGCTTTCTGTGGGTTTTTTTATAGATACCTACAAAGATACCAAACATAGGTATAAATAATTTATTTATCTATAATTAGGTCCATGGCATTTTTGTATTCGAGTTAGCAACCCAGTCCAAGGCTTATATGGCAAGATAATGGTACCTCATGACTTAAAGGTTAAGAACTACCGGAATAAAGAGAGACAAAAATACCCTAGACACTAATTCATTAGCAAATTAAAAATATAATAAAAAAATGGAACCTACCATTAGGTTCAATTTTTGGATATGAAAAATCGAAAAAAAAAGAACATTTATTACTTATATGATCACAAGAAAATGCAAAAGATGGCGCTGAAGACGACCTTTATTCCGCAACTGCCTAAAAATAAAGTTTAACTTACGTGTTCATACGGTCTGATCCATTGTTTAATGTCCTTGTCGAGCTGCCTCGAATAATCTTCACCTTCATCTTTCACTCTCAAACATGGTAAACAAGGCAACAACATTATAAATATCACACCGAGCTCTAATGAATCTCGGAATTCAAATGGCTATCTTATTGATAAACAAAATCGATAGTCTATCTTTGGAATTAAAAGATTACAACGATAATTGTTTTGATAATAATATGCCGGTACTGTGTAGAATCTTTACTTTATCACTCTGAGAATAGTCTATTGTGCAAGTCAAAGTGTGTTTAAAACACTGTTTCTCGAATGATGAGTAGTTATTCAGTCATCCAATATTAAGACAGTCCTACAAACCACGGAACTATTAAAAAAATACTTTAATTAAAAATTTTAATTACTTATTTCCCTTGCTCCAAGTAGCCTACCCTCCATAGCTTTATCAACCTACCCTCGATTATTTTTTTCTTCGGAAAAATTGTATATTGAAAAGCAAAAAACTTTTTTTAAATGAAATTATTTATTGAGTGACGTCATGTCGTAAATAAATCGCAATAGCAAGACAACCAAGGCACCACAAGACCCAAACCAAAGACAAGATAGAAAAGTTAATTTTCTACATTGACCCGACTGGGAATGAAATCCGAAACACTTAAGTTCAGTCGTTACTTAAATTTTTATTTAAAATACAAAGTTCAAGTTCAAGCGCGTGAACGGTGACTTGATATTTGTTAAAACAAGGTTTTTACATATCTTTTAGATAGTTGTAATTTCGTTTATTCATTTAAATTAGATAAACAGCACTATACATATAATTACATTATTGTGGTATCATACAAAGACGGAAGCATATACCGAGGGTACATACAAAAAAACCAAATGACGGGTACTTTTTCTAAAATTACGAAACAAAATATCCGTTATTCATATTCGGTACTAAATGAAAACACAACTGAAAATATTATAAATTTTATTTAAAGAAATCAGTTCACAATATTTATTTAAATCACAAACAATATTTCTTTACCTCTTATAAACGTGAAAAAAAAATATCCTTTATACTTATACTACGTACATTTAAAGTTATATTCATACAAGATTAATTACTTACTATTTATAATAAACATGCAATTTAAAATCCAACACGAGTTTTAGTTTTGTTATCTGTAATGCATCCACATTACTATGGCCAGTGTAAATTATAATTTACTTTTTGGAGTAGGTAAATTATGACCCGTCATTGTGTCAACGCGTCCAAAACTGATAAGAAATGAGGCAAGTTTTGTTATCTGTCATTAATTAATCCACATTTCTATGACCAGTGTAAATTATAATTTACTTTTTAAAGTAAATTATCACCCATCATATTGTGTCAACGCATCCAAAACTTCAAATCAAATTTAGATTTTTTTTATCAATTGAATGTTAGGTTCAAAACCGGTCGAGCCAAACTGGAATATATTTTAACCTGATGTGCTTACGAATAGGTACTAAAAGGTATTAATTATCCATTCTTATTATTTGTTCGAAACGGTTCCAATCGTACTTATAATTTTATAAAAATTAATAAGATTAATAAGGTTATTTATTAAAATCAAACACATGAAGATTGTTTTTGTATCAGATCCCATATACGTTGCATTATAAATTATCGAAAAATGGCTTTCTTTAGAGTCGTATTAACGTTTCGAATATAGACGAAATTTCATTTTCGGGAAAACAGTAAGCCTTCTTATGAAAACTGTCAATCGAATTGGATTTGTAAGTATTTTAACAAATACAAAAAATGTTAGATAAATATCGTTGAATTTATCTTTAAGTATCAATTAATGTATGTACACATTTATAACATGTCCGTACGTACGTAACCGCCTCCGGTCGATAACACTCCGTTCCTTAACAGCATTTGAACATCGGCGTCCGACAATTGCTGTGGATTTAAATTTATAAGCATCAGTACGACTGTCTATTCATGTTCCCCTGCTGGAACCTTTTCATTTCAAAAGGCAAAAATAAAATATGCCTGTATACATTAAAAAAACACTATGGGCCCAGTGTGGATCGTATTAACTAATGTGACTTTATGGCATGGCTTAATGGTCACCCATCCGAAGACTGGGGTGTGCGAAGTTTGTTTAACTTCCTTAATCGTAGACCGAAAGCTAAACACACTCGAAAATAAGACTATATCTATCCTTATATAAAAATTAAATGCTATTCATTAGTAAGTACTTTGTTTGAGAATTGTTGGATCAGTTTAGTTGTTACGAAGAAATTTGAAACGGTAAAAGTACCATCAATCCAGAACTGAGACAATATACATACTGTTCCGGAAAAAAACGGACAATGAACCAAAGTGTTATGTGAGCGTTCAATGTAAACGATCAGTATCGTAATGTTTATAATACAGATGTAGACAGTAAACGAAAATAAAAACACCTTTTTTCTGATACTAATTCCAATAATTACACTTTTATGCTTGCTATATTTATAATATTACTTACATTAATTATGAAAGAACACATATTTTATACTCGTCGTCAAGTAACTGCAAACAGCACTTAACGTCACGTCCCTCTACTCTCGTGAGATCATAGATAATTAAATCCTTAGTATATAACGATACAAATTTTAGAGGGGCGTGACGTCATAGCGACGCCATGACAGATATTAATGTTTTTGGGGGAAATTTTAAAAATTTGATTTCAGATATTAACTTATTATATGAATAATTAATTTTAGATATATTTCATGTATATCTATAATATAAAATTATTTTTAAAAAGTTGTCTACACTCCTATTCTTATCATTTTCACGGAGTTCTGTCTAGGGTCGGATTAACAACCTGTAGCGTCTCGTACAATAAAACGCAGTACTCAATACAGAGGACTATGGATAGCGATATGTATCGCTTTCTTTCGACGGTCACGTAATATCTGTGTCTTTTAAGTTTTTTCACTTATTCTTTAAACAAAGTATAGATTATTAACTTTCTATATTAGACCGATAATAATCGAGACCGTGCGATGGCAAAAAAACTGATGGCGGATCTCTGTTAACTGGGAAACACAGAATTGATCGTATAAAGAGAAATTTTAAACTTTGTTTACTAAAATAATATACTATTTTTTGTTGAATACATCACTTACTCCAGTAACGTTCATGGATGCAGGATAATGATTCTGATCTGTTGTTTGATCACTTTCTTCATGAATATTAAGTGGGTGGCGGACATTTTTAGCGATGCCGCGACCACGACGCACCGGTTGCAAATCTTTAATAAAATACATACAAAAATCTTAATATAATATTTAAATTTATTTATATATGCTTATCAGCCTATTAAACCAGAGAATTTATTAATTAATATTTAACAATATAACATATATTCAGATCCGAAATTAAGTAATTAAAGTACCACAAATCAACGTGTCAGCCATTCGGTAAAATATCTACTTGTTAATTTCCCATGGTCAATTTTAGAGATAACTATGTAATTTTAAATAAGCTCTTTTTAACTATATGCTTTTGTTCCTAATCGATTGAAAGTTACCGATTTTTTGGTCAAACGCCTTCTCAAGATCTAAGTGCCGCTATCCCGGAAGACGAGACGGAAGAGCCAAAGCTATAATAGGGATGATGAATAATTATTATTTGTCAGTACGTCATCAGGTAGATTATTAAAGAATATTAAACACTTTTATTTTGATTTTCTGCATAATCAATAAATTGCGGCAATACATTGAGTGTTAATGTCGCATGACGCATGCAAGCCACCATTCCTCAACTTTAACGCCTATTTTCTACGCCATTACTTCTTAATAGAAACAAAAAAAAACACATATCTAATATTTTTCTATTATGTGACTGTCAGACTTAATAGAATTTCTTTTCTTAACCAGTCATTATGCCTATTTACAATTTCAGTTGTTAAAGATCCACTGAAAGATCATTTTTTTAATATTATTCATATTATATTTGATATTTAATTTACATAAACGACTTTCAATATCTACTTCTCAATCATAGTCTCTAATAATATCTCGATTATATTATGAGCATGGGTTGGATTCTCGAAAACGCACTGATTCGGTTTTCGACGGCAAAATAATTATTTTGTGCAAATGAAACTTGAGTGTCTCAACTTTCGTCATAAGCTGTATGTATGTATTCAAAAAAGCTTGGACTATGGATAGCCTTCACTATGGATAGAATCGAAACAAATCATCAAGCGGCTAAACGTGCCTTCGAGGAGCTAGAGATAATACATTTTCGGTTACCCATCCTATGACCGATTGCGAAAATTGCTTAAATATCACAATGCAGCTTGGTGGATATTACATAGGCCTCCAAAACATGGAGGAACTAGAGATATTATTTTGGCCAACCATCTAATGAGCAATCTTTGCGACAGTTGCTTTACTTTCGCAATTCCTATATAAGTAATTTTAAAGTCCACGAATGCTACAAATTAGTAAGTTTTTTGCACAATTTTGTGTTATCAACATTTGAAAAGTTTAAAATCGATCCGAGTAATTTTAATCACTACAAAGTATAAAACAAAGCCGCTTTCTCTGTCCCCAAATCCCTATGTATGCTTAAATCTTTAAAACTACGCAACGGATTTTGATGCGGTTTTTTATTCATAGATAGGATGATTCATAAGAAAGGTTTTTATGTATAATACAAGACCACGCGGGCGAACCCGCTGGCGGAAAGCTAGTTGTACACTAACCTGATATCCTGTTGACTGTACATAATAATTAGGTCTATCTATCTATCCTAACATGTTATTCGTAAGAGCGTCGCTGTTCGACTGGCTAATCTAATAAACATTAACTATTTATATGGTTCATTTTTTTAAGCGGGTAGTTTCATATTTGCATGAATTGTCATATACCTCCAATTTTTTATATATTTAAAACGTATCAAATTATAATAGTTTTCTTGTATTATTGCATCAAGAACTACATTTATTAGTATGGCTTGTTACGACCGCAAATAATAAGAATGTATGTTATGTTAAAGGAATTCTAGGATGTTTTAAGTGATAAAAGTTGACCAAAAATTTAAACTTTACAATTCTAAATTAAATCGTAAGATTTTGGACACTGCTTTTTTGCTGTGAAGATAATCGTATAGTTTTCGTTTTTTTTTTGTCTAAGAAATGAATGATTCCCTCAACTCTTTCTTATATCCAAACATTTAGCACTGACATATAATTGAATAGAAATACACTTTAATAATACATTCAAACACTCATTAAATTACATTTAATTTTGTAGTTAATAAAAAAAAAATCATATTAATCCTATTGCCGCATTTTTGCAACAGAAAGTTTTAGGAAAAAAACCTTTCTTTGCCCCTACGTTTGACACTCGTATTTATAGTCAAGTAGAATTTATACCTAATTGAGCATAACTAACAACATAAACCAATATTTCGTACAATTTTAATGAAGTTAGCACTGCCAATAGATAATAATAGTTTTCTAACTTTGAAAGTTCTTACTTCTTTCATAACCTTGTTTATTAAATAATTTATACTCGAATAATTACTTCTACTTGACTTTAAGAAGCTATAAAATAAATAAAAGACATTCATACTCACTATTATCGCTGATAATTGGTTTGCTGTAAGCCACAGGGGTTTTTTGCACATGTCCCAACATGCCTAGTGCGCGAGCAGAATTTGGTATCACACTTGAAGTTCCCTGAAAAAATAATTATTTATTATCATCCCACTGATTAGTGAATAAATCTATAAATGAATACGTGAAGCAAAAATGTTGTGCACCCTTTTTCAAAAAATACTGCCGCCTAATTCCTCAACCTATAGTAACTCTAGCCATAGGCCTGGATGTTATAACGCTATTTCATTTTATTTTACTACTTGGCATGTACTTTAGTAACGAAGAACGAATGATAAAGAATGATGAATATGGATTTGACAGCAGTGTTTCCAACTTAGTTTTTTATCTTAAAATAGCTTTCCGCCAGCGGTTTATTGTATTATAAATAAAAAGCTTCCTTTAAAATAAAAATCACCTTATCTATGAAAAAAACCGCATCAAAATCCGTTGCATAGTTTTAAAGATTTAAGCATACATAGGGACATAGGGACAGAGAAAGCGACTTTGTTTTATACTATGTAGTGATGCATCCAATAAGACATGTCAAAATGGTAAAATGAACCGAATTGTCGATGTCGTCATAAAATATCGTATCCTTTGGCTAGAGTTATGTCGCACCTCAGTGGTGTGACCGCTTAATATTTCTTTTTATGACAATACTCGTGCGAAACCGGGGCCGATAGTAGGTGTAAAATTAGATAGATAATAAACAGATTATATTTACAATTTTAAGTGGACATAATATGGAAAACAATGCGATATTATATACCTTTTGGAAAGACATTTTGGTGATATCAATGACTTTATCGTGAGCAATATTGTTGGTACGTAGGTGCTCCAACACCTCATCTGGATTTGGATTTAAACCGCGAACCTGTAAATATTGAAAACTTTGAGCTTAATGTTTTGTTCACACTTCGTTGAAACAAGCAAAAAAAGAATCACTTTGTTGGTAGGATTGGGATGTCCCCTTGAATATTTATTTTATTCAGATTTGTTGTTATAGCCGGCACTAAAAATGCATCATGTGTGAAAATTTCAAATGAATCATAATTCATGAGATAGAGCCTAATGGCAGACGGACGAACGGATTTTAATTTATTAGACTATGAAATGTTTGTTCAATAATTAAAATAACAAAGAATATTTATAATTCATTCATTACTCAATAAGAATGCGTAAGCTTTTCATCATCATCATCAGCCCTTTTACGTCCCCACTGCAGGGGCTCAGGAATCCAATATGGATAGTTATGGAGGATGGGCCATGACCCTCCACGCTGGCCCAATTCGGATCGCAGGGTATTAACGACTACGAATGCAGCCACGACCAACGGCTTAACGTGCCTTTCGAATCACGGAGTAGCTCGAAATAATAGCATCTGGTCACCTATCCCGTGACCGTTCATGGCGAATGTTGCTTAACAACAACGATCGCTGGCCGCGGCGCCTATCCACTACGGCACCAAGCTATTAAGCTTTTAGATAATATTGAAAAAAAAAATATCATTAGTTAGAAGTTCATACTAGCGGGTAGTTTCGAATTTATAATATGAACACTCAACTACCTGCTGCAAAAATATAAAGAAGAAAGTACAGAAGATAGAAATAAAATCAGCCTGGACGAGATCCAGCGGAAAAGCGGATTTACCAAGATTGCATTACGGTTTTGGTTGAATTAAAAATTAATTTACCTCAATGACAACTAGATGCGTTGGGTGTTTAAGTCTCGCGTGTGTACGCAGCTCTGATCTAATACGGAACCTCTTAGGGCACCGCGTACAAGCCCACGCACGGACCCCCGTATGTATCAACCTGTGATTGCGCATAGCCGTAGACCTAAACATCATATTATAATAACAATATACTCACATCCAACAGTCTCATTTACAGTAGGGCCAAAAGAGCCGTTTTTAATATTACACATACGACTTGAATACGTATTTCTTGAATATATAGTTATTACTATAGTCTGTTCTAGGGACAGGTGAAAAAACGAAAATTGACACAGTATTATATGAACGTCGAAAGAAAACGATACGTATCGCTAACCATATAATCTATACCTATCGTATTTGTATTGTATGAAGTGGGGTCATCGGCCATTAAAATTTTCTATTACGGAGAAACGATACAGATATATGGATAGTGATACGTAACCTTTTTTCAGGCTCACATAATATCTGCGTCATAGCCCGTGATTTTACCCGCCCTAGAAACTAACCATTAAAGCACGAGATCTGGCATGAAGATATAGACAGATAAATATAGAATTATGAATTCAGAATTTATCAAATATAATAACGTGAACATTTTCATTTGAGTAAAAACAGTTATTTTTGTATTTCGGCTGAATCTGCAGCCACCAATCCGTACTGGGCTCGTATGTTAGGCTACAGGTATTTTTTTATGACTCCATCCATTCCGAAGGCAATGGAGAAATTAAAAGATGGAGAACTACTGACAAAAATAGGTAAGACTTTTTTAAGACTGACTTTTTAAGAAAAAAATTCTAGCGCCAACACATCATGAATGTCGTGCTACACAAATACAAATTTAAAAAACATTTCTTTCAATTTAATAAAATAATCAAATCGATTTATATCTATCTGAAAATCAGAATAGGGCCAGGCGACTCGGTTTTGCCCATTTTAAAATTATGACCCAGTTTTATCCATTTTAGGAGTTAGTTAGTTTTGCTATAATGCAACATTTTGAAAACCGTTCTCGTTAAATTAATATATATTTGCCTATGCATTTTTTTTAACCCTTTGAAGTTCAAAATGGCCAAAAAGAGGACAGTGGCCAAAACCGGGTCTTCTGCCCTATGTTTATTTCAATATTCTTTTTTTTGGTTTGGTTTTTTTATTTCTCACCGGCGGAACGCTAGTCCGCACAAGTCGCAGGGGAACGGCCGCTCGCCGGTGTGCGTGCGCAAGTGTTCGTCGCGTACACTCGCGCTGCGGAACCAGTGACCGCACACGGGGCACGTGTGAGAACGGACACATTGCGACACTCTAATATAAACATTATCAGTGTTATTGATAAACAAGGTATAGCGTTTGAGTAAATTTACGCTGATACTGCATTTAGTATTAGTCAAAATTCATAATACATATTATACAGAGACGTAGCAAAGATTAACCAAGCATGAGGTTGTAAGGGAGTAATATTTACTCCTAGAGGTTTGTTTATTCTCTGTATGCCGACCGCATGTTCGGATTCGGTTTCGTTTTCGGTTGAGTTACGGCATAAACACGAGTTTCGGTTTAGTTTCGTTTTCGGCGGCAATCCTGCCGAAACTACGACCGAAACCGAATGTGCATTCGGGAGTTTTGGAGCCGTGATCGGTCATATTCGGCGCGTTGAATGAATGAATCCCATCCTAGCCAATGTCGTGATTTGCTTGGGTTTGCAGTTCGTTTTATTTTGTTGTGGTGGCGACTCGCCACTGGCGAGTTTTAGTGTGATTTATTTTGAATTAGGTAAGTTTTATTTCATTTTATGTCGTTATAACATAAGAGTGGGTAGTAAACATCAAAATATATTCAATATGACTGAATAAAATATAATCAAGTTTAATCTAACCTATAAAAAAATAAATAAAAAAAACTATAAAAAATATATCGTTTTCTTTCGACGTTTATATTATTGTCCGTTTTTCCACTCGCCCTAGGAACAGACTACAACTATAACCTGCAGCATGACAGACGGACAGACAGACATATCGACAACGAAGTGAAGGGGTTCCGTATTATTTTTGAGATGAGAATCTATAAGTTTATGTACGAATTAAGAAATTCAACACTATCCAACGTTGTTCCCTTCCAGTTAGGCAAATAATACGAGACTAAATTTTCCACCATTACAAATATTGTTCATTAAATAAAATGAAAACTAATACTTACTGCATATTTTTTTGATGTTCTAAACGTTCACCTTCAGACGAATGCTGTTTGTTGCAAGAGCCGCACCATGATATACCTGACAATAAACCTTAGTATATACGGAGTTCAGAATAATATATGTAATTTTGTCCAACATTACATATTACAACACTAACAAAGTTAGTAGACAAGTTCTATAATATCATACATATGGAATACACAGATTGTCAACTATACACGGGAGGACGTATTGGCTTATTTTGATGTAATTTGAATTAAAGATAGTTCTTAAAATGTGGTAAATTTGTTCGTCGTCTCCATCCCCTCTCTATGGTCATACCCCACCCATTATCCTATTTTATTCCCCCCCCCCTATTTGGAACTATATGTTATATATTATTGCGAGCAAAGGACATATTATTTCGGGTAAATATTAAATACATATGCATAAAATCAGCTAAACCCAGCCACACTCTACAATGATTTGACTTTGGGATAATAAATATATATAATTTATCTAACTCGTCATGTTTATATGTTTATACTGGATAAAATATAAAAATATAATTATCATCTTTTTAGTTAGCAAGTTAGTCATATACTATCCAACTCCCACCCCACCATCCTACTCCTGACCCTGCGGCTATAGGACTTCCTACAAAATTTGTATAGATACGGCCATGGAATCCAACCCAGCATAAATATGAAAGACTGCTCGCTTATCACTCGACATAGAGGTTAAATAAGACAAACATAAGTATAATTTTGCATCATACATACCTGTTCTATCATTGAGTCCTAGAGACATGTCACTATGTTCCTTTTTCCTATGTTTATAAAGCGCAGTTTTGTTTGGCAAAATTTCGTCACAATCGCGGCATGGTATCCTAAAATGAGGCTTACATAAAAGTATCGTTCAGTTCTGTAAGTCCATTATAACAACAAAGTATGAACAACCATTACTTTCTATTGGCTAAAGATCAAACAATGGAATAGAATTCTCACTACCAATTCTGTATTCAACGCTGCACGTCATTATCTCATCTTAAAATCTATCGCAATCCCTTTCAATTTTACATTAAGGCTTCGATTCGATTGTATAAATTTGACCTTTTATAATAAAAATATAGCCGGTTTCTGAATTGAGAAAATAACATACATACAAAATATGAACTGATTATTGTTTGGATAGCTTTAGTTTTTAACATTTCACAACTCAAAAAGATCTAGTTTTAAAATCAGAAACGAGCGCTTGTTTAAGTGCACTACTAATTCAGGAACCGGTTATAATTTTCTGTCGAATGTACAGTCTGCAAAAATGGTCTTTCAACGCTTAAGGAATATGAACATTATGAAACAAGGCAGATTTTGAAATTCCCTTGCTTTAATATTATATGATAACGACTATTACTTCAAATGTCAGACATTCCAGATAACAGAAAATACTTCCTAACTAAAACTAAATCCCAATCGAATGAAATTTTATAAACACAACTATTATAATTTAACCAATGCAAGTTAAACTAAAGTATGTAAATATTATTTATAGTCTATAATACCCTAGACTACATTGGCGTAACTACACGGTGGCAGGCCAGCAAAATGCCACGGACCCCCAGCTGGAAGGGGCCCCCGGTAAGAAGAGACTCCTTACTTCTGACATATATTATTACACGATTAGTAAAAACATAGAATGTCAGATGAATTTGCCACGGACACTAGACTATAAGGTATATTGCCTATTTACCTATAGTCCTCCCGCAGTATTTTGGTAGTAGCTCTAGCGTCACCCAAACCGGTCTGACCATGGATCTTCTTTCTGTGATACGCTAAACTCCAACTAAGTAGCATGATAAGCAATATTCGATAAACAAGTCAGATCAAAAAATCTACTAAATAAACGTTTAGATAAAAATACTTGTTTTTAATTGTTCTAAGACTTCGGATCCGAAACACCATTTACGAGGGCCAGAATGATAGTATGCCAATATACCAAGCCAAGCAAATGGTGTTCCTGGGCGACAGAAATCGATAGGGCGATGGAAAAAGGTAATACCGTGTTGCCAAATTTAGTGTAATTACTGAAATAATTCAGCTACTTTTGCTCTGGCGCTCAACGTGGTGCACGAACCCGCGTTTTTTGTACGCAGTTTAAATGCAACCTCGAGCCTTAATGCGACCTTGTACGAAACAACCGTTTCTTAAAATCAATTTTCTTCTAAAGCTTTACTAATATTTGCCAAATAAAAATCGTTTTATGAAAATTAAACATATGATCGATTGTTTGCTAAAACATAAATTCCAATAATTGGCTCAATAGAAAAAAATCGTAAAGATGACTTTAAATAGGGTTTTTGGATCGACTTTACGACTAACATATTTCATATCAACTATATAAAAAATGTATACCAAAATAGGTTTTCATATAATCTAAAATTATATAAAGAAAATTATTTTTAACTGCATTTGGCTTTTTTTCCTGATATTAAAAAAGTGTAAAATAACGACGACGACAAAATAACGGATCCACGACGTTACGACTGTCCGAATGTTTGGCAGGTAAAAAAAATGTTACACAATTCATGAATTTACTTGAATAAATTATATTTCAATGTCACTAACCTGTTCGGAAAAGTGATGTCGCACTGATTACACTTGTAAAGGAACATGTCATTGGCGTGTTTCATGCGACGGTGCACTTGTAAATATGTCCAGTGAAGGTATGAGCGTCCACAATCCTAATAATAATAATAATCGTTACCACATAAAGCAATAAGTACATAAAAAGCTATCTGTTATTATAGAGAAAATAAAGGATCTCAAATTACAAACCTTTTAATATCTTTCTATATACAACTATCGTATTAAAACATGCGATAACTCGTTATAAATAGTGTATTTACATTGAAAATAAACATATAGTATACTAGCTTTCTGCCAGCGGCTTCGCCGTCGTGGTTTAATAGTAGCCTATATGTTAATTCGACTGGGTAAGAAAAAGAAATTCCATCCAGTCCATCAATCAGATAATCGAAATATATATTTATTTATTTTTTTACTTCAAATTAACAAGAAGTAGCTTAGATAAAGTTGAGGAGTGGGGCTCGCTACGTCACAGTTTTGTAGAAAATGTACCAATGCGTGACGTCATGTGACATTTTGACTCAATATATCGCCGTGATTTAATAATTACAAAAAAAATACGTGTTTAATATTCTTCAACAAACTACCTGACGGACAAACAAACAAAAATCAGTCGCCATCTCTATCAGACCAAATACCTAACCTGTATGGTGCAAGAGATGTCTTCCGTTCTGTTTTTTTTTTCGAGAATACCATAAACAGACGTTTACGTCGTATCAGAAATGAGTTACTCCTGCATAATTCCACATTTTGTCGCTGTAATGGAACAAACTACGCTAAAAAATTATTCTCACCTCACAGAGGAAGTGTTTGGCGACAGGAAATCCGCCGTAGCCCAATATGCCAGTGGCAGAAGGCCCAGAACTGGGTTGCCACGCTTGTCGCTTGGCGTCCGCTAGGGGGCGCTTATAGAAGCCGTGCGTAGTTTTATGTGTTGTACATCTGTTACATACAGTTAAGTTACATTTTATGTAAGAAAAACGACAAAAGAGTTAATGATTCTCCTATATATTAATAGCTGTTTTAAAAAAGAAATAAAGGTAAAGAAAAAACAAAGAAACGTTGGAGAAGAAATAAATGAGACCTTATTTATTTCTTCGCCAACTGTTGAACTGCAGTGTAATGCACTCCAACAAAGAATATTTGACTTTCACAACTTTATCTAGCAAAATATATATAATAATAATAAATTAATTAAAAAAAAAAATCAAAATTCTCATCACACAGACTGTCTTACATGCTAGTAATTTACAAACACAGCTGTTCTTCAAGTTCTGTTATTGACTTTTAAAACCTTTATGTGTCCGAATTACAGTTCAAAATACTTAATTTTGACAACATTGTCATATAGCAGTAAAAGTAACTGAATCTAAGCAGTAAGTAGTTACCAAAGCACGTTAAGCTTACGGTTTGGACTGCACCTGAAGTCGTTAGCACCCACCAATCCGCACTGGATCCGCGTGGTGAGTCATGGCCTGTTTCTGATTGGATAGGATTCTATAGATAAGAAAAACCCACAGCAGTGGAGATATCAATAGGTTGATGATATAAAAATCTGTTGTAAATAGTTCAACAGCACGAGCTAAGATCTCAAATACTAACTAAATATGGAACTTATAAAAGTTACCTAGAATAAGTAGCGAAGCTCACTTTACAGATGTGACAAGTGAAGGGATTCTTCACGTTTTTGTGTATAGCGCGATGAGTATTCAGGCCGTCTTCTAAGTAAAACACGCTGCGGAACAATTTATTTACAGTTAACAAGGGCTTGACGTCATCTCATGCTGAATAAATCATCGTAGACTAAAGGATACTGTTCTCTACTTGACAGCCGGTTTACACGTAATTACGTAAAAAAAAAAAGTTTTAATTAATCAGATAATAGAAAAATTTGAAACGTATTGTTTTTGCTTCAATTAAACAAGAAACGGCTTAAATTAAAGGTGGGCTACCTTACAACTATGTGAAAAGAAAATGTACAAAGTAATGAGTCCCTCAATCGTGAGATACCTCGTTTAAGGTACTTGTCGCGAAAACATGAGGGAGGTACTCGCTTTTCTACTTTGAACCACCTCATTTTGTTCCTCATTTTCTGAGGCCTCGAACACGAGGTATAAATACAGTTATCACACCTCACTCAGCAAAATAGTGAGTTGCTTCGAATGAAAGGTTGAGTCGATACATAATCCAGGGAGTGGGTAGGTTTTATGAGTTTGATAGAATCAGTTTAGCATTTCCTCGCAACTAATATTATTTGGTTGATTAAAAGTGAAAAAAAAAATTATTGAGTAAAGACCGACTCTTTCCCTTATTTGCCATTCTCTTGACCTTACCTCAAATGAGGGGCACCTCGCAAGCACTTCATGAGATAAAACGAGGTCCTCACTCAACCTCAATAAAAACGTGTGAGTTACACAACACTAAAAATTTGATGTCATACGACATTTCAACTCTGTGTATCGCCGTAATTTATTGATTAAGAAAAAAAATAAAAATAATATAAATATTTTCCTAAAAGATTCTTCGATGTAAAACGAAATTTATCCACAACGAAATAAATATGATATTTGTCCAAGTACTAACTCTTCACAATATTCGCAGCGGAAAGCCTTCTCGATCTCGACGACACGTATGAGAGCACGAGCCTCGTCAGACAAGCTCTCTAGTAATGGACGCGAGAGTGGACTCGACACTTGACGAGGTATAGGCTTGCTTAACTTAGGGGACTCTAAAATTTCAACATAGTTCATCAATAAGCTAATTTCGAACCTTAATGTGCCGGATTTAAAGTTCAAATAGTGATGTATAACTGATATATAATGAAGAAGTATTTAAAAAAAAAAATTAGTTCCCGAAATCAAACTAGATGTCGCTACGGTAGGTTCTTGATTTCTCCATGACAACTCTTCCGGTTTTCTTTCGTGTTTAAAAGTAATTTTTTTTTCAAAACTCAATAAACAACTCATATTCTATTTATATTGCACTTTTTCGTATTTGTATTGATATCTAAGTTTCAAACTTTTCAAATTTCAGTTTTTTAATATGTTCGTTAAAAGGAACGGAAATGACTATCTTTGGTCCATTCGTTTCCTGCAAAAATCAACTTTTGCTCGAGTCGCCATCTAGTGGAGGTGCTTTCGTTTTTTTTAAATAGGTACTTCCTCATTAACAGAGGACTACACAAACTGTCAAACTCCATTTGATTTAAAACTACGTCAAATATTATTAGCTCGATGACGCATCAACAGTCATTAACATGCACGAATCCTCACATACAGTGTGGATTTTTTACACGAGTCAGTAGGGCAGGTACCTTATCCGTTAAAAGAAAATTTCACCCAAACTTCTAAAGATATGCTGAACATGATTTACAGATTATTGAAAATTTTATTCACTACATAGTATAAAACAAAATCGCTTTCTCTGTCCCTATATCCCTATGTATGCTTAAATCTTTAAAACTACGCAACTGATTTTGATGCGGTTTTTTTTCATAGATAGGTAGATTCAAAAGGAAGGTTTTTATAAATAATACAAGACCACGCGGGCGAAGCCGCTGGCAGAAAGCTAGTTTTTAATAGTCAGCAATTTATAGTCAAAATATCGAAAACTTCTATGAATTCTATTTCACGCGATGATCAAAAAAATCTATAGAACCATTTAAGGTTCCAGATCTCGTCAAAATATTTATTGCCAAACGATTCTACTCTTTGCTGTTTGAGGCCAACAGAAACCTATTCTCTGTTTAACACAAGAGAAAGGTAGACACCCACCTCAAGAGTTCATATCTGGATCTTATGATAACTTCGACATAGGTTAATATAGGTACCTGTCCTTATTCTCCAATTTGAAAAATCTAATGCCATTGGAATTATCGGAAGTTAATATCAAAAGCCAGCCTGTGAAAAGCGAAAGATGTGTAAAGACTTGTGCCTTGCAGGACTCAGTCTTCTCTGTTTTATATAAATAAGTATACAAGCTTGCCGCGTGGTCCTTAGGGAGCTGTTTAGTAGGATAAAAAGTAGCCTATACCTTAATTGGATTAACGCTTACAATTTAGAATTTAATAATTCATCCGTTATCACGACATGGATATAATTACAATAACAAATTGAATAGTAAAATAATGGTTATTATGGTAACGTTTTAATAGGGATGATGACTGGGTAAAAAAATGCAATTCTATTTAGTCCGTCAGTCAGATAATAGAAAAATATTAGATACGTATTTTTTTTACTTCAATTTTACAAGAAATAGTATAGATAACAAGCATTAAAGTTGAGGAGTGGGGGCTCGCTACGTCACAGTTGAGTAGAAAACGTACTCTAATGTGACGTCATGCGAAATTTCAACTCAATGTAACGCCGTTATTTTATGATTACGAAAAAAATAAAAAAAATACGTTCTTAATTTTTTTAAACACTCTACCTGATGGACAAACAAACAAAAATTAGTCATCATCCCTATTCCCCATATAAACTTCCACTCCACTTTTCATCAAATTTAAAAATATAGCCTATGCTCACCTTATATGATGTAGCGTCTAGTAGTTTCGAAGCCTATTCGATGCAAACAAACAATCAAATCTTTCCTGATTACAATATTAATATAGAAGTATAGATTTGAATTGGTCGATCTATCCCAATACAAGAATAATAATTACTCTCAATAAACTAAAACATGTATTTGGGAATAAAAACATTTTTTTTTATTATTATTATAAGCTTCAACTCACCGGCTACCCGCTCCGGCTCCTTGACAAGCCCACTAGTGGGCGACAACTGGGCCGTCCCTTCCTCTACTTCTGCCTTCAGCTCTTTTGTGAATTCCTCAATACACTCCGAAGATTTAGTAGCATGGTTCTAACACATTTAGGATTGATTGAATGAATGAGTGAAAATATTATTTATTGAAATTAAAGCTCACTGAAGACACTTCCGTCCTTCGTGTTATATCTAACACCTGTTCAGGGCGTCTTTGGGCTGATAAGAAGAATGGGTGTAAGAAATTTATCAGAATTGTAACAAAAAGAAAATATTTACGAAAACTATGTCATTAATACATCAATATCCATTGAAATAATGAAAAAACTTACCAAGAGTGGGTAATTCGAGAACTTGCACAAAATCAACAAAATACAAAATCAAAACCAATATGAATATTCCTGTAATCTATACAATTATATTTTTTTCTTTCAAAATTATAAGTGGTGGTTCAGCTGCGTAAAAGGTTTTTGTAATAATATAAAAAGAGCATTTGCTTAATTGCAAAAACAATATTTATTTCTTTTTTACTAATATCATAGCTCATATTAATGAAGAGTTCGCAAAGTATAGTCGCTAGTCGATTATAAGAGAGAATTTATTTTAGACACAATTAATGACACGGTCTGCGAAACGGTGATTAAGCAACTTTCGCAAGAACCGGTGATGGGTTGGGTGATCAAAAATGTATTATCTCGAGCTCCTCCGTGCTTCGGATGGCACGTCAAGCCGTTAGTCCCGGCTGCATCTGCAGTTGTTAACCTCCTCTAATCTCTACTGGACCCATGTGGTGGGGCATGGCCCTTTCTTCCTATTTGATTTCATCCATTGAAAAGGCCTGAGCCCCACCAGTGGACATTATTAGGCTCCTTGTAATATACAACCAATACAGTGCATGACATGATTAAATAACGAGTCTTGTTTCAATAAATATAATAACTTATATTTATTGAAACAAGACTATGTGTGTCCATCTCAGCCATACTTGGAAGCACTCATACGTGCAACTTGAGTCATTCTGATTGGCTGACATATGTCGCGCTTCGGAATTACCATTCTGCGGTACTAACATCAATGAGCGACATTAAAAGTTACTAACTTGTGCATCGTCATTGTCTCGGAAAGCTCTGCTGCAGACCACACACACTAACACAAGTTTGGGAGTGAGCTCTTCTTCGTGAGCTCTTAAATGCATCCTAAGGCGAGAACGACGGGTCAATTGCTTAGCGCATATGTGGCATTGGAACGGTTTTATCTGAAAAAAAATGTGATTCCATAAAATTTACAAGTATGGAATGTGCTTAGTATCATCTTTGAAATTCGTCGTTTAAGTCAATATGACTCAAGTGTCAACCAATTTCAAATATAGACGTTATTCCGTACTGTTAAGGTTTAGAAATTGTACAAATCTGACAGAAGATCTGTACAGATCCGTCTACTGTTGAATGACATACTTTTGTTAGTTCTGATGTTCCATGATCGACGATACGAGTCACGTCCTCCGTCAGATATGGACTGATCCTTGCACTCGTAGTACAACTGGTGACTGCCGAGCCTAATCATGATACAGCAGGCACAATCATAGTAAACGAACACTGACCGTAAGTATACTCGGAACTTTTTAACTCAAATTTCTTAAATCATTTCGAAAATGAAACATTTGTACACATAGATGGTATATGCATATAACTAATGAACATGGTTCAACGGTAACCTTTCATATTCAAATTCAATCATGTCAGATACTGAAACGCAACTCAAATACTAAGGGTGTAGACAGTAAACGAAAAAAAAAACACATCATTACTTTTGCGGTAGTGTTTAATATTCTATTACCGATAATCAAACTCTTATGCTTATTTTATTGCTTTAATTAATTATTATAAAAACTCAAATATTGTATACTCGTTGTCACGTGACGCATATATCACTTTACGTTCAGCTTCTCTTACTCATATCAGAACTTAGAGAATAGAACCTTATACATTCATAGAACGTTTAAGAGGAGCGTGAGGTCCTAGCGACACCAAGACAGAAGTTGGCGTTTTCGCGGGAAATGTTCATAATTAAATTTATTTAATATACTATATATTACATATATTTCATGTATACCTATAAAATAAAAATATAAAAGTTGTCTAAACCCTATTCTAACTTTTTTTACGGGGGGAAATGCGTTACGCATACTCGCTTCACTCAGCGCGAGCTCCACGAGTTATGTGGGACTCTCTACTGTGGCCCCACCCCCAAAGTGGGGGCTAGTCAAACTCACCGATGTCCCTCACGACACAGGCGACGCACGATAAATCGGGGCCATATCCCGCGCGGGCGCCCGTGTTTCGTCCCACCCCTTTTACAGGGCGGGTCCCACCACCGGTAGGGGAAAAGGCTCAGGAACATACGAGTCTAATCTCCCAGACTGGACAAGGGGCATGCAATGCCCGGTAAGCGCGCAAACCCATAAATCTACTTCCTGCCAAAGGCAAGAAATGCGCAACTGAGCATTTCCTACCCTAGCCCGTGTCAAAGAGGGATTCATCTGGGCTGAACCCTCATGAATCCCTCACCCCGAAAGCCCCGGTAATCCAACCCAACCAAAGTCAGGCCGGTCATCGGTTTACCATTCCTTAGTCGCGACTCCGTTAACCGTTATTCTAACCGGGTAACTCTTCGAGCTACTTCGAGATATTATTTAGACTGTCAGAAAACTAACAACGCTGTTGAATTTCTACAGAATTTTGGATGTAACTATCGACAAATTAAGATATTAAATAAATTCTTGAAAGTTTTAGAGTTTTGTAAACTAAAACTTATATGCCGTTGATTTTACCTGCAAATGTGTGACTCCGTGTTCATCTAAAGTTTGTTTGTCAAGGAATCTCTTGTCACAAGTCAAACACACGTAGCGACGCGTGTCCGTATGTGTACGGCTGTGTTTTGTTAGCGTTGCCCTGTTAGATAATATATAATAATTTTATTTAAATTATACTTTCATACTATTTGGAATCAATTATGGGAGTTAACCTATGTTCAGCAGTGGGCATGCATGAAGTTAAAATCACGACTGTATACCATTTATATCGATTTCAAAGATACAGCTATATCTTGTTAATGATATAGCTGTATCTTTGAAATCGATATAAAATATGATATGCAAGGTAAGAAAGGAGTAAATAAAGGCTGATCTAGAAGTAAGGAAGAATTAACATATGGACAAATAAATGAATAGGGACAAACGCAAACAAAAAATGATAATATTCTATTTGATCTACTCAAAGATTTTACCTGAGGTGGAAAGTCTTCCCGCAGCTCCTCACCGGACACTGCCAGCGGCGGCGCTTATGATGACGAAAGTGAACGTGGTCGAATAAAGCTCCTTCATCGTCAAAATTGGAATCCTCACACTCTGGACATTTGTACTTCCCGTCTGAAGTTAACATGTTCGTTGGGGAGTGGAATTGCCTACAAAGAGGTTTTGTAGTTATTTTAATCAAACAGGTGTTATCTCCCACTAAAATTGCAGTGGTAATTTGTTTTACTAACTGTACTTAAATCTAAATTAACTCACATGTGAAACTTCAGTCTGACTTTAGACGTGAAAGACTCGTTGCAATCGTCGCATGTTACTATCTGAGGATCCGAAGTAGGCTCTTTGGTTTTCTTGCGACGTGTTCTCTATAATAAAAACTTTATGTGATCAGAATTTAGAATTTCACTACGCAGCATCATCATTCCTTTGATATTCCTACTGTTGAAGAACACACCTTCACCGCATAAAGGGCTGAATTCACCCAATTCAGAGAATTCAGATTTTTGGATGTAGACAAATACATATTCAACTAAGACCAACAGCTTATAGGTAATGGAGATCGTCTATCAACAGAGCCAAAGGAGGCGGATGGAAGAAATTCTCTCCACATCAGTGGCGGACTAACGGATGCAGCCTCACAATGTTTTTACAATGTGGTACTACTATAAGAATTAATATAAAAATTTACTAACTGGCACAAGTAGGTCGTCTTTATTCGATTGATTCGTAGATCTCGTTCGACCTTGGGCTCTCTGTAAGTAAATATAAATACTTTTTCTTTTCTATCTACCTTAGCTTGTTAAAAAATATAAAATGTGCAAAAAAATATTACTTGATTTTGTATATATAAATGTTATAAGTAGGATAGTTTTAGAAGTGGATAGATACCCTAATAATCGATTTTTATTGGATTTTTTGTAAGACATTGCACTGGTAGGCTTATTTATTGAAAAATACATTATATTCTCTGATCCCTCGATAAATTGAGGTATAAAAGGGAGTGGGGAATTTTGAAATTTTTGTATAATCTGACGTGCAGCTAACTGTACAAGTAAATTTTATTGCTACCCAGTGGAAAATTCAATCTATGAAACTTTATGTCACGTATATGATACAGGTAAATATCACCTTTACCTAGGGGAAAATTATTATACCTTTATGAAATCTTCCTTAGTGGGCACGCAAATGACGTCATCCTCTTTGGTGGGAGACTTTCTCTTCTTACCGCGGCGACGGCAAGTGTGTGTCCGCAACGTCTCATCATTTGCGAATATTCGACTAAAAATACGTTTACCATCTCATTAAAATATATGAAAGGTTTTATCTTATAATATAAAAATGAATCGCAAAATGTGTTGGTAAGCGCATAACTCAACAACGCCTGGCCCAATTTGGCCAATTCTTTTTTTTAATGTTCGTTGAAGTTCAAGGATGGTTTTTACGGCGAGAAAAATTTGAATATATGCCGGAAAAACCGTAAGAACAGCCCTTTTCTTTTTCTCATACAAACGTTTTCTAACTAAAACGTTGAGTCAATTTGAGCTCTATTACTATTGTATAAAGTTCATATTAAATTACAAGCACTCACTGTTATCTAAGCAATGTAGATGTGTTCCTAACGTCAAAGAGTCAATTTGCACTTTATAATAACATGCATCAAACACAGTAGTCTTTACCTTTTCGCTGATGACTTAAAGCTTTGCAAACCTGTTAAATGTCCAGCAGATTGCAATCTTATTCAGAAAGACATTGATGCTATTACTGATTGGTGTTCAGTCAACAAAATGACTCTAAATACTGATAAATGCCAAACGATTACTTTCTCGCGCAGTAATACCCCAATCAGATACCAATATTGCATTAACGGATCAGAGCTTCGAAAGGAATCTATTTAACAATAAAGCGATTACTTACTTTTAAATGCTTATAATATATATTTTATTTTATTATTTCTTATTCACCACGCCCTATCACCAGGGTGACGGTTCAGTTCATGAGAATTTTTTGCCCCGACTATAAAATAAGTAGGAACAAAAAACTGCCACATTACAAATCTTTTTGACAGGACGAAGTCTGTCGGGTCCGCTAGTTTATAATAAAAACACACTACTAATAATAAAAAATATAAAAAACTACATATGCTTCACAACACGTATTTTATGAGTAATTAGTAATTTTTAATGTGCTTTTTGTATCACTATTGTTTTCGAAATAATATTGCAATACATAAATAGTTAATACTGATTCTTCTCAAAACTTACATCATATCCCTTTACAATAACTTATATTATTTACTTATATTAAGTGATTACATTGATCTTAAAGAAAATATGCTATCCCAGAAAGGGATTTCATCCCATAACCTTTCGCAGACCCGAATTAAATTAAATAATAACGAAAACAAAAGCAAAGTGACTGTATGTGTGTATCTTAACTATTCGCAAGAAGCTAACAAAACAAGGGTCTTTAATTGATCATGTTTAGCCAATAGGTTCATTAAACCAATAAAACATTAGGTTACCCATTCTTATTTATCTATACTAATATTATAAAGAGGAAAGATTTGTACTGTTTGCATGGAATAGGGTCTAAAACTAATGGACCGATTTTTAAAATTCTATCACCTACGGAATGCTTTTTACCTGCACGTAAAACATTTGTGCATCAGTTTCTTCGAAGTTCTCGTGATTTCTTTTTGACAACCCTAAGAAAGAAGAAATATTGACAACTGAATATGAAAACCACAATGTTTATTAAAACAGGCAACCTTTTTACTGCCGATACACAAGTATTATCTTAGCTTAGAATTGTAGCAATATATGTGGTTGTTGTTTATTATTTTATAATGGCTGCTCTAACAAAATGTTTAAGTTAGTTACGAATTGTCTTTGAGGCAAACTATGTGCTTGCACACTTGGAAACCTAATGCAGTCTCAGTAGTTGTTATGAAACTAAGCTCAGAAAAGAATTAAAATAGCTGAAATTTCTTTTATATTTTATACCCTTAGCACTTCAACATACAGAATTATCAGGCTTTAGAAAGCTGTAAGAGATATTAGTCACGAGCTCTCTGTGTACTATAATCTTAAATTTTCTTTAAATTTCCACCCCTGGCCACTGGCTTAAGTTTAGTCCCATTGTGGTCCACACAGTTGCAAACCAACGTTCCAACTGAGGTTTATTGCCAACTATCTAGTTAGACGGCGGTTGTAAACAAAATTTCGTCACCATCCACGGTTGAAAACCAAGTTCCCATCAAGGTCACCATAGTTTAAACTGCTTTGCAACCGTGTGGATGAGACTTTACATTTTTAAACGGTCTGTATATCGTCGTTCATTGCAGGACATTCTCAATGTTTGCTCTCTCCACTAAACGTTTAAGAAGTACTGAACTAGACTTGTACACAATAATGTTACCTTGGCAGCCTGCAGTAGACTCTCTAACTGGTCATCGGGTTCATCACCGGTCTGGACTATCCAGATACCTTCATCGCTGCTATCGATCGCCTCTTGCTTTACTTCTGTCTTTATCACAAGATGTGGTGTAATCTTGAAAATCGAAACATATGGCAGATTGAATTATGGCTTAAGTCAAAGTCTCATGGTTATGAACTTAGGTTTAATCAAATAATACTAAGAATATGTATTCATTTAGATTATGTTGTAAAGGCGTCATAGTAAATTCTTTAAAACTATATTCGATGACTTACAAAATTAACGATTTTACGACTAATATAATTAGTTCTTAACCATGTAAAAACATATTTTAAACTTCTAACTGAAATGTGTTGCACATAAAGTACTTAGTTTTTGTTTTAACTACGATTTTATTATACCTACATATGTAGTAAAATCGCGGATTTTTAAAAAATAATGAGGTCAGATACAAGAGTATATGAAAGGGTTATAATTTTATTTATGCGCTATAGCAAAATCACTTACCGATTCCTCTTTTACCTCAGAGACCTTCACATTTTCTAGTTTTACGGCGGCATCTACAGTAATAAATAAATAGATAAATTTACTGAATACTTATTTTAATCACTTATAACCTGTACTGTACAGTAACAGGATCTGCACAGTCAAGGCAGATGACCTGATAGTGGCTATTTTAAAAGTAAAGAAGAAGTGAGCTTTGCTCTCTCATAATTGAACCTTGTTCAAGTAATATAGGCACTTGCCTATTGTCAAGGTGTCAGTGGCCAAAACCAGATCATTTACCTTATATGTATACACGTTTATGTAGACTCTTTTATCGTAGACTTATACCTACTGTGCTCGTAGTCGTCATCCGAGCGATCTCACAAGTGTTCCGTCATAGAGTTACAAAACACTAAATATTAAAAGCGTACGCAGCCTAATTAATGTGAATGAGTTATAAAATCCATTTTTAAGAACGTCGTTCTTTTTTAGGTTTGTATCCAAAGGGTAAAAACGGGACCCTTTTGCTGAGACTCTGTCCGTCCGTGTGTCACCAGGTTTTATCTTATGAACCACGATAGATAAGTAGTTGAAATATTTTCATATTGTGTATTTCTATTGCCTTTAACAACAAATACTAAAACCAGAATAAACTTGTTTTTTTTTTTGTGTTTTGTATAGATAATATACAGAAGGCTTTGTGTAACTATTTTTGAAGTTTACGTTCACCTTCGATCGTGAGCGCGTTAAAATTTTAGTATGGAGTCAGATACAGCGCCCCTAGCGGTTACTATCATGAACTACAAACCTCCATACAAAGTGCGTTTATGCAAAATCCGTTGCGTCGGGTTTACGTAATTGCAATGTACTCTGGCTCGCACGTCGCTCGAGTTGAGGTGTATAGTGTGACCGAATCGTATTGATCGATTGGAGCATAATTAAAATTGCTTTCATAATATTTCGTCATTATTAATTTTCCTATTTTAGGTTCCGATATTTAATAAAAAGCATAGTGATTTAAAAAATAAGTACAAGAACTGTGCCACTGATCATAACAAAACAAACTGTTGTGGCATACGACTACGCTGTCATTTGGTCATCGCAATTTAATGTAACGTCACATACCTTATAATAGCATGCGGACAACTAAGACGCTTCTAATGTCATCTCATTTGACCAGTTACGATGAGTAGTTTCGAAGTTATGAAGGAATTGATGAACGTTCTTACATACATGCATACTGGCCAAAATCATAACCCTCCTTTTCGCTTCACAGCCATAGTCGGGTAAAAAGACGCTCGAAAAGTACCGAAATTACCACAAACAGCATGACACTGTAAAAGCAGTCTTAAAACGTTTTATATCGCGCTCTTATAAGTACATGCCTGTCGAGCATGCCTCTGCTTCATCATTCTTCTTGACGGAACTTCTAGTTCTTTTTGCTATCGGAGACCCGTTGGTTGAATGCGTTTCATTATCTGCAAAAATATTTTTGTTAATGTTATTATAAAGTATGATGTATATTTAGAGGTGCTAATTAGTAAAAGTTGAACTGATTTTGTTTGAAAATTTTTACTTAAGTCAGATATATTCAGTATCTTAATATTCTATATTAACTCCTTTTAATAAAATGGGCATATTAAAGCGATGCGATGGTTAGGCAACTTTCGCAAAGGCCGGTCATAGGACGGGTGAATAAAAATCTCGAGCTCGTAACTTAATCATATGTTTATATGAATTTTAAAGTAGGTACCGTTAATAATGATTTCAGAATTTTCTTTCTTTATATCGTCCTTTTGCGTTTTCTCGTGGACTGCTTTCAAATGAGCTTTCAGCCATACAACTTTTGCGTACCCTGAAAATTTATTCTTTTAACTGAATATTTATAACAACAATAAGTACACTACCTAATCATCATCATCATCACCAGCCCTTTTACGTCCCCACTGCAGGGGCTCAGGCCTTCCACACTACCTAATGATTCACTTAAATTAAGTTTACAAATTACACAGGTATTTCTATAACCCAATAATCTCATCTCGATAGAATCTCAAAAACTTGCATTAATTTTACCATTATAGTAACTTCCTACAGTCCAATATTAATTATTAGTAGAATGTCTTCCTCACACATCAATGGTGACAGATATTTAATAATATTGGACTTCAGGTAGATAGTACAATAGCAATATTCAAGTAGTTAGATTCTATTGAGATTGAGATCCTATTACCTACTACGTAAACGTTAGCAGAATTGACCTGCTGAACGAGTTATTGATACGAATCCAATTTACACCATATAATTTTCGTGCATTGCAACGCCATCGTCGTTGTTAATGTATATTCCCAAGGAAGTGCTATGCATACACAGCGCTTCATTGAATTGATAATGCTTGCCTTATCATAATAATTCATAGGCTACCGATATATAAGTCTAAGAACAAACTGAATAGAATTTTAATCCAATACTTCATCCGTCGTATCTTTAAATGAAGCCGAAGCCCAGTTTACAAGGGATTTTGTATAATGTGCGAACTTCTTTAGTCTAAAATCCAATCAAATCTGTATAAAAACTCTACAAAATAAATGCTATAAAATAAGAATGATTATTTTGTTTACCGTATTCACATATAGGGCAAGGATACACAATCCCTTCTTCCCCATCGTGCTTGTGCTCATCCAGATGATTCATAATTTCAGTTAAATCAGAAAAAGCGCGTTCACAGAACCTTAACAAAATCACATGAATCAATGATTTAGGGCTCTGACCGGCCAAATTTTATTTATGTTAAATATATTTATACTAATTGTTTACATTCGCTCACTCACCTACACTTCAGTTCCGTACTATTCACGTTTTCGTACTGATATTTCCCTAAAAATTCTTTTACATCTTCGTCAGCGTCATCCAAATTATCTAGGATACTATCATCTATTTCTGGCGTCATAACAATCTCCACATCACTAGAATAATCTCGATCTTCATCTTTAACTAATACAACATCATCAGAAGACCTTGGATCGTTATCAATAGGTTTCGTTACTATTTCCCCATCAGAACCTATTTCGACTTTAACAAATTCAACTTTTTCTTTTTCTTGTCTTGGCTTCGCACTTGTGTCTTTGTTGGTATGATCATTTAAGCTAGTAAATTTAGATTTGAAATCTCTCTTATTGGTCTTTTGAAAAATATACTGCAGATTGTTCCTTATAACCAAGCATTCATCAGCATTCAAACATTGGTTCGGCCCTTTCATTCTGCAAGGTTTAAAATTCTCTCCTAAGCAGCTTTGGCAAATAATTTTTAACTGTCTTGACGACCGCTTTTCAGGCGATGATCTATGAAGCCTTTGATCTTCATTATCAAACAGATACAGTTTCTCATTATTATTTTCAACAAACTTTTCGCAAATAAAACAATTTTGATTCTCATTATCACCGATCAATATTCCCTCTTCATAACAGGTAGGTTTGCAATTCCAACTCTTATTTGCTGTCCGAGTAGGATCACTTTTCCGTACATGCTTACGTTTCTCACTGAAATTTTCATATGGTAAAGATGCTACCGGCGAATCTTTAAACATATTAAGAACCTCTTCTCTAGTATATCCAGTAAAATCGTCACCTGTTTTAAATTTTTCGTCACAGCTTTTATAATTTTCTTTTATAAGACTTCTAGGGGATTTATTTCTATTAGTAACAGGATTCAAAGTCGTGTAAGTTTTAGTTACACTTGATTCCAAGTATTTCGTGAATTGTGCTTCAAAGACAGAGGTATTATTGCATACCAATTTAAAAGGGAGACTATTGATGAAACTACATTTAGAACTCGAGTTATTAGGACTTGACCAACGACTTACAGGACTTTCTACTATGTTAAACTTTTTGATATCTCTCTCAGATTCATTTTCTGCATCAAAATCGTCAACACTATCATCTACATACTTTACGAAAGGTATTTTTTCAGCTGTTATATCTATTTGTGGATCATCATTATCAAATTGAATTTGTGAAGCTCTTATTTGAGTCCCATCATCAAAAATATATACTAAGTCATTTGCGTCTCTACCGGACTCAAGCATTTGATCGAAATTATGCATCACTGAGCTCTGCGAATCCTGTTCAGCATTTAAAATATACCTATAGATATTGTCATTCAAAGATACTGACTGGTTTCTGGTTATAGAGTTCAAATCAATATCGAAACCGAGAATAGACCTGAAATAGAAGTAAACGTTTTTGAAAGAGCAGTGATATTCTCTTAAATGTGCATGATTACTTAATAACTTATACTGCGTTGTAGACACTATAATAAAAGAACTTTGTAACCCCGGCATCTCCAATCGCCCCATTGACACAATCTTGAGAAGTCTTATGAAGACACCCATGCACAAGCGAGTACAACTTCGCATTTAGAAGTAAATATATATTTTCTATGACCGTGATAAAGCTAAACATTCATACCACAAGTGGATTTGGAAACTCCAGCGATATATATATTAAAGGGCTTAACACTTTTTCTATACTTGATAAGAAAATTTTTACCTAATATCTAGCTATGTTATTTGACAGAGATGAACAAGTGCTACGGTCCTTACATACATCTTTCACCTCTTCCACTTTCATAAATCTTTTCATACACGCTCCCCATTATTATGGCTTCTGATACTTTCCAAGTACATCATTGATCGATTTGATTGTGAAAGATGTCTTTCTGATCAATTTGATTTGATTTTGATGTTTCTTGGCCTTCCGTGACATCCTTCCACTTTCGCTTTATTATAATTATTTAGTTCAACTCTTTCAGTTCAACTGTCTTTCATAACTCTACATTACAAATACTTCCTACAAACATTACTCTGCAAATTCCATGAAAAAATGCATCTTTATTCCATTTACTTTACTTGTATGGTCTCTCAAATGCTTTCTCTAGATCTAGGCAAAGTAAAGTAAGGTATTTACATTTAAGGACAGTTATTATCACTTGCAGCATAATGCACTATCATAAATAAGATTAAATGCACTTTTTAATAGGAGCTGTAAAAAATTCAACGCAGAATTCAAATACTAATATGAATATACCATTTTATTGTTTTGGTATATTTAGTGTTAGAAATTAAGAAGATAATCACTCTTTTTTGATAAAATTTTATAGGAACTATGCTATCAGGATCAGTATAATTAAATTTTCTTACTTAGCTTTAATAAGAAAACTTTGAAAGTCATCTGATGGTTCAATTCTAAGTGCCACTTCGTCACCATTTGCATTTTCCATGCAGAGGATAAGTGGAGGTTGTTCAGCCATAACAAATACTAGAAATATCAATGAATAGAATTTTATGTATGACATTTCATTGAGAAAATATATTTATTTCATTATTTTGCCACTAATATGATTCCTTAACTTTAAAACAAAAAGTTCATAGTTTTTGTATGACTTCATAGTCATTGAAATAAAAAATATAGTACAATAACATACATACATAAAAATAGTTAAACTATTAAAAAACCAAAAAACTTTAATAATAATCAGCTTATTTATGTAACAGCGATTATTGAAAGCAAGAGCGATTTTTAATTAATAGCAGATAAAAAGTTTTCAAAGTTTTTAACAAGTAGAAAGAATGAAGTTTATGCACGTAGTATTAAGTAGGTATAATAAAACCATACTAATTTTATATTTTCTTAGTACCAAAGAAAATATTTCCAGCCAAGCAATTATGAAGCACGCGGCTACTTTGACACTGGCCGGCCATAAAATAAAATTCGGCCAGTGACAAAATTTATCAGCGTAAGTAATAAAATCTTTAATAGTACTAAACTAGTATAGGAATAAATACAATTTGTTATATGCACGTTTGACTTACCTATTCTTGCGGTTTTACGAATAATTCAACAGTTTTCCATAGCAACTGGCATTTCAAGAAAATAACAAATGAAAGAAAAAAGCAATTTTTGTCATTTCATGATCAAAACATTTGAAAAGCATAGACAATATAAACTTCGCTTGTAAATTCGTTTCTCTATAATGATTGGTTGATTTATATTTTAAATACATTGCTGTTTATTCCTTCAATATTCTTTTGAGTAATTTACAAAAACTGAAATAGATATCAAAAAACCTATGTGACATTAAGGTGACAATGGTGCTGTACTGTAACACCTCATATCCACATATCGAATCAATACTTAAACTGATATAACGATACAAGTTTTTTATTGGAATAAGTAAGTAAGTGAGACAGAAAATATCTCAATTTAAAATTTACAATTAAAAAATGAAAACTTTTCAAGTAAATAAATAATTCCAGTAAAAAGAAAAAAGTAATATGATGGAGATTAGTCGAGGTCATTTTCTGTCCTAATTGCCTGGTCTCTCATTTAAGCTAGTAAATCTATCTTAGGACAGCAAAGGCTTAAAAATCGACAGGGAACGTCTTCACCATCTATGCTTCGCAGACGACATTGTGCTTTTCTCAGAAAGCCCCACAGAGCTCCAATCCATGATGTCAGAACTTAACACCGCAAGCACGAGCGTGGGCCTAGAAATGAATATCTCAAAAACAAAAATCATGTCTAATCATCACAGAACTCCTATTCTTATAAACAATAATGTGGTAGAGTATGTAGACGAATATATTTATCTAGGCAAACAAGTTTCCTTTCGCAAAAATAACAACAGAGAAGAAATAGACAGGCGAATAGCAATCACGTGGAGAAAGTTCTGGAGCTATAAAGAAGTTATGAAGTCTAATATGGAGTTAAAATTAAAAAAGAAAGTAATGGACTCATGTCTCTTGCCCTGTCTCGCTTATGGATGTCAAACGTGGATATTTGATTCCATAAGCAGAAGAAAACTCACATCGTGTCAAAGTGGCTTAGAACGTAGTTCACTAATAATCAAACTAAAAGACAGGGTTCGCCATGGGAAAATAAGAAAGCTGACTGGTGTGATAGATGTCTTGTCCTTCGCTCATGGCCTGAAATGGAGGTGGGCGGGCCACGTGGCACGCTACACTGATAAGAGATGGACAAAGACTGTGACTATGTGGAGTGGTCCCCATGGATATAGAAACAGAGGACGACCTAAGGCGAGATAGAAGGACGAAATAGAATCTATCGGTACAAGAAATTGGCCAAATCTGGCAAAAAACCGCGTTGAGTGGCGATCTCTGGAGGAGGCCTTCACCCATGGAGGGGTCCAGGTGGCATTAGACTAGAGGAAACTCAACGATAACCTACTAATATGTACTGTACACATGCCAAATGGAATAATAAAGGCTTTTTTATTTATTTGCCTGGTCTCAGTGGCAAAGCGTAGTGGGGGGAGGGAATGTGGAGAATGCAAAATAATGATGACAGTTCTTGCCAAAAAATTCTTTAAAATTAATTTATATAATGTAAAGTATAATTATATAAAATACCTATGAAATACCTAATTAATAGGGGCAGCAAAATTGTCTTCCGCCCCGGGGCGGCAAACAAACCTGAAGGGGCAAACAAACAAAAATTAGTCGTTATCATTTAATAAGGATAACGACTAATTTTTGTTTGTTTGCCCTTCAGGTAGATTGTTAAAAAATATTAAACACGTATTTTTTATTTATTTTTTTCGTATTCATTAAATTACGGCGATATATTAAGTTGAAATGTCACATGACGTCACGCTTTTGAACATTTTTTTACAATACTGTGATGTAGCAAGACCCCTCTTCTCAACTATTTCTTGTTAAATTGAAGTGAAAAAAAATACGTAACTATCTAATATTTTTCTCTCATCTGACTGATGAACTAAATAGAATTTCTTTCTTTTTACTGAGTCGTCATCCCTATTATACTGGTTTTCTATTTGAAATATTAATTTTAATTAGCTTTTAAAACAAGTTACGTAACTTTTTTTGATTATCATATTAATTAAATCGCTAGTCCTCTTTATATGTATGCAATTATATAAAAATATTGTTTTGTATGTTTATGTATGGTAAATAGGTAGTATTAATTTATGAATTTATATTGTATATGTAAGTATACTTTGTATAGTATAGCCTCTTCCTACAAAACAACCTTTATTGTGCACACCACTGTCTATAGTTCTTCATATCACCCTAAGGTTGACCGGTAACAAAATTCCTATGGTATTAAGTCCACCATTGTACTTTTGTGCAAGAGGTATCAATAAATAATAATACTGTGTATGTCTATAACTGTCACAAATGCTTGTTAAGTGACACTTTAAAAGTTTACTAAAAACCTTTGTGTGTATGATATTGACATCATCATCAGCCCAGTGTTGGACTTCAGCCTCCCTGAGTATGCTCCGTTTCTTCTTGATGTGGGTTTTCTTCATCCAATTCAAATCAGCACTCCATCTTGCTGGAGGTCTAGAAATTCCTTACCCCACCGGTTATCGGTTCGTCAACAGATATGACCATCATGTTGACATACCGTAAGTTAAACATACCTAACTTACTAAGTATTTGATCTAAGTTTTCTATGTGTATTCTACATTCAATATGTTTTAATATAAGCAATAGTTTATTACTATATTGAAAGATTTCATTCTTGTTATATATTTTATTAAAAGTATAAGTACTTTAAATGAATAATCGATATTAATTGTAGTGATGCTACATCTCTTGAATAAAACTACTTATTGAGTCTATGATTTATAACCAATAAACACAAAAGCATCGAGTTAGACAAAGAGGAGTGAATGAAGTAGTTGTATTGTTTAAGAGAAAGAGAGATAGTATGCAATTATTAGTAACTATTGTTGCTTAGAAGCAATTTTTGTCTGAACTGCCTGGATAGTAAATATATTTGTCGTCGATTCCTTGATAAAAATTAAAGCAATTCATAATAATTAACCTAGGAATAATTATATGAAGGCGAGGGCAAAAACGTATAAACTTCTTTTCTTTCATATGATCAAAGTCACTAATATAACCAACACGCGTATGAAGGAGACAAACAGATTTTTGATTTGTTGATTGACGTGCGATAATACTGTCATTTGATTCGCTCTCGCTCATTTCATTCAATATGGCTGTCAGTGTAACTAAATAAAGGTCGCAATTATTGTGCGCGAATTTAGCTTACTTTACTATCAGTGATAATTTGTTTTAATGACTTAGTCAGTGAAGTGTCGCGGTATGTTTCCGCTAACGCCACCCGTTGTAAAACGATTGTTAGGGTGGAAAAAGGGTCCGGAAGGGACATCTGCAGCTGAAGATAAGTGGTCGGAAAAAGCAGTAAAGAGCTTAGTAAAAAAATTAAAAAAGAGTGGTGCGTTAGAAGAGTTAGAAAAGGCAATTTCAAGTCAAAATAGTCATACAAAATGCGTGACAATTCCCAGGTAAATTTCTATCGCTTATTTTGATATCAATAAAAACCTAATTACAGAAAATAATCGGTGCTATGTCAAACTGTGATAGAATGTAATTTAGTCTCTGTATCTTTGTATTAAAGTTCAATTTTCATGTTAAACAAAATTACATGTTCGGAAATAGTTCTTTTTATTGAAATTGAATTAAATTTGAAATAAAACAAAAACTAAATAATATCCTTTCCGATACTAGTGTTTCATTTATGAACCTAGGATGTGCAACAAAATATAAAGATCAATATCCACTTTCGTTCAGTAATTGCGGTGTATAACCCGACAATTTGACGAAGTGCATAAAGTTTATTGACCCGATAGTGTGAAAAGACCATCCCAATTTGGTTATATAACCGCAGACGGACGCAGATCGGAAAGGTCAAATCGCCGTCAAAACAAATCGAAGTCTTTTTGTCGAATATGGCGGACGTATTTTGGACCTTGTGATTTTTCAAAATAACATTGTGATCCGAAAGTTATATGAAAGACCTGTATAGTGTTGTACTACTTCTCTGTCATTGTAGAAAGGTTATCAAGTACATTGCCCTTGAAATATCCTGGATACGCGGAGATTTGGTAAAGGATTTCCATAATTAATAATTGCTCTTTAATACTGTTACTTATTTGCTGTGAATTAGAACTGAAAGCTCTGTGACTAAACATTAACATAATATTTTGTCTTGGTGTTTCTGCTGTATAATTCATTGTCATTGAAATAATTGTTAATAACTAAATACTCATTTTAATTTAATAACTAATAATTATATCAATACTAAGAGTTCATTAAAATTATAAGACTCTTTAACATGAAAGGCAGTTAATACTTGGGTTTTCACTACCAACATACAAAAAGCAGAGTTTATAAACTACTAAAATATTGTTTTATATTTTAGTACTTTATCAACTCTCCTTCTGCTCTTTCGCTCAGCAGAGCAGAAGGAGAGTTGATAAAGTACACTGGATTCTGGCAAAATCTACAAGAGCAACACAATTAATTAAAAAGAAGAAGAACGGAAACTGGACTATACTCAATGTAAATAAAAGTAGCAAATGCGTTTTTGCATTAAACAATAAAAAAAATATTCAACAAGCTGACCCACTGAATCTCTTACTGCCATATTTTATTATTTTTTATACAATTCTGATAAAATATATTTTTCTTTTATAAAAATTCTTATATAGAAACTTTCCATTCCGACATTTCTTATTATCAGGACAAAGTTTCCTTATAAAAAAAAAAAAATCTGAGTTGATGTAGTTGTTCAGAAGTTATGTACATACATACATTTCAGTACTTTTTTTTATATATTGATGCTGAAAAGCATAGTAACCTACAAAACCAAATTGTTCTTCAGAGCAGAAAATCTTTCTTTTTTTTAATAATTCTTATAAATTTTCATGGTAATAAATATTGGGTATTTCTAAGTCAATTTATATGGAAATAAGATATGCTTTTAATATCTATCTTGGTTTTGTAAATGTGTTTGTATTCCTGTGTTGATATATAGATTAACAAACAAAAGTAGCCTTTTGTATCTGGGTGTTCAGATGTTTGTGCATTTGGGTGTTTTGCTTACAAATTTTGTGTATAGTGAATAGTTTCATATATTGACATTTGCATGGAAATATTTAAACACAAAGGGAATTGTTCAATTTTGGCTTTTGGTGGACAAGCTAATTAGTAAAAACTATGTAAACAGTAAAATATTATTAAAACTGAAAAAAATATTTTTAATACTCTCGTCATGGGAAACTTAACATTAAAAATATCATTTTTAAAAGTATTTTTTGGATTCGGATATGTTTTGTTGACATGTTTCACTGTGTTTCCATATCAATAAATGTTATTGAAGTACTATTACTAATAGTATCGATTAATCGATAAGTTTTAACTCTAATAAAAATGAAAGTAATTAAAGTATATATATATTAATACATATATAGTGGGTAATCTTTTGCAATATTATGTCAATTAAAAACGTTACAAATAATCCTTTTCGGTTAGATATATAAGTTGATTTACAAATCAATCGAATACTTTTAATCGATAAGAGATTTTTATATGGCAGCACCATTTCACTTTTGTCAACAAAGACGTTTGAGTAATAAACTTATTCGGCTAGGTTATGTTTTGTTTTTGTTGTTACTTTCTATCAAGAAGAAGACCAATTTATTTCGGTTTGCATTGATAATGGACTCCGATACCTCTCGAAATTATGACCCGGCTATACCTCTGGACATCGAACCAAACACAAGTAGTGGACATCGTCGACAGCTTTGTATAAATTGTGGAAGATCTATATTACATACTAGATCACATCTACTGCAAACAATATCCGACAGAGAAACACACATAAGAAATGTAATTATTGACTGGAAATCCCCACGACTGGTAGGATTATAGTTATTTTTATTTATTATATTACTATAATAAAGCTTCCTTTATGAAAAGTAAAACATTAATATATCGCTGCCATATCGTTTAAGTAACATTTTGTTGACAAATAATTTAATAATATATTATTCTCTTTTAGGTGCATGGATCTGATAGCATCTGTCATTTGTTGGCAGTGAGCAGATAGAGTAACAGTTCCTTCTAATATTCCAGTCTACCTACACAGACCATTCCCTTACCGGATTCTAAAAGAGCACCTGATTCACAAGCATATTGTTTTGTTCCGGGTTGTGACTCACCACAGCGACTGACAGTTCCCACATGGCTTCGAATAAAATTGTTTGTTGATTTTAACTTTTATGTACCAAAAACCAGTAGGCTGTGTAGTTCTCATTTATATTATAACAATTGGACTGAATGGTTGTCTATCGTGCAAATAATTCATACATTTACTACAGAACATATACAGGATTTTGTATTATTTGTTAAAGAAAGGAATCTTAAAATGGATTTTAACAACATTGAAGGAATGCCTGAAGACATTGTGTACTTTTGGATAGGTCTGTCTTAACTTCATTTAAAATCAAATTCCTTCCTGGGTTATCTGAGATGCATATTAGGTAGTTAGGGCTTGTTTCTTATTTAATTAAACTAAGAACTGGGGATAGTTATGAGAGAATATCAACTTTATTAAATATACCTCATTTAATGTTAAAAAAACTATTAGGAGCAGTTTGTGAATTACTAAATGTTGAATTTGTTTCTCATAATTCATTGACCACCGGAATGCCAGCCTCCAGCTGAAGAGAAACTGTATGAGCAGTGTAATTTATTTATTAAGTGATTTTGTAAAGTCTATTCTTATAAATAAGTGTATTTAATGTCTTTTGCTTGTACAATTGTATTTTCAAATTAAAGGTAAATATGTGTAAATCTACAATTTCTTTATTTAACCATCTCTGTTTGTTATTTCTAACATAAATAAATTAATATGATGATAAGGTAATTAAAGTATTTTACAAAAAATAATTTTATCGTTACATCGTTTATGGAATACTACACATGCTTATATATATACAATGTTAAACTTTCCCGTGAAAATATTACAATAGTTAACTTCTTTAAGACATGAAATATTAAAAAATAACGTTTTTTATAACTGTAGATAATGTCCACTCAAAGCCAAAGTGCCCATACAAACTGAACAATTCCCTTTAGTTAACTTGCATGAAAATCTCATAAATAAAAATAAATGTAGACTTCTTTGTCTTTAGCCTGTCTTTACTGTATCAGCCTAGGCCTCACTCAGAATTTTCCATTCATCTTGGCATTTCACTCTTTCCAACTATTTGGAACCTGCAACCCTCTCAATGTCTGTGGTCTACCTTGTGGACGCTTGTTTTTGAAGGCCTCCACTCAAGGAATTGCTTGCCCCAAGAGTTTTCATTACAGGCCACATGTCTTGCTCACTTCCACTTAAGGTGCGCAACTCATTTTATAACATCTGCGACTTTGCTTTGCTCTTGTAGCCATTTATTTGTTTTGCAGTCCATTAAAGTCACTCCTACCAGCTTTCTCTCTATTGCCCTCTGCCCAACTTTCAATCTATTGATAGTGTTTCTGGTGAAGACCCAGGTTTCTATGTCATGAGTACTGGTAAGATTCACTTAATGTATATCCTGGCTTTTTGTTCTTCAGAAAATTTTATTTTGAAAGCAAAGTGCAGTTTTGAGTATGCATCCCGCATTAGCCTTATCTGCTCTCTACATAACACCCCTATTTTTTTTCTCGGTCTCTTACTGCCCCCCCTTTAGGCCTGCAGCACTCACCAGGGGGCGTTATCGGCCACTTTGGGAAAGGCTGATCTTCGTGAATGGATCTAGGATAGTATTATGTTTTTTTTTATATAATATAACGTATAGGCTTTTTATTCACCAATCAGTTTTCTAGGGACTACACGGTCGAAGCCGCTGGCTGAAATCTAGTACATAATAAATGTTGCATTATGTTGCAGAGTTAAACCAAACGAGAACATTATTAACGGGCAGTACCGCAAGGGATTGCCGCATGTTGTGTACTGCAGGCTGTGGCGTTGGCCGCAGCTACAGGTAATTATCTTTTCAAAAATTCTTGTACAGTTCCCAAATTAAAATATTTCTTTCCACTGTTTATATCTTTAGATTTCAATACATAGTGTAAGTTACTAGTATATGAAAGATTTACAAGTTGGATTTCTCTTTGGTTTGAATCCAACTTTGTACTTGATTCAGCTTTTTCCAAGAATTTTTAAGATGAACTATTTTATTCTTTAAGTGAAGCCATCAAAGAGGGGTATGATAATAAGTTAAGTATTTTCGGAGTTCGCAAAGAATATAACATTATCATTGTCTTCTTCAGAGCCATCATGAATTAAAGCCGGTCGACCACTGTGAGTATGCTTATCAACTGAAGAAGGACGAGGTGTGCATCAACCCTTATCACTACACTAGAATTGATTCACCTGGTTAGTGTCTATAGGAATAATACTCATTAATGATTAAACAACTTCCAGTGAGCATGTACACGTGTAAAACCTTGTCTTATGATGCTTGGTTTTCTAGGTACATTGCAAGGGATCTAGCATGAAGATATAGACGGATAAGGAAATCAGTAACTAATTTTTTTTATAAAACATTGGGATTTTTGTTTTCATGGGGATTTTTGGCATTTCATTAGTAATGGTTTATTAAACGTCTATATCAATTTTTAGCTCTATATGAATTTTGTCTAACTTGCAGGTTTTTTATGTCTATTTTGACTGCGCTAGTTCAGTCTATATACCAAACAAAAAAATAAAACATCACATATATTCATTGCTCAGATTTCAACAGTAGTTGAAGCCCTTGTATTATGAAATATCTGTAATAACTTAGGTACCACAACACCCAGACATGAGAAAATAAAGAAAATTTAATTTTCTACATGGGGTCGGTCCATAGGAAGTCGAACGCGGGACCTCAAACATAAGGACACCTTGAAACCAGCATGCGAGCTACACTGTTAGGAATACAGTCTCTATGGAACTTTTCGGTTGAAATAAAAAGTTTATGGTCTTTAAAACTTACATCGAAGTAAAACCGTACAATGAAAGTACTTAGTACAACGGTGCCGAGTTTTCAGTCGGTCTTAGTGTTCGTTTATGTACTACATACATACATTGAACGTCCTATACACGTGCTGGAATAGGTGTTGATAGACACTATTTTCAGTTCAGCAATTCTCATCCTATCGGCGGTATTGTGTAGTAGAATTTACTAGTGGCGTATATGTTATTCATTTGCTAGGTTCGTTATTTATTGAATATATATTTTAGCTCTACCACCCATCTTGGTTCCTCGGTGCACTGAGGGCGAAGTCCGAGCGCCGCCACCTTATACCGACTACCATCAGCACCTCGAGCACACAGACGTGTAAGTGTTCATACAGACGTCTATACAAACATTTGATTAAAACTACTGGACCGAATTTAAAAAGTCACCTACGGGAAGCTAAATCATACGTGGGTAACACAGGCTATATTGAATAATAATGCTTTTGTACTGTTCAAATCTGCAGATAAAGCTTTTAAGCAGATTTTAATAGATTTAGGTTGAAAAAAAATGTGGTATGTAAAAAAAATTGTATGAAATCTAGACATCAACATTTTCTTAAATATTGGAATTTGTAGAATGTTAAATTTCTAGAGACTTAAGAAGCGTGACTCATGGTTTGTATGTTGCACTTCAATGAGAGCTTGTAATGGTATAAAGAAATCGGTTGTAAAGAGAGCGCGCACACAAAAATTACTAAGTTTCAACTGGTTTCATAAAAAGAAATAACTTCCAAATAAGCTTAATCATAACAGCTTATTTTGACGTTAAAGGGCCGATTGTTATTAATGTATTTAGACGAGACCAGAGAGAAATTATTACTTATATACTTACTTGTGTTGGGATGCCACTCTCTTAGCCAAGTCAGTGACAATTGTGGGACAATTAACAGTACTTGGTGTATGTGCTCGATGAATTTTTGTCTGAATAAATAATTACTTATAATATTAAATAAGCTGAAATGTTACACACTTCTTTTGAAAATCAGTTCGGCCCTTTATAGTTGAGTGTGTTTAGCCACTTAATTAAAATAAATGACGGTAGTTTTGTCGAAGTGAGCTCAGTATGCTTAAGAAACTCGACCGCGTCAGATGGGCACTAGACCTAGGGTTGTCAGGTAGGAAGAGTAAAATATCTTGGCATAATTTCATAAAAGCGAACCGAGCGATTGATTTTATCAATTTTTTAACATTTGACGGAACATTTCCTTCTTTTTCGGAACTCTGGACATTCGCCGACAAGTCGGGACAATCCAGTCCAATCCTGACGATCTGGCAACCCTAACTAGACCCCATTTAGAGGCAAAAATCCCTTTTACATCGTCCGACATACACGTATTGTTTTATTGTTCTTGCAGCAGTATGCAGGCGGGCGGTGTATTGGGCCACAGCGCCATGTACCTAGAGGCGACGCTGGCCCAACAAATACCAGGCAATACTACTGTACACGTGTGAGTGATTTATAAATCTACCCAAATCTGAATTTACATTAGTGTCATGCATGGTGAAACAGCTTTTATAAAACTAATTTGAGCACATGTAAAATATAGCAAAGCTTCTTTGCTTTCACGACGTTTGTGAAAGCAAAGGAACTGGCTGCATAAAATTAAACATGCTTTATTATGCGTTGATGGTGTCACGAAATTATGGTGAAATTGCGTGATACTAGTTTCATCAAAAATATGTGAATCCCAAGGAAATACTAGATTCATCAATAAAGTGTACTTTCACACGTGAAACTAGGGCAATTAATGCAGTGAAACTAGTTTAATGCGTCTAGTTTCGTAATGTGAATTCATTGTGTGAAATTTTGGGGCAAATGATTAATGAAATGAAAATGTGTCGTCTTATTGATTCAGATTTGTTAATTTCTGTTTTGTAAACAATTTTTGTAAATAAATTAAAATGACGCACGTCGAAGACGCCATTACATTTTAGATCATTACGTCACTACGGTAGTATAAAATAAAGACAGCGAAAATTCCGGCATTGCAGTTTGAGTATTTGAAGTTGCTGTTATTTTAGAACCGTGGGAGAGCCACGCTTCGGCATGAATGGGCCGGCTCGACCGGAGTGATACCCGGCCTCACAGAAAACCGACGTGAAGCAACGCTTGCGTTGTGTTTCGTCGTGTGAGTGAGGGTACCGGAGGCCCAACCCCTCCCTATTCCCTTCCCTCTACCCCTCAACCCTTCCCTCCCTATGATCATATTCGTCCCTCAAAGGCCGGCAGCGCGCTTGTAGCCCCTCTGGTGTTGCACGTGTCCATGGGCGACGGTAATCACTTACCATCAGGTGATCCGTCTGCTCGTCTGCCCCCAATCCCATAAAATAAAATAAAAAGATATAAAGTTCATATTTTACTTAAACTCGCTTAAGATATGGTTTGTTACTATAATAGGAGTTCCTCGACGGTGGAGACTCCGCCCCCCGGATACATAAGCGAGGATGGCGACCCGATGGATCATAACGACAACATGAGTGAGTTTGCTGTTTGTTGACAATTTTTTATTATCAATATTCATTCTATAATTCGTACGAATTAACATGACATCTGAGGGCTTATTCTGAGGTCCTCGAACGAAAGTCGAAAAGTTTCGAATCGTTCTAATAAATTTGTTAAGTATATATGAAGATGATCTTGGATCATCAAAAGCATTGTCAGGTCCTACCTCTGGAATCGTATTATTATTTATATTTGTTGCTTTTACTATGTTAAAATAATAATTATCTTTAATGATTTAATAAAAAAAACTGCACCAGCCCCAGGCATCTCAAGATACCCACAACCTCGAAATCCGAGCGACCGGTCTAACAATTGATACCAAACGTGTCATCTTTAATTATTTTAGTAAATTAAAACTTATTTTCAATGTACGATGTAAGAATAATATATGGCGCTATCGGTTTCAATAACTATTACGTAACTGCGGCTGTACAACTACAATCCACAGCACTTCAGAATATACAATATTAACAAATTTCTCAATTTGTTTTAAACCGTAATGTTTTGAGATTAGAGTTTAAAATTAAATGAAGAAATTTGATATTATAACCAATCAGTGCTGGATTAAGCCAGAGCAGGGCCTGAAGCAACCCGGGTTTGCTTATTAATTGAGTGTATAATTGAAATTAAAGAAAATTCTTCATTCTTAACATTTCATTGTAAAATTAACCGCCAATACAACTGTTCTGACTTAACTTACAATGTGAGTATGTATCGCGCGCCTTCTTGTTTTTTGAGGTTTAATAACAAAATAATTACATGTGATAGGTTATTTTCATAACAATCTCCCAATCACCGAAAATATCTTTCGTGCTAACGGTGACTAATAATCTTAATCAGTAACTTTACAAACGAAACAGAAAAGTCGTCCTTTGCTTTCCGAATAACACAATACAATTAATATGTGACTTGTGTTTAATTTGGCAGTACATATATGTTTATACTTAAACAGAGCGCGGCTTATTTTATTTCTTGCCTTTTTTAACACTGACTTGAAAAAGTAATTTATACGTCAGTGTATAGCAAGGCCCCATAACGCGCGGGGCCCCCTAGCATTTGCTACTTTTGCCACGTGGATAATCCGGCACTGTAAACATACGGTGACAATAATTTAAGATTTACTTAAAAGTGAAATGATTTACAACATTTTTGAAATCGTCACCAGCATCGTTTACAACATTCAAATAAGTATTTTAATTACAAGGTTTAGGTTGACTAATTTTTACTACATATTTTATCAGTAAAAATTAGTCAAAAATTATTAACTTTTACTAAATTACAATGGCAATATAGACTCAAACACTCGTATCTACATTCGAGCAGAAAAAATAACGCATACATAGAAGTTTTTAGGGTTCCGTACCTCGTTGTCACATGAAATCAAATTTTCACAGATGATGTATTACTGTTGTCGTTTCAACAACAAATACTAAATAAAATGATAAAATAAATATTTAAGGGGGCTCCCATACTATAAACAGGTTTTTTTTTTACTTTTGACATAGATCGCACTTGTTCGGCTTTTTTTTTTAATATATCGTTTGGCATCCAGACATAACCCGTCTGACGCCGTCACCGTCTCACGCTGTATCGGAGGCGGCGCCGGTGCTGTACCACGAGCCGGCGTTCTGGTGCAGCATCAGCTACTACGAGCTGAACACACGCGTTGGGGAAACATTCCACGCGTCACAACCCTCAATCACTGTAGACGGATTCACCGATCCCAGCAACAGCGAGAGGTATTCGTTAACGTGAATAATTTGTCATTACAGCATTCATTAGTCACGACCCCCGGGAGAGGTTGTCGGTAAAAAAAAGAAAAGTTTGTACATTATTCACTACAGTAAAATAGATTTTTTGTGAGAAAGATAAACTTGTTTATTTGTCAATTTAATATCAATTTGAAATGTTAATAAAGAAAGAGAGAGAAATGTCTTTAAATTATTAATGTTATAGATAGGGGTCGTGTATTCAAAAAGTTTGAAAAACACTGCTATAAATAAATCCGTATGAACTCCTGCAAAGGTGATGTTCGCTTAAATATATGATGCTCCTGATCAAGATTTTGTACAGTGTATAGTTCCAAGTGGGCAATCAAGCTCGGTAGACCGTGAAAATGTGACGTCACAACTCTATTGGGGTTATGGACGCGTCCATTTTACTCATTACGATAGATCCGCCATCAGAGCCACTTTCTTTCCTCTTTATGAAGTATAATGAGAAGTAATATAACTAATACGAAAACTGGGCATAGTAGACCCTATAGTTTGTCTTCGTGCTTGACATGTACTATGTAATAGAGATCTTTAAAGTCTCATTGTGGTATTTTGTTTTAGATTCTGCTTAGGTCTTCTGTCCAACGTGAATAGAAACGAGGTCGTAGAACAAACACGCAGACACATCGGCAAAGGAGTCAGATTGTATTATATAGGCGGTAAGTTTATTCATACTATCTTAATGTGGGAATAGGTCGGCGCATGTTGCGTTCTCTGTCAGTCTCGATGGTTTTGTAGGAGACAGTATAACACAATATGTACAATACCTGCTTAGAAGGGAAACGCGGTAAATGTCCCACAATCACAATGATTTAAGTAGCTCGCTTGACTCCCTATGCTATGTATTTTATACCTTATGGGTATTAGAACAAGACTCATGAATTTGTATCATACAATCTGTTCTGCAACAAACGAAAATTCACGACACGTCATATTAGTCAAAATGTCTAAGAAACAAAGTCCATATGTAGAGATTATTTTGGGCATGGATTACCAAACTATGTAGAACACTGTAGGAAGATACCTTTTCCAAAATTAACGAATACCTCAGACCCTCCTAACTAAATCACTTTAAAATTTCTCATTAAAATTAAATAACATACACAATATCGACGCTGGAAAGCGAACAGGTAGTAACCCGCAAAACCAAAATTCTTCTTCAGAGCAGAAAAACTTTTATTTTTTTTCGATAAATAATTCCTATAAACTTCCTTGGTAACAAATAAGGTGTTCCTTAGTCAATTTATATAGAAATAAGACTTTTTTTTTTAAATATAATGATTTTCGACTCTAAATATCCATTTTGGTTTTGCAGGTACCTAGTTGTTTGCTTTCCAGCGTCGATATGTAGACATAAAATTCAGTAAATAGCAATTGAATAATCATTAATGCAAATAACGTAAAAATCATTACATTATGCCGATTTGGCACACGTAACAGTTGATACAGTATTTAATTAACAGAATTTAAATAGGGGTAGATTTTTAGACCTCAAAATCGGTTTTCCTTTATGATTTCTCATTATCGACTCGGGAAATTGTTTTCATTCACTTACTTCGGTAACAACCACTTTGACGCTCCTGTAGACGATAAAGAATTGACCGTTTTCAGGCGAAGTCTTCGCTGAATGTTTGAGCGATTCGTCGATTTTCGTTCAGAGTCCGAACTGCAACCAACGTTATGGATGGCACCCAGCCACTGTTTGCAAAATACCACCTGGTGAGTACAAATAGCGCGCTTTGTTATTAAAATAAATTTATTAATAGACATATTTGCAAATATGTATTAATAGAGTTGACTTGAAAAATGCTGGAAGCATAAAAAATCATGAATTACTGTCTAAATATAATTCTCTACATTATACGAGACTTATAAGTCTCGGCATTGGTAGTGATTGCAGAGTTCACTGACCGTGCTATCAAACTTGATGGCTAGGAAACTAACGAATGACAATATGCCTAACTGTAGAGACTTGCAATAATCATTAACTTATCGCAATGAATGAGTTAGCGACCAAATACTGGATTTGGTTTGCTCTGTCGAGACTGCAGCCCCAGGTTTAAACTATTATCCGACCAAAATAAGTCAACTCGTCTCAATTTAAAATTTTCTCTTCTGTCATTGTCGAGTTGCTTTTGGTGGCAAATGGTTTAAACCGTGTCGTTACTTTAGTCTTCGTATTATAATAAGACTGATAAATTTTTTATTTGAAAATAACTGTCGGGCAAGAACGTTAAAAACGGTATTAAATCTACTTATTTCATTTTTAATAAGAGCGATTTCTCTTGTTTAGGTTGTAATTTGAAGATATTCAACAACCAAGAGTTTGCAGCGCTACTGTCTCAGTCTGTGTCGCAAGGTTTCGAAGCGGTGTTTCAACTCACGCGCATGTGCACTATACGTATGAGTTTTGTCAAAGGCTGGGGCGCTGAATACAGGTAATAATCTCTATGATATTACAAATATTTAGATATGTTCATAAGAAAATCATTATCAATAGTGATCGGAGAAGGTATATAGGGGTGTGTATAGGTGTAGATAACATGTTTTTAAGAATTTTTATTTATGTATAAAAAAGTATCATTCATTTATTGAGTTAAAATCTAAAGATAATTTTCTGTGAAAACGTCATCCTCTGTCGTGGCGTCGCTATAATGTCCCAATAAAACTAATAACGTTCTACGTATGCTTATGGCTTAGCAATATTATAAATATAATAATATATAAGGTAATATATTAAAAAAATACATGTATTTATTTTTATTTACTGTCTACACTCGTATTAGGTTTATTGATTCGAAACAAATGCATTAATGTGGAAATTCCATCGATGTTGTTTTGTAGCTTTTTTCTGGTACTTTATGAAACCAAATAAATGTATGTAAATCCTTAAAAAGTATTTTTTTTTGATTTTAAAATATTATATAGAGTTGATAATGTTAATAAGCGTAAAATGTATTATTTATATTTAACTCAGACGACAGACGGTGACGTCGACTCCATGTTGGATAGAGTTGCACCTGAACGGTCCTCTTCAGTGGCTGGACAGAGTTCTCACACAGATGGGATCACCGCGTCTGCCGTGCTCCTCAGTCTCCTAAGGTAACCATCTCGTACATATCCCATATATCGATGAATTAATGGCTACTTGACTCATTATCATCAGCCCTTTTACGTTCCTACTGCAGGGGCTCAGGCTTTCCTTATGAATGGTTAAGGAGGATGCGCCATGACCCTCCACGAGGGTATTAATTACTGCAAATGCAGCCGGCACCAACGGCTTAACATGGCTTCCGAAGCACAAAGTAGCTCGAGATATATTTTTTTTTGGTCATTCATCCCGTTACCGACCCTAGTGAAAGTTGTTTAACAAAATCGATCGTAGACCGCAGCGCTTATCAACTACACCGCCGAGCTACTTGGCTACTTGACTGTTTTGGGGATTTTATTTTAAAACTTTCATATGATCATATTTAAAAAAAAGCAGATTTATTTATCTCGAAAAAGCGTTATTAAATAAAGGAAACCCAAATCTTTGTTTAATCAGTTATGACTCATTTCGAGTCATGATGTCACATTTCAAAAAATAAGTACTGCTTGCACTGGCAACAAAAAATGAAATATACTTAGAATTTATTTTAAAATAAAAAGAAAATATGTGGAAAAAGGTAACTTATTATGTAGTCAATGTTTACATATAAGTTACCTTTTTCCACATATTTTTTACAGTACATTATATATAGCTGTCAAGTAGCCAATTTTTGATGAAAAATTTAATAAGTTAAAAACGTTTGAATAGTACCACTTAAAGCTAAAGAGCAAATTCGTAGATGCGTGACTGTCTAAGTCACATAAAAAGATGATAGGTAGTAAATGGATGATGTGGTGGATATTATCGGCAATACGTACAATCTGTTGCGTACAGTGCATGAGTACTCAGTGGATATTCACTTATGAGCATCACATAGTGTAAATTGAATATTTCCATCCACAGGGCCCGGATGTAATAAGTAATACAGTTGAGAGTAAACTCGACCGTTGAAATACCTCCCCACACGAGTCTTAGCGTGTATGTACGATAGAATACAATAACCCACTCTATTCATTGTTACATTACCTTAAATTCATGAATAATTCCATCTCTTTCTGTCTTTATTCGTCAAAAAGAGACAGCTAGCGAGAGAGTAAAATACCTATTGTCTACAAGAGTGGTGTCTAATTGGTCTTTTTTTAAAGAAGAAAAGAGATGCTCTATGCAATCGGTTTGATTTCGATTTAAACTCATTGGTTATGTTTTCTCTAATGCGTTAATAAATAATTACAATACTACAGAACTGGCGCGTTATGTATTGATTCAGTTCTCTGAAAAAAAAGGCGCCACCATTCATATAAATATTGATTAAGTACCAGCCAAAAATATGGTCTACCGCCCTACAGTTAAAGTTCATATGAATTTTAAAAAACAACAGTCGATTTCGGCTTCTAATAATATTATGACCTTAACTTCAAATGTCAGACATCTCAGATAACACACAATTTGCAAGAATTAGAGGGTCCGAAACTCTGAAAAGTCGACTAATGATAATTAGATTTCACAGAAACTTTTACCAAATATGGTAGTCCATTTTCTTGACCGGCCTTATCTATATGAACAAACGGTTTTCTAGTCCACAACTCAACATATGAATACATATACGAAAAAGCAATAATATGTATATTTTTTTATCATGACTCGAGACAGAGATCTTAACTTTCATTATTTCATGTGTTTATACTCGTACAGTATGTATACTATACTATTTAAGCCAAAAACTGTCAAATATCGAGAAAAATATTTGTATATGTTTTCATATGTATTCAAATGCAATAAGTACATGGAAATGAAACAATTAGATTTTGTAAGCAATGTATATGTATAACGCCATTTTCATGTCTACTTGTTTACACTAAAACATTGGTTCTAATTCTATACCTTTTGTTATAGTAAAAAAATTAAATTAACGCCAGCTAACGGCAATACGCAGAACTTACGAGTGACTTTCCTTATCGATTTTAATGTTACTGTAGAGATGGTCTTATTATGTACTGTTTTTTACAATAGCCCAGATTTATTATAAGCAAAAAAATTAATGATCACTTGTTTTTGTTTAAAAAAGAATAACTATTTTAACTTGTTGACGATATTATTGGAATTAATTTGTTTTAACAATACATTAGATGTTGTACTTTATTTTAGCCATTGTGAAATGCATTTAAATATCTTATTATTTCGATTTACACCTGTGGTTGTTTTTATTATTATAAATTAATATTTCAATTTTATTATTATGATGACTAGTTTGAAACATAGTTTTGTGTTTTATATTTTTTTATAAATTAGTCTTACACATGTATACATATAGATTTATATATGACAAAAATCCTAGGTACATATGTATTCATATTTTCTAAAATGTTAGATTTTATTCGATTATTACCTTTATGCATATGTTATTTTAAGTTTACACAAAATCTATCTAAATGCCGCCGTTTATAAAGTTCAACAGAAGAAAAATCTAATAGAAGAACTGTAAATTACTGTTTATTTTTCATCATTGTCTAATACAACCCTTCATCGGTGATAACAATTCAAATAGTTCAAGGTCTTATTGTATGTATAATGCAGCACACTGTTTCTAATTTCATCAATTCAATCCTTATTCCAAGGTATTCAATACTTAAGTCGTTTGCTACTATAATATTTAAAATCTTCATGCGATCGCTAGTAGCCATCAAAATTGAATCTTAAAGACGCTGGTATAAGAATCAGAACAATGGAGCCAAAAAAATTTTTGACGTTTCATCCCTTTATTAAGCACCGTTTAGTAACGTTTTGTTTACAAAGACTTAAAATGTAAAATTGTTATAAAAAAATAAACTATACACCGATCAACTTACTAAAAAGAAAGTATGAGTTTCCTGAAAGGTGCCCGAAAGTTACTTGTGTGTAATACACATGCTTTAAATACAAAATTTCATAGCAATCAACGTGAACTAGCCCCTTATGGACCCTCATCCTTTTAGAATTCTGTACCCTCATGTTAATAAATACAACTTTGTGAATTTAGTTCTCGAAATTAATATCATCCTTAGTCCTAGCACGTAGTATTGTGTTGATATCACGTCATTGGCATACGATCGACACGCCAACGGAATGGGGAAAAATAATCATAACATAAAATTCAAACATGACTTGATTAAGTTGAAGCAAAAAACCTATTGTCTCAATATTATTTCATTACTCATTTTGGTATTGAGGTAATTGTTGAATTAAGTTATCGATAGTATTTAGATTCAATATTATCGATATTAAAATATTTTATCAATTTGATCAAAAGGTAATAGGTTTACTTCCTATCCTGTTTTCAATATTACTTTAGAGGTGTTAAGGTTGCTGGTTTAATTGTTGTCGAATTAAAAATTCGCCATTCCGTTGACTCGCGTCTCGAATGCGTATCTATAAATAATAAAATATGTAGTAGTGGTGTCGGAAAGGCAGAATGATTAGTGTTCTTTGCTTTAAAAATTAGGAACGTGGAAAAGTAAAATTATTTTCGTAATGAATCTTTTTATAAGCAAAGAACGCTTTGAAGTCTGAAGAGGAGAGAATAATGTGGATATTATGTTTTTATTGTTATTCTGTAGTCATTTTTTTTATATAATATGCTCCTACTTATACAACAGTATTGAAATAAGTGAAGTCGCGCAGTCCATTACGCATCCGAAATGTTTTATATGCCCGTTTTATACACCCTTATTTCTAAAAGAATAAGGTACGTGAAAGTTCAATGTTTTGTACGTACTTTGTCGTATGCCTACTCCGGTTAAAAAAAGTAACCGGGTGATGAATTTACTGCTATTTACTATGTGGTGGACTGTCTAATGAGTGTTATTTTACTTTTATTCCAGTCGGTAATAAATGAAACCCTATTTACTTTGCAATATGAATGATAATCCATTGTTGATAATGTTTTTATTTTCAAAATTTTTATAGTATACAAAACTATTCACCTAGCGTAAAGTATTTTTAATAACGAATCTTTTATTATTGTAGGGATAACATTGTGAATGTTATGATATGAATAAAGACATAATATTTTCACTAAGAAGCCAAAAAGATAATATCAAGGAAGGTGCTAAGTCAAACGATGGGTAATGTACAAACAGCAGCACATTAGGTTGTTACTAACCCACGAATTACTGTAATTAATATTGAACTTAATTGTCAAAATATAAGGCTTAAAATAGATTGGAAATATTTGGCGTATTGTATTAACCTGGTGTGCTGTCGATTGTACATCCAAGATTGTACATAGATGTCGTGAGGTCGCCGTGTCACTCTTCAATTGAAGGCGCGGCGTATACGCAATATGTCTGTTAAGTTTTATTATTTTGATTAATGCTTAATTATAGTTTATAAAAATGTGAAAATTGGTTCGCCTTCTGTTCGCATATTATGCGAGATTTTTTAGTCATGGTAGAAATTTATAACAAAAATGAGCATTATTTATTACACAATAAGGTTAAAAATCATATAATGTTTTTATATTTCGATCTCTCTGAATTTTGTGCATCAATTACCTAATATTTTATGAAGTTAAAATGAGAATCCATATTTGAACTATTTATAATGTGAAATGGATGGTGTGAAACATGTATTCGGGTTTGTATAACAACGATTTAGTATTGCGAAAATAGTTTTCTTTTTTATTAAGTTTTAAAGTAAAACGAGACACTTTTATATTTATATATATACTGTAAGTGATTTTGAGACAAATATAATCGTTGGTTTACATTTTTTTTGTTTTATATATACGCTCATTTTATCCATTTGTTTAGTGTTAAGTATATGTTATGCTTGTAGTTGTAAGTTAACATATTTATATTTTTTTTTGTGTATAACATAATGCTGGATTCAGATTGCAAGCTCGAACGGTCTGTGAGTGTATACGGAAGTAAATTCCTCAAAGTATATTAATACAGGAAAAATATTTTAGCTATAATGATCATATATAATGGATTTATTCAATATTCGCTATAAAACAAAAATTATTTAAATACCTGTCATTATGTCGATAGTGAATTAGTGTTTCAATGACGTCACAGATCCGTAATCGCGTTTGCATGTGTGAATCAGGCCTGATGAATTTGATGATGCTTCCATTTTGTACAGTTCTATTTTTGCTGTTACTTTGGCGATCTCACGCGATAAGAAATGAGATGGGTAGAAATTATATAAAACAAAACTACTACAATAAAACATGTGTGGTTCGTATTAATGAGTTTCATTATTGTTTACCTAGATGAGCTTATCCTACGTGCGAACGAACGCCAATCGTACATTCAATAACATACCTTATTATCAATAATTTAAAGTGACTGACTGACATAGTGATCTATCAACGCACAGCCCAAACCACTTCACGGATCGGGCTGAAATTTGGCATGCAGGTAGATGTTATGACGTAGGCATCCGCTAAGAAAGGATTTTGATCAATTCTTCCCTCAAGGGGATAAAATAGGGGATGAAACTTTGTTAATTTTAAACATCGGGCTGAGACTGCATGCATAAAGCTACTATGACGTAGGCACCCCTTAAGAAAGGATTTTGATAAATTCCATCGCTAAGGGCATAAAATAGGGGATCAAAGTTGATTCAGGTTTTTTACACGATATAATGAATAAATATTCGTTAGAAATGCTGCTCGAAGTAACTTTACCACGCTGACGAAGTCGCGGGCAAAAGCTAGTTTTACTGATAAAGAATTAAAGCTCAATGAAAAAATTAGGTTTACGTGTAATCCTTATAATTATAAGATTAAGGTATGTTTTATATCTAATATGTAAACTGATGAAAAATTTGCAACGAATAGGATCCGAAACTAATGGACCGATTTTACAAATTCTTTCACCTGCAGAAAGCTACATCATATGCGGTTGACATAGGCTATATATTATCCCGAAAATAAACAAAGGGATGAAAATGGGAGTGAGTGTTTGTATACGTTACCCTTGTAACACTTGTTCACTATTCAATTTATCATTGTAATTTTATACGAGTCATGATATGAATCGATATCCAAATAAAGAGTTCCCTAGGTATCACGCAGGCCAAACTGCTGGCGGGAAACAAGTTGAATATACGTTTAACGATCATTGTCCATTCGTTCGCTAAATCCGTAGAGCCCCAAAGTACGTGGATGCTGCGGGCCAGGCAGTCTCCTTTTGTTTTGAAAAAAGAGTTTTATATCAAAACGGGACAAATTCGACATTGGCTTTGTGTTGGCAATACCGAGACAAACTAAGTCGTAGACGTCAATGCGATTAAAACTGACGGATGATCCGACAAGCTTCTTACGTAAGCTTTTGTACAAGACGGGATTTCCGTCGAGTGGGCATGATCGAATAACATTTAATATAATTTTCAAGTTCTGACGAATAATAATGCATAAAGGTTAAATATCACATATGTACATTTGCTCTCAAGTTACGAAGCTTTTAAGCACTTTTATTATGAAAAATTCAAGTAACGAATGTGCCACAACATTCAGACCCGAGGCAATATAGAAAATTCCATTTCCTACATTGACCCAACTAGGAAGCGAACCCTGTACCTTGCAAATGTCTATACCTTGAAACCGACGTACGAATCATCGCCAAGGAGGTCGTTAAATAAAACACCACTGGACTTTATGACTATAATAGGACGTACACAAATGCCACTTCACGATACACACTTAGAACATCACCAACATCATCACACACGAATAATTTTCGTACCAGGCTCCCATTTGTAGCCCATTGGTATCTTAGAGTTGACAGACTCCATGGAGGTATAATAAACTATGTTTGTGGACGGTTCATAGTCGAGGCTTTCCTCCGATTTCCTTCTCAAATCTTTATCCCGTTTTACTTCCGTCTTAAAGTCTATTTTCCCGTCTTCTGCTATCAGTTCGCAGCGACGACGAGGGTTCATGATGCCGGCACAGCTGTGGAATTTAGAGAATTTGTCGTGGACTCTATGTTCCAAGTCAACATGTAGGCTTAATTGTCGTCTGTAAAAGAAAGGACTTCTAAAATTCTTAATAAAAAATACTCAAAAATAAACTTTGTCCCTGACACTCTTGCGATGGGACTCGAAACCATGAACTTTCGCGATCCGGGCGACTGCTGTAACTACTGAGCTACCCAGGACCTAACAGGACTGACGAATTTTTGAAGTACTTGTTCCTTTTTTGCTACTTCAGAAAGTATTTTCACCATTATTCAGGCAATCCACCCAAACAGCCGAAAGTAATATTTCTACAAATATAGTTTATATAGAATATAAACTTCGATAAAGATGAAAATTTATTCAAATTATAATATTTAATCAATTTTGCATTTACAATTCTATACTAGATTTATTATATTATTTAACTACATAATATAATAAATCTACAGACAAAACACAAAATATGGCACTATTCAAAATTGCCTTTGTGTATTTACTTTATAAATGTCTATTAGTTTATGTTTAGAACAAAATACTTTAGTGCAGTGCATTAAAGCAATCTAAATGTTGTCAGATGCTTTGTGGACATTTCAGATGCGCCACATCGCAATGCAGTAATGTATATAAACTTTTGTACCTCCGCAAATCGCTTACCTATAATCGAAATTTTCTCCACACAGCTGGCAAGTTACAGGCGACTTACTAAACGAATATTTAGAATTCAAACTTGGTTCCACAGGAGCAGTCCCCTTCTTTTTTCTGTGTAAACTGACACAACTCAATGTCCTTTTATCAGTATCCGAATTGCTGGACGTATTCACCGTGCAGTCATCTTTAGACCTTTGCAGAGAGTGAAGGTTTGATTCCGAGTATCTGTCCTTTTTCATTTCCGCGATTACCTGATCGGGATTAGATAATTTGTCGAAGAACGAGACGATCTTCTTTAATTTGTCCTCTGGGATTTCGCTCTTGGTTAGCTCGGGATCTGTTTGAGTGACGCTAGCGACTCTTTGTCTAGGCGTAGGTCTAGGTGGAAGGCTCAGTTTGCTGATACCGATGTGCTCGTTCTCGTGTTGGCATTTGTCGTATTCTTTCTCGAAGCCTTCGTGACAGTAATGACAAATGAACTTCCGTTCGGTGAAGTGGCATAAGTTGAGATGATCGTTATAATTGATGATACCTGTGAGCACAGAATAAGATATTATTTACTAGAGTTCGCTATTGTTAAAATAGTCCATGGGTCGAGAAGACCTATTCTTCGAAGAGTTTATCAAACACTATAAAATAATAATTAGAGGTGTATTTGATGTAATGGAAAAAAACATTCTTAAATCATTTATGATCATTGAAAACATTAACCTTAACATTCAAACTAAGTTGTCCTCCAAAAAATTATGGAAAGCTTTTCCATAATTTTAATGTTAAGGTTAATGTTTTCAATGATCTTATATGATTTAAGGAGTTTTTTTTTGCGTTTATAGCGTGAAGATTATTTTTTTAGTTAAAAGTAAACCATTAAATAATGACAAATAGAAATTGTTCTGGAAATATGTACCTCCATATTTTAATTGAAAGTGTTAATGTGCTCACCATAAAATATCATCTTACATCCCATAATAGGACACTGCCGAGGAGTAGTGTCCATCAAGCAATTCTTCTGCACCGATTGCACACACGTCAAGATAATTGGACTCTTCACGTTTAAAGCGCTCTCTGACTGAATTTTCTTTGGTCTGCATAACTTCCTGAACCGTAGACCTTTGCGCCTTCTCTTTTCTGAATTTGGTGAAATATTGTTATCACTTGCGGAATAAACATGACCATTGAGGTGAGCAATGCTCTTATAAGATCTCTCAGATTTTATACCAAAGATTCTTTGTATGAAGCATTGGAACCTCGTCAGTTTGGGTCTGTCGTTCACCATGACATATACAGTTGGATCCGGGTATTTGTCTAGGCTTTGTGTTTCCATCCCTTTGTACTCCTGTTCGGTGACGTTAGATATAGAATTGTCTGTGGTAGCGTAACGATCGATTTTGGAATTGCTTATTTTTGTGGTGGCTGCATCGAGTTGTGTCGATGTGCAAGAGTACTGTGGTATTTTGAGGTCCCGTATCACAGCAGTAGCCACTGTAGATGCTGAGGAAAGTATTATATATAATAATATTTTTTATATTAGAATTTATTATAGATATTAAAAGTCTATAAAGGAATATCCGTAATGATTTTGAACTCTACCCATAATACATCAAGGTTAAAAATGTAATGGAGAAATTTATTCTTTAATCTAACGAGCTGTATTATACCTTTATCAGTCTCCTCTACTTCAGTGACATCACCGCTGGTCAGCTCCGTGGTGCCCGCACATGCATCAGTCTTAGTCCGGTGCGATCTCTTCCTGCGACTCCTTCGATTCCTACCCTCATGTTCATAGTCACCTTTAGTTCCGCATGTGTCCGGCAAGATTCCTTTAAATTCATTCATAATCATCATCAGGCCTTTTATGTCCTTTGCTAACGCACGTTAAAAATCATTGACTGCACCGAAGGAAGCGGAAGAAATGTATTTAAAATATTTTTAATAAAACATGAACCTCCGCACACAAGCAGTACTATCGTAGTATAAGGTTAAGGTTTTATATGTTTGAACCTCCAATGCTGCGATAACATTGTGTTCGACGCCTTCCGAATTCAATGACCGCTGCCACGTGCTAAGTGTTAATTCCTGTGAAAACGTGAAAATTCGTCTCGCACTCCTAATTGGCATTTATCTAGCAGTGTTGTAGAATGGAGTCGTTTAATCAAAAGCCTAGATGAAAATTAAAGACTATTTCAATTATGTGGCTCTTACGTAGATATTTATGTATACTAATGTATTTTAAAGAGGAAAGATTTGATTGTTTGTTTGCATTGAATAAGACACCGAAACTACTGGACTGATATCATAAATTCTTTCTCCTACTCGTAGTTACATCATACGTGGGTGACATAATGCCGAAGCCACGGGAAATCAGCTAGTAAATTAATATGCTGATAACGATATAAGAACCTATGAATACTCCGTGAAGCTTAATAAGACCCTAAGAAGCTTCTGCGCTTGTGAGCGGAATTGAGTTGGTTATAATAACGGGCTGACAAAGGCCTCTAAGTGCTGAAAATTAGAGCCATCTAATCTTACCTAGTAGTGAAATAATAATTTGTCAAACATTTACCTATTACACTCGCGTCGTAAATTTGGAAGAGTTTCTTCAAGCATTTATATTTTGCTTTGAGCACCTCGTGCTTTTTCTTCGGCACCCATTTCTTGACTTCATCCTCCTCGCTGTTCTCAGGGATGCTTGTAAGGACGGAACCCGACTTATTATACATTGATATACGTCTATTCCCAATTAAATAACTAATAATTTTGACCGACAAAAGGAACACTAAGCTAGCGTAGATCGCGTAATTTTGGTTTATCATAACGAATGCAGTGTGTGTATGAGATATGTTTTATTTTTATTGAGCTCCCATTCATTGCGTGCATAGTGCAGTGACATTTTTGATGATTTTTTTTTGATAGCTTTTCTTTTTGTATGACGGGAAAATCTTTGTTGTCAGTGTAGATGCTAGTAGCCAGTATTATTTAAAAGTAAAGAGTTTTTGATCTGTAATTTTAGAGTTGAGACATATCCAGGACCAGCCCGTCCATAAAGGCAAACTAGGCAACTGCTTAGGGTGCTTGTATTAAGGGGGCATGGCATGGCAAACAGATTAAATTAATTTGTAGTACCTTAAAAAAGTCGACGTTCTTTGAAAATGAATTCACTTTCTGCGGTATTCATAAGAATACAAAATTTTCAGACCGGCAGTACTTAAGGAGTTTCTTTTGTCATTGGCAAAATTACACTCTTAAATCGGTGTAACAAGAGTCTCTTATTTTCTTGTCATTTATTATGTGCGTCATTCCAGTGTTTTGCCTAGGGCGCTAAGTTTCATTGAGCCGGCGTTGAGCATTGCCCTGCGATTCTATAAAAATCTATAACCAAATACGAATTCACTCAGGTGTTGAGCAAGTTGAGCGGATGCCGCATTTGAAGTGAATTTAGTCAAATGCGGCATCCGCTCAACTTTCAATTGTTAGTAACGTTTCATGTCATTTGTGAAGTGAGTTTGGAAATGACAGTGATAGAATATCTGAGACACGTATTATCCATCAATTTTGTTTCGTATTTTATACAAAAAAATGGAATCAATGAAATTTGTACACTAAATGACGTGAATTCAGACTAGAGATGAAACGGATATCCGGTTACAATCCGGTATCCGGCCTTATTTTTACTATCCGGCCGAATACCAGATGGGGTGCCAATTTCCGGCTGGATACCGGATAGTAAAATAAACATAAATCTCATTATTTTACACAAGGAAAATTATACCACTTTACATACATTTATTAATTAGTTTAATACTCTAAATTAACAAGTGGCAAATTGTGGTGAATGAATACCAAACTTTCTGCTTTTGTTGGTAAGAGGCGACTCCGCTTTATTTCATATACCAGGCCAGCTTCAGGGAATTCCTATTTTAAGTATTTGCCCGAGTTTATGTTGGAAGTTTTATCTCTGCCACCCTCGAATGTTGAATGCGAAAGAATTTTTAACAAAGTAAAAGACAAAAATTAAAAACGAAATTAACTCCTTACGAGATCGATTAAAGCAATTTCTTATCGCACCAGGCCATATAGCGTCACAGAATAAATTGTATTGTTTTTTTTTACATCGGTACAATGTTTCAAAAGTATAATAATACCGAAATAATTATACTGTCCGATTTTAATTAATAATAACGTGTTTTCTACTCTGACCCAAAACGTATTACTAAATTTTTAAGGTAGTTCTACCGTATTCCAATTTAAAAATACTCCATAATATTGAAAAAAAAAAATTATACTCCTTTCCGCTAGATTTCAGAGTTGATAACACTGCTTATACTTGACACGCTATAGATTCAAATCAAACTGATCGGGTCATGTAATGCGATAAATCCCGAATATTCGCTAACCGGATATCCGGCACTCCGGCCTCGGAGCTTCCCGAATATCCGGTATCCAGTATTAGACCAAACCACTATCCGTTACATCTCTAATTCTCTAATTCATGAGTGAATTCGAATTCGGTTTCAGAATTTAACGGAATCGCTCCCGTAATGGAAAATGCGGCACGCCTCGGTAGTGGAACGTCAGAACTGACAAATGTAATTTAAAATATGATATGACATTCAACCTTGCACACTCGATGATTTATCTCTTACTATTGCAAACTTCCGTGAGAAATGCGAAAAAAAAACAAAAACCTTAATAAAAATTTATTTACAAACAATGCATATGCAATGCATACAGTCAAATATCGCAAATGGTAATATTAAATTATGCTAAATATAAATATGTAGTCAGGGCCCAATATAAGGTAGGTAGTGGTGGGTGGAATACTTAGCAAGCTAAATAAAAATAGAGGACTGGTGAATCGCACGTAGTACAATACTTAGATTGGGCTCTAAACTCTAGAGTGCTATTCTGTTTTAAGACGTCGAGTTTAACAGTCAAAGTCGACAATGGGCGCAGCACTTCCAAAGCGTAGAGGTCCAATTAAATAAAACCTATTTCAAAGGAATTAAGGTTTTATTTCATTGAAGCTCTGTGATCACAGCCGAATTTGAGGGCTTGACCGCCCTTTTTTAGCTTTCATAATTAGGAACGATGTATGAATTTATTTTAAATAGATTTAAAAAAAATATTGTGATTGATTTAACAGGTGAATGTACAATTTCCTGTATCCAGTTAATCATTCAGCTTTTCATCATCAGTATATTTTATGCCAATATTGGCCGCTCATAATCTCTAGCCTAGGCCCAAGCCTATTTATGGTTTAAGAGTAAATCCATCAATGTCTTTTGTCGTTTCATTCTACTGCTTGCCACGACGATTTCGAAGTTGTTTTTAATAGAATAGCATAGCTGTACGTATTTGATACAGACAACTAAAACAATACATTTTTTCTATATAATAAATTATTTACATGATTTAGCAATATATTGAGAGTATTATAACGCACACTTTTGACACATTCGACATAAAGTTGAAAATAGAATGCTGGAACGCATTTAATGCTAACATTTCCTTCATGCTTGAGCAGATTTTTTTCTTATTATTATCTTCTACAAGTAACCTTAGTAAATAAGAATCATCTATTGTCAGCCGAACGAACCATCTGGCATCAGCATACCTGTAAAAAAAGTTTAATTTGTTTTATTTAGATAAGAGACTCGTTTACTATTTGTTCTTAGTCACTATTTAGTTCAATATCTTAGTCTTTATGTAGTTAACCTTCCATTTTCTAAACATACATCAAAGACCAAAGTTGGCGCTCTAGTTCCTCTTGCGGCTGATGCCCAACAATGGTTCATAGAAATACTTCTTATGACTGATTTACACGTGATAAGTAGATAAGTACATAGTTAACTTAATTGTAAACTTAATTTTAAGTGAATCTTGTGTTTACATGAACTATAATAATCACTTAATATTAAATTAACTAGGGACTTATTAACTTGACACGTGTACACCAGTCAACCGCTCTGCGAAGAAGAAGGAAGAAGGAAGAAGAAGTGAATGTTTAAAATATATTAATACAGTCGAGAGAATGTCAGGTTATACAAAACTGTCAAATTTCTCGACTTGATTTTAACCTCGATATGTTGAGGGTAGAGTTAAAAATCAATTGCAGAAATTTGATATATTGTGGTATCGTGTCGTGCAACATTGTTTTCACTAAAACATTATTATTTTTGAAATAGACATAACAGATTATAACTGCGCCATCTATTGATAATCCAAACGAAATTGTCATGAACTCACCAGCTATGCAAGCAGTCATAAAGCAAATACCGCAGCCCGCGAAAAACGCTCGGACTGCAATCTGTAAATCATCAATTGTTTTTTGTTACCAACCATCAGGCCTACCACCAATCTATATTGGGATCGGCTTCGATAAAATTCGCTCAAAGTTCAATATAATTGGAGCTATCGCATAAGCTGCGTATTATTCCGATATCAATCCACAGTTTTACGCTGTTACGTGGTAGTTGTAATTGTATTAAGCCATGAGTGAGTCAATCCGATGCCAATGATATCGAAACTAATCGAGTTACTCGATAGAGGGCAAGGGTGTATTCACCCTAGTGTGATCCTTGGTCTAAGGTGGTAGATTAAAAGGGGCGGCACACATGGCACTTTCACAATATTCGTAATACTTTGCAAATAATTAATTAAAAATAGTTTTTGACTCTTCTGTTTCTATCTATCTCATTGAGTACAGTGATTTTGCAAGGGAGAGTATTTAACTGTGTATCCCGTCTTCAACGCTATTTACTATATACTACTAGGTCCTTAGGTAAGAGTTTATGGGATAAAAATTAGCCCATATGTTAATCCAGGCTTACAATTTAATTAATGAATGCATTTGCATAAGGATTTGATATCATGATACGGATATAATTACAATGACAAATCGAATAGAGAACAATCGTTACTATGGCAACGTATTTAATTCCCTATACAAACTTCCACTTCCATTTACATCCCTTCATTTGCTGTTTTTCGGGATAAAATAAAGCCTATGTCTACCGCATATGATGGTGAAAGAATTTTTATAATTGGTCAAACAATAAAATCTTTCCCCTTTATAAAATAAGTATAGGTATACAAAATCTAATAATCTTACACTAGAGAGTATCTCCCGCTGGTTCGGAGCAATGGCTGCGATGGCACCGATCATGATGCCTGCAGATCCGGGGTTAGTGAATCCGCACAGTGAATACGTCGCTATCAGCTCTGAACGGGGCTGGTACAAACAAATAACATATAAACAGAGACATATTTATTGATCAAACCATGAAATCAGAATATATATATTCGAAAGTCACTAAGAATGAAACTGTGCTATTCCCTTTTTGATGTAGGATTTGCTCACCAAGAGTGCTTGTATGCTATTTAGCCTCTCCGGGCAAAAATAATATTTGTCGTTCTTTAAACTTACACGATATTTATAACCTTATAAGTGATGAGCTTGCTGTTCTTAAGAAAATAAGTAGTAATTCTACAAAATTCATTTTGCCACTTGAAATTTTTGCCGCTATTTGCAATGGACTGGCCTTGATAAAACTACAGTATCTTACTGTGTAGTGTTACCAACTGACCGATAATAACCCGGCTTTCTTCATCTCCCCCATCCGCTGATACGCGACGAACTCATTGACCACCGTCTTCAAACCGATCAAGGAGCCCACTAGTTCGCACTCCTCCCAAGGAACCCCTGACACAAACAACAAAAAAATGATTAGTTGTGGGTTACACAATTTAATTTATAATGTTACAGAACTACATTATAAATTATAACCAAATACACATCGATTTGGTGGACATTGTATTCAATCAAAATGCACTTAATGTAAAATACCATATTGTACAGTTGAACTGAATATCGAATAACCAATTCTAGGCCTACCACGTAACATTGGCTTCGATTTCGTTGACATTGAATTCAATCAAAATGCACTCAGCGTTTTACACAGTACACGTAATACGCAGTAGACATGCCATTGGTTATTCGTTATTCAGCTGACTCTTGGGTACCATTACTCACCCATAGCCCAGCACAGTGGTATGAACACCTTTCCCAGTATCCATTCGAGGTTTAGCTCTGGGTGGCCGAGCATACCGCCCGCGTACGACAGCACACCGTTCATAAAGGCAATGAACGCTACGAACGCAATAATGTTCGCTATGATGTTTAGGATCAGCGATGTGCCGTTGGTGGCGCCACGGGTAGCGGCGGACAGCGCGGATAAATCTTCACTGTGAATAGTCAAATAGCAAAATATAAATGAAGACGGATAAAGTAATGGGTGTCGATGTCTCCCATATTTAAAAAAGAATGAGGAAGTATGAAAAAAAGAAAGCACTAAAAAAGCACCTCTACTAGATGGCACCTCTAGGAAAACTTGATTTTTTGCTGGAAACGATTGGACCAAAGATAGTCATTTCCGTTCCTTTAACTAACATTAAAAAAAAAATGAAATTTGCAAAGTTCGAAACTTACACATCAATACAAATACGAAAAAGAGCAAATACAATATGAGTTGTTTATTGAGTTTTGAAAACTAATTTACTTTTATACATGATAGAAAACCGGAAGAGTTGTCATAGATAAATCAAGAAAGTACTGTAATGACATCTAATTTGATTTCGGGAACTAATATATTTTTTAAATACTTCCTCAATAGTGCATCTGCAATAGTAATTTGCTATAAGGTAAAGAATATAACTTTTGACAGCAGGTGTATGACTGTAATAGTACTAATAGACTTATACTAACTCTCTACCCGTAACTTTATTCACATGAAGTACATTGGACTACTTACAAACTTTCTAACCAAGGATCTTATTACCTTTTTTTCCCAATATAGCTTCAAAATTGCCGAAATTTCACACAGTGAAATGTATGTATATAACATGTATCTCATTGTATGTTATATACATATTAGTTCCCGAAATATGTATATAACATACATTTCATTTCCAGTAATCCTTTTGAGTGTTTTTTTTAAAGATGGTGCAAAATTTAAATCCTAGAAATTTGGGCTGTGCATTGATACGTCAGTCATTAAGTATGTTATCCTTTTTACATATCTAGACTAGCTTTCCCTGCCTCTTCACCGGCGTGGAATTCGGTAATTATCGCCTTTCTTATATTCATCTCTCATTTCAACCACTTTTAAGCCTATTTTTCGCAAAAAACTATCCTGTCTCCAAGGTCCATTTGTGTGCCAAATATTGAAATTGATTAAGTAGTTAAGGCGCGAAATTGTAACAGACACACGCAGAATACAACCGTAAATAAATACCTGACCTACCTGACAACAGGTTGTATATTGTCGACGGTAGTAAGAGACCGTTTAGTCTCAGGCATCAGCAGCTTCGAGTAGCAGATGGCGGCGGGTGCAGACATTACGCTGGCTGTCACCAGGTGAGCCGGCTCCGCACCGAATCCGATGTATGCCGCCAGTATTGTACCTGGGACATTTAATATATTGTTTATTACGATCTTGTACATAAGTATTTCTACTCTATGGGTAGAAGCAACAAATAATATTTCTCAAAATCTGTAGAATCGGTAGATTTCTCAATTTCAATCAGTTTGGATTGATGAGATAACTGTTTTTGAGTTACTGCTATTTCAAAACATAAATAAAGTCGCCGTATGATATTGCAATATTTAGACATCGTCCAGTTATAACATTAAAAGCCTGTTTCTAAGGAGACTGACTAAAAAGATGAGATTTCGCATGTATACGAATCTTGTATAACACAACGTTGATTTTTTTTTCGGCGACCTTTCTACCTTACGCGGTCAGAACCACTTTCCCAACGGTGGAAGGAGGTGGTGAATCCTTCATTGGATACCACACAGCCGGCTGTGTAACACGACGTTGATTAATACTTATATCTATATGTATAAAAGCGAAAGGTCACTCACTCACTCTCTTACTCATCACGAAATCTCATAAATTACAAATGCGTTTCAAATTTTGCATGCGGGTTCTTTTTTGGTCGTAGGGGCTCACTAAGACTCCCTTCGGGATTGAATTGCATAAAAATTGAGGGATTAAAATTTTTATGGAATTTTCTCATTTCTGGTCTTAAAATTGGAGCACGCGGGCGAAGCCGCGAGTGGAAGCCTAGTTTCTTATATTTTCACACACAATTAAACGCTTTCAATTAACACACACACAATTAATCAGTTTTATGGCGTTATTTTAAAAATTAAAACTAAAAATTTTTTTTCATCGTCCGTTAAACTTTTGATTGAAGACTGAAACAATTTCACAGCAGCTCATTTTTGCCGTGCTGGGCATAAATGGGCCCACTAGACCCCCTTAGTTTGCTCGTAGATTGAGTAGATATTTTATTCATTTTTTATATTTGTTGAATCGCCTTTATATTTCATTCATTTAAAATAATCTTTAATCTAAAACAGCTAACGTTTCATTTTGTCTTTCTATAGTTGTAGCCTTGACATGGCAAACAATAGATTATCACTCTTAACTAAAACGTTGTCCTCATTTAGGGTTGCCACCATCTTTTATTCAGACGTATAACATTCATTAAATTAAACTGATTTTATACTTAACTAGCTTTCCGCCAGCGGCTTCGCCCGCGTGTTCTTGAATACATAAAAACCTTCCTTTTGAATCACTCTATCTATGAAAAAAAACCGCATCAAAATCCCTTGCGTAGTTTTAAAGATTTAAGCATACATAGGAATATAGGTACAGAGGCTTTGTTTTATACTATGTAGTGATTAACTTTAGGGCGTTTACTAAATATTTTTCTTTTACTAGTAGGTATAATATGTCTGTCATTATTAGAGCTACCATTTTACATTTGATAAATGCACTATAAAATACTTAATTAGTAATGTACAGTCAACAGCACGTCCATTTCTCCTTTTACGACTTGCGAAGAATGACAAATAGTTCAGGCATTTCAATATTAGGTAAGTGAACACCTAATCTGCTTACGTTACACGAAGAATGAAGTGGTAATTATCATATCAAGTTATTATCATATTAAATATTTATTATGCTCATATAAATAATCTAGTTTCAACCGGATTTTTCCTTGAAATTTCACTTCACAGTTGATAATTTTCGTTGAAACAAAATCGTACAAATTCCGACTCGCCATTCTCTTTTCCTAACAGCGGCCCGATATAAAACTTATTATTGCTGATGCTATGTCACGCATTAAAACAAAAAAAAAATACAGAATCACATATTCGCAATAGAATCAACAGTATTTATCATAAGCCAGTCATTTAGGACCTACCTATATAAATATATATATATAAATTATGGTACACACTCAAACAATACAATGAGTTTTGAAATTTAAAAAAAAAAATATGATACTCGTATGTAATACGAAAAACACCTTATAGAAATCACAAAAAATATAGTGTCCTTATTGCTTGCTAGCGATTTCTTCCAGCCAACCTATTAATTACTGAAAATAGAACCTACATAGGTACATATTTCAAAAAATGTAAAGATATGGCGATATTTTTGTGTTTTACTAAAAGAAGCTTAGCTCCATATCAAAAGAGCCTAAACTGTTTTTAAAGCCTTTGAAAACGAACACTGTCAAAGTAAACAATGAAAATTATATTTATTTAAGAAGTTTAGTTACGAAGGCAATCATGTGTAATCAAAGAACCTCATAGCATTTAGCAAATTCAATGGTCATTGTGTTGCAACAAACAGATGGTAATGCCCGATAAATCGCATATCTTAATTATAATCATGTTATTATTGTCCTTTTCCCTGTCGATACTAATAAAATATTACTTTCTTCTACCACCTTATCAAAGCAATTTATCATTTATTATATTTCTACCTTGGAATTAAAGGTATTATTAATCTGTATTACACTATTAAATACATTAGCTTCTGACGCACTTATTGTTGTAAACATTTGTAGTATAATTAAAATTTACAGATACTTATATGCTCTGTCATAAGGTTTTAAGTAACTTTAAGTTAAAAACACATTTTTGTATCGTGGCAGAAACCTACCAGTTTATTAGACGACCTCCTCAGCAGAGTGACGTGCCGGTTTCAAGATGTTGCCGTCTTCGAGGTGCCGGGTTCAATTCGCGGTATGTAGTCGATTTTCTACAATGTTTCTGGCCTGTTTGTTTAGTTACCGTCGTTCTTTTAAATTTCTCTGATATAAGTGCTTTAGTTACTTGGAATCTGAGCAATATGTTGATGTTGTTAGATATACATTACTCTGCACAGAGCAACTTATTTTATCACATAAACGTTCACATTGTAGCACGAATATTTGGGGAATGTAAGATAAAGATACTTTGTCTCATATTTGTGAGCTTATTTGAGCAAAGAAGCAATTATTTGCGAACGTGTTTGGGGCGGGTTTTATTATTATAGACTGAAGAGACAGGATTGAGAAATTTAACAACCGTCAATATTTGTTGTTAAAAAATAGTGTTTAGATAAACACGCCCTTTTGATGAGATATGACTTACCAGACACAGTGGCGAAGCCCGAGGACATGACCACGTGCAGCTCCGACATGGTCAGTAGCTGGAGGTAAGGCTTGATCAGCAATATCGATTCTGACTGAAATAAATAAAAAATACTAAGAAAGGAAACCAAAATATGAAAGGTTCCCTATAAGACAAATAAAATAATTTATAACACCAGCGCCATATTTTTTGCCCTGATTTATATTACATAAATTCCCGAACTGATGTAGATTTTTTGAGCTTTTTTAACTAAAAAGGGGAATTTTGATAAAAACAAATAAATGAAATCATTTAACATATTAGCAAATATTAATATTATTTTATAATTATTAATGTAGAATTTTTATTTATCTATACAAATATTATAGAGAGGAAAGATTTGATTGTTTGCTTGAAAAGGCTCCAAAACTACTGGACCAATTTCAATAATTCTTTCACCTGCGGGAAGCTACATCATATGCGGTGAACATAGACTATATTTTACCCGGAAAACAGCAAATAAAGGGATGAAAATGGGAATAGAATTTATATAGGAAATTGAAATGTTACCATAGTAACCATTGTTTACTATTCAATGCGTCATTGTAATTATATCCGTGTCATTATATGAATCGATATCCAAATAAACAGCTCCCTAGGGACCACGCGGGCGAAGTCGCCGGCGAAAAGCTTTTCGCTAGCTAGTAATTTATAATTTAAGTGATCATGTATTTTAAATAATTAATGAGATCATAATAATCCTAAGTAAAACAAATGAACTGTGAGAATTATTAAGAGATCTGTTGCTTAATTACCATTCCAAGGAACACGTTGCCAACGGCGATGACGCTCTCGCAAACAGTGGTGGACGTGGCAGAGCGCAGGAGCTGGCCTAATTTCAGGCAGAACCATTGCAAAGCGCCCCAGAAGAACAGAACTTCAACCAGCATACTAAAGAAGAATATCACTGGTAGAGTCTGCAAAACAGTTTGTCATTGTAGTAGTAGTAGTAGACATTCAGTCCAACTCTTCTTTAAAAAAAAACAGCCTTGAATTCGACGTCGATTGACCATGGTCAGTGATCATATCTGCAGATATGCAGGTATCAATCAACCCGTCCCCAAATGTACATAGTGCTGTTAGTAGGTAGGTTTCTGAGGACTGATTGTCAGGAAAGGTCTGCCAAACCCGGCTCAAGGATCAGAATTCCACAAAGCCTACGCATCCCTTCCTTCTGTCGGACCGCATGTTCTGGGTTAACACCGCAGTAATGGCTTTACGGTACGGTTTACTGTCCGAGGAAAAAGCGGTCAGGTACTTTGGTCTTGTCCCAGCCAACCAAAGGACTCTCAAAGTGGGGCTCCTACCAAAGACATTCCGGAGCGGGATTCACAGATAGTAAAAAAATATTGTCAATAAGGGATACTCTTTCAGGTGGTTATAGTATGTATAATACATGTTTTTCTCGTCACACGAATCTGCCACCGAGGTTTTATTTGCTGGCCAACTAATATTTTGAGTATTTGGCGTGATTCGATGGTACTTACACTAAATGCGAACACTCCTTCTGTCCGCACTAGCAAATCTCCAAACGCAAACGCAGCCCCATCAACACCATACATCAAGAATGTCGCCACCTGAATCAGAGTATAATATATAGATGAGACCCGAAGTTAGCCAAAAATTCAAAACAAAGTTAGACAACCTTTACCCAGCCAAAATAAGAGTTATTTAGATTTCAGAATACTATAATCGTCGTCAACATCATCAACGGTGCAGAGGCAAAACCTTCCCTGTCATGGAATATGGAGAACATGCCTTATCACGCCACGTGAGCCCGGCGTGGATTAGTTAGTGTTAACTAATGCAAATGTAGCTGAACCTAATGGTTCAACGTATATTTTGAAATACGGAAATACCACGACAGCAAAATTTTTGTCACCCATCCAATGACCATTATTAAGAGTTGTTTAACTTGTGGGTGTGTGAATGCGTAATCTAACTCGAAACTTTTTAAGATTTTCATAATTACCTTATCTGAGAAGCATTGTAAAGCGAGTCGTCCAGGACTCCACCTGATGAAAATTACTCCGAATATGAACTGAAGAAGCAAACCCATCATAACGCTGCGCCAGTTGATACGTCCGGGGTGGGCAGAGAATATGAAACCTTAATATAAAGTTGCAAGATCAACTTTCACATAACAACTTTTTAGTAACAAATCTTACATATATCAGAGATGATATATTCCTCAAGTTTTCTTAACAGTGTTAAATAAATAGCACAATGCTTTAAAAAGGTTACAGAAAATGCCAATCACATCTTGCTCAATAATGTTTCAGATTCTAATATCATTTGTTGAAGTTATAATATCACCTACTTTCGACTGGCGATAGTTTCGATACAATTGACTCTTAATAGTTCTATCGATTATCTATTTATAAAATAAATTATCGATAGAGAAACTCAACAACAACAACACTGGAAAATGCGCGCGCCTCAAGAATTCATATCCTTCAGAGTTCATATTATTCACAATTCATACATACCATCTGTTTACACCAAAGGTGTTGTCAATGAACTTTATAACTAAATCTATATATTTTCGTGCGGTTGACCTTTTGTAAGTATTTGTGTAAGCTAGTGTGCGAAAACGGTAACTTCTTTATCGATAACAGAAAAAGAATAACAATTATAATCGACATCGATATAGAACGTATTAGTATACAATTAGGTATCTGTAGTAACTTTTTGCGGTATATTTATTTTGTTGCCTCACCTAATAAAATTAGTAGGAAGAGGCCAAGCAGAGAGATAAGCCGTTCCGGTGCACCCTGAGTATCGATGTACAGGAATACTCCGATTGCTGCTAGTACCACTACCACGAGACACCAACGAAGCAACCTGCTCGCCATAAAAAAAGTTATTGTCTCTACTGAAATATTCCTGGATTGTATTTAGAAACACATGGGCTGGCAGAGGCATATCTGAGCTAGAGCAAAAAATATAGGCTTGGGCGTGATGGAGTAGGTGGTAAACATAAATTAAGCCCTGTCCGAATAAAATTGAAACTTGATTAAGAAATCACCTTTTCACATAAGTATTACATTTATTTTTGTAGCATTTTTAAGTTTACTAACTCATCGTTCAAAGGTTTGAAATATGCTTTTTTACTAGCTACTTACACAAATCTCCATAGGGATCCAGCGACGCTCTTCACCTTGTTCCACACGGATCGCTCGAACCACTTGCCGAAATACCTCTTGACCACCATGAAGTATAGAACGAAGAAGTATATGATTCCCAAGAAAGCAATAAGACTGCCGAAGCCATTACATATTTCTAACGGTGTTTGTGCTGAAATGTTCAGAACGTATATCCAATGAGTACGTTTCATTTAATATCATAAGGCGTACTAATTCTTGGAAAATTATTTAAGAAAACTGATGGATTGATTTATATTGTCCTTACAATATAATAGTTAGTAAAATATATACAGTATATTCACATGGGTGCCTGTTGTTAATTGAATTGATAACTTAATGGTACCTTTCGTTCTTTTATTCTTCATTTGCCTATTCATAGTAGAAAGGATTATTTTAAAATTTTAAAAGTACTTTCCGTGTGATATTTGTATATCGATACGATTTCCGTTACGAGACTCATCTCAAAAAAGGGCTACTCCCGGATAGAGTGCAAGATCAAGAAGGATCCTTGAAAGCGTTGAGTTGAAATCAAGATAGCAGAGGCAGATCCCGGTCGAGAAAATATGAGAGGATGGTTTAGGAGAACGAAAAAAAAGTAGAAAGAATTCATAGTGAGGAAAGAAAAAATACGGAAGAGATAAGAAATAGTACATAGAGTTTGCCAGTGTGCAAATAGGTATGCTCTCGTAGAGTCATAATCTCAAAGCCGCGACCATTGCTTATCGATATACCCGCGACAATCTGAGACAAGGGTACTAGGGTTGTTGATATCATATGTTTTTGCTGGATGAGGTTTTAGGTGTTTTATAGGTATTGTTGCTTACAATTTATAGAGTGTTGGGGTTGACTTAAACTCGCTATATTTCTCGCTCTAGCAAATGGTGATTCCGAGTGACAATAAAAGGAAAGGATGACAGAAAAAGAGGATCGGTTCTAGTGTCCCACACCAGAGAGACTTCGTTAATTTTAAGGTATTTTAGTTAACTATTACAAAAAAATAAAAGTAGGGATTCCACCAATTTAGGAAGGTACTACTTCGAACTGTGTGCTTATAATAAATGTATATGACTATTACTTCTAGTGACTATTAGAATACTCACTAAAATTTGCCCAATAGTACCAGCTGCCAATAAAGTAACCAATGACAAGGCCATTAAATACAAACGCCAGTATAATCTTCATCGCTGAGCCGTTACTTTTGAAGAAGTCCTTTGTTAAGTTACTTACCCTCGTGAGGGTAACCTCTAACCAACCGGAGGGTTCGTAGTCTATGTTATCATGGATTACCTGTGATGGAAAATCATAGAATACATTAGGATATGGTTAAAGCGTTTTCTTTCATTACACGGTTAGGTAATTCCATAGTTTTAATTATTTTCTTTATGAATTATTTCTTTATCTATAAACCGATTTGGTTGGTATAATGAAGAAAACTTTTATGCGTACCTATGTTTACTACTCTTTAATTCTTTTCTATATTTTAAACTATGCAGGTAGTAAGGATTTATGACTTCTTAAGTCCAACAAATCGATGTGGCCATGTGTTGGCCTAGATCATCGCTTTCGAGGCGACTATTTTTTTAAACGGGTTGTTTATCTATACATCTGTTTAAATATATTTTTCTGCTGGATCTACTTGGCCAAGACCCAGATAAATTAATTGCCATATTAGTAGTCCGATCAGTTATTTATTTCGTTTATACATGGTTAGAAAAATGTGGCACGAATCTGATGCATAGAAATTTTTTTCTCAGGTATCAATCATAAATATTTGACATAAATCAATCATAATGTAGTATGAGAGGTCACAAATGTGTTAAGGGAGAAAAAGTGCTTATTTGGGTTAAACTTATATGCTTAGGAGTATGAAATGGGTGTCAATCCTCGTTTTATAATAAGCCGTTCTTTGGTAAAAAAAAATATTAACTTTAAACTCACCGCTCCGTTGATTTTTCCATTTTTTTGAATGTCGATGTCGTCCATCTCGACATGTTCTTCACTATTTCCATTCTGCAAATTTAAATATTTTTAAGACAGTGCCATCCATCTCACTTATCTGATTGCTCAAATTGACAAAAATAACTAGCTTCATAAAATTTTCTTCTAAAATTCACACACATTAGGCTATGTTTGGATGGACATCAAATCAAAATCCGTTCTTCAGTCTTGCTTCTTCTTTTATTGATGGCTTATCTGCGCGTTTACAAGCATTTATGGAAGTCAAAACTCTATGCCATCGGTTCGTAAATCGTAACTCGAAGAACCGGTACGAAATTCGGCAAGGGCTGCATTTTTCTCTCGGTTTTATTTCTTACCGAGACGCCGAAATTGAAAAATTATTTCATAAGTATATGTATTATGTACTTATGATTCACTCGATTCACATACCGTGTCAAACGAGCTCATTGATAATAATTAATAAATAACCCGAAATTAATTTATTAAAACAACTACATACATATGCTACAAATGTACGCAGGCGAAGTCTCGGTAAAACAATACAATAGACACAAGTATACAATCACCTTATTAAAACGAAGAAAATGCAGCTCAATGAATTGTTTTAAGACAGTATTTTCTAATAATTTAGTTTCCTGATTCATAAACAATTGTTTGGTCGAGAACAAACCCATTTCACTTAAATTATAATATAATTGGTTAGCAGTGTAATTTTGTTAAATAAACAGCGTGGGGCACAACAAGTAACAGCATTAGAGGTTCAATCAAATAAAACCTAACGCAACTGAAGACATTATTGGTACTGTATTAGTTTATTGTTATTATAAACACTGCCCTATTCATAAACAATAAAATAAACAAATCTAATGTTTGTTGATTATAAAATGTTTAAATCTTACTAGGGCTGTCACAAAGAAAAATCATTGCCCACATTTTATTAATCACTGCAAGTAACATATACAGTGTAGTGTATATTTTATTTGTGTGTCTATACATTATATGTGTATGGTAATATTTGTTTGTTATTTTCTTTTAACGGTAATATCTTATTACTTCACTTGTGTCACATCTTATTCTTTCAAAACGCGTCGGTTGGCTGGAAAAGATACAGATAAGATACCTTTGAACTATCTTTACTTGCCTTTTTTATGTAAACTTTAATTAGGATAATACTTAAGCTTAAAAACTTTGAATCCAATCGAAATATAAATAGGTATATTTTGTGAGATCGACTCACACTAACTAGCTAAGTTAAATAAAAGCTTATACAAATACATACAGCCAAACCTACAACTTCCTCCTTTTTGATCTTGAAGGCGTTAAAAAACAGAAACTAAATAGTTTTTTTTTTACGAATGCGAAACAATTTGACGTCGTGTTTTGTATGTTGGAAGTTAGTAATTGAACAAGCAATTTATGTGCACGAGAGTTTTGTAGTTATAACAAATCCTTATCGATGTGAATTATACGGAAAGTTATGATTTGATAGAGTGCAACGCGATTTTATTGCACGGCGAAATGTAATCTGTGCACTTAGCGTGAATAGGGGTGTAGACAACTTTTTATATTTTTATTTTATGGATACACAATATGAAATATATCTAAAAAAACATTAATAAAATAAGTTAAAATCCAAAGGAGAATGGGCAGAAGTCGGCTAAAATTACGCAAATTGGGCACTATGCATTTATTCATCATAAATCTTCTCTTTAATTATAATTTATTATATATAAATACTATAAAATTATGCGGCGTTTAAAATTTACCGAAGTGAAACAGTTGCTAAACTGACATATCATGAGTCTTGCCTTGGATAAATGTCAACCATGTAAAAATAGACTCTATAAGGCTCATCGCCTTATCGCTTATAGAAAACAAAGGGATTTTCTTCGATTCGTAGATTACTATGTATCGAAAAAAATCGATTATCTAATTACTATCTAAAATAAGACTTCCTTCACGTAGTATCTTTTTCTTAGTCTGTGCTTCCTTCGATTTTCTTTTGAATATGAAAAAGGATATGTACGCTATTTCATAGTAAATGATAGGAGGCAAATTAATGCAATCGGCCGGGTGGCGCATCTTAATATGACGCGTACAGACTGAACCAACGCTCAGCCAAGTTAACGTTTGTCACTAATCCCAAAGAATAGGCTTCGTTTATTCATACCTACTACAATATAACTACGACTTTTACGAAATAAAGTATTTTAACTCTGATAATGTTGGTCAGGTATTATATTAGTCAAAGGCTAGTTTTTAATTGACATAGTTGTTTTTGAGTTTATCCTTAACTATAAACAATCCAATATTTCCTTTTTTCGGTAAAGATATGTCCTTTTTCGCAATTCAATATTTATGTCTGTCGATTGTTTGAAATACATTATTCATTTTATTGCACTTATATATGTAGATATTATAATGACATAACCTCAAAATCTCTGTTAAATATTCAGATATTCTAAAACTACGGCATAATTTAAAAAGGTTGTTTTCCTACTCATTCTAGAAATAATTCTTTCTATCGTTTACCGTTGGTTTCAACAATGTGCACGGTTACGCAAAAATAGCCGATCTCTAATAGTAAATTGCCCATTCTCCTTTAAATTTCCCGCGAAAACGCCACTACTGTCATGGCGTTGCTATAACGTCACGGCACTCTGAAACGAATATCGTTCTATGTATGCATAAGGTTGAATTCTCTAAGTTCTGATATGAGCAAGAAGGCCGTGACGTCACGTACTGTAAGCAGTCACGTGTATAAAATATGTTTTTTCATAATTAGGTTCAGCAATATCTAAATATTAAAAGCAAAAAGTGTATTATAGATAACCATACCTATACCAATATTAATCACTACCAGAAAAAAATAATAGGTATTTATTTTCGTTGACTCTCTACACCCGTATTCTATCGACTGTCGAACGAATCGGGTTTTACTTAAATATATCTTTCCAAGTCCAAACTAGGAAAGAGACAGAGAATAAGATTAAAAGAGAATACATTATCTATTAAGGCATATTTACACTGGTGGCTGACATTCACGTGCAGAGTGCGGGCGATTTGTATTTCTGAAGTGAGTCGAAATTCACCTAAGTGAATTCGAATTCTGGTTTGGAATTTTACAGAATCGCAGGGCTGTTATGATATGCCATTGAGTAACCCGCCCTGGTAAGCGAAAACGACTATCGTTCAACTGGTTTTAACAAACAATTAAGAGATAATGTACGCTACAAAGCAAAACCTCTTCCAGGCACCCTATGTTGAAAAATAAATAAAAAAAGAAAAAGGGGTATTTCGGCGCATGGGCGATAGTTATAATTAGATATGTACTTCTATTTTAAACATAAATTATTATAATTAATATAAATTAAATTATAGAGAAACGAAATACGACATTTCCTTATCGCTTCTGGTATCGAGTTCCAAAGACGCACCGCATGTACGGAAAAGGTGTAGGAAAGGACAGCAGCGTGACAGGGAATTAAGAGGAAGGGATATTCTGCAAACGCTCCAGCTTGTTGAAATGTTCTTCAGACAGATCAGTGTAACAAACATCAGCGCAATGAAAGCAGAAGTTTGTGCCAAGGTCATTTTAGCATGTGCAGATTAAAAAATACGCAATCTATTATGACCGGTGCGCGGCAAACATTTTGTTTCTGACTGACTCCAATTGAGTCTATGAAAAACACTGATCGAAAATAATACCAAGATTTTGGATTGGCTTTGAATAACAGATGGTAAGTTTAAATATAACAGTTGTTAAGTGTTTAAAATCGATCCTCGAAATAAAATGAGGGCTGCCAATGATAATGGTTAGAGTCTTTGAGGGTTATAGTGAGTTTACTAGATTTACTCTACTGCATAAGAGCTATCAATGACGTCCGAGTGTATATTTGAAGATCAACGGCATAAATGTGACAGGAACTAGTAAGTGACCGAATAATATAAAAACAATAAAATAGCAGAACAGATATAATGTAGTCATAGCAGATAGATAGCAATTAAATATGAATGTAGTTACTCTCTATAATAAACAATAAAAGTATTTTGCTTATCAGTGAGGGGGTTTATCTTTATTAAATAAATTGGTATTAAGAAACTATTAATTCCAATAAATAACTGATAATGTTCATATCTTTAAAATTATTAAGGTAGATAATTAATCTGTATCTAAATATCAAAGGACTGTTTTTGTTAAATACCGCGGACATAAACACAGAATATCAATTTGATTACGAACAGATCCTATTCTGTTAAACAACCTCGAGTTGGACGAGCACAGCGCTGTAAGCACAATTAAATAAAACCTTTATTACCTTTTTGTAATAAGTTTTTATTTTGATTAACCTCTATGCTTGACGTCAAGTTCAAGGTTGCTTTATAACGGAATAGCACTGCATGGATCTAGGTCTATTAAGTTGGATGCCCTTGTATT